GCCTTTCTAATGTCCATTTTGGAGAAGTATCTACTTAGATCCTTTGCCCATTTTTCATTGGATTATCTTCCTTTTGTTAAGTTGTATGAGTTCCCTGTAGATTTTGGAGGTTAACCCCTTATCGGAAATAATCATTCACAAATATGTTCTCCCATGCAGTGGGATCTCTTGTTATTTTGTTGATGGTTTCTTTTGCTGTGCAGTCTCATTTGTTGATGTAGTCCCATTTGTTTATTTTCTCCTTAATTTCCATTGTCCTAGGAGATGTGTTGGTAAATATATTGCTAAGTCTGAAGATTTTGCGGCCAATTGTTTATTTTAGGATTTTTATGGTCTCATACCTTACAGTTAAGTCTTTTATCCATATTGAGTTTATTTTTGTGTGTGGGGTAAGTTGCTGGTCTAATTTAATTTTTTATGCATCTGTCCAATTTTCCTAACAACATTTATTGAAAGACTGTCTTGACTCCATTGTATGCTCTTGCCTCCTTTGTCAAATATTAATTGAGCATAATGGCTTGGGTCAGTTTCTGGATTCTCTGTTCTATTGGTCTACTGGCCAATACCAGGCAGTTTTGAGAACAGTGGCTCTTTATTTATTTATTTTTAAATATATATATATTTTATTGATTTTTTTACAGAGAAGAGGAGAGAGGGATAGAGAGCTAGAAACGTCGATGAGAGAGAAACATCGACCAGCTACCTCTTGCAAACCCCCTACTGGGGATGTGCCCGCAACCAATGTACATTCCCTTGACCGGAATCAAACCTGGGACCCTTGAGTCTGCAGGCCGACACTCTATTCACTGAGCCAAACCAGTTAGGGCGGGTAGTATGGACATTTTAATGAGGTTGATTCTACAAATCCATGAACACTGTATATTCTTCCATTTGTTTATGTCTTCCTCTAAGTCTTCTTTCAACGGCCTGTAGTTTTCCGAATAGAGGTCTCTTACCTCTATGTCTTAGATCCAACTGCTCTGCCACCCAGGTTTTTTGTGGGGGTGGTCCTATGTAGTCGGTGATTTGTGGGACCCAGTGGTGCCGTCTCTCACATCTCCTGAACTGCGTGTTGTAGTGGAGACCCCCCCTATTTGCATTATTGGATTCTCCTGATGTAATTAGGTCCTGAATGTTTCTTGTTCTTGAATGTAGTCTCCTCACAGGTCGTCTGACAATGTGACTCACGCCTGACCCTGTTGTGGATGTGCTCGTGGTTCCGGCTCATGTGGCAAGGGTTGCCTGAGGTCTCACTGGGTCCACCTCAGTGTGCAGTCCCAGGGTGGCGTGCACTCAGCGGCTCCCTCTGGTGGTCCCAGAGTTCGCGGCCTGAGTGACAGGGGTCCTGGGGCCTGCGACTGGCATAGTGCGACTCTGGCCAGTGTGGCATGACTCTTCCCGGGGTGAATTATTATTACAGTTATGTTACTTCATAACTGTAATTTTGCCACTGTTATGAATCGTAATGTAAATATCTGTGTTTTCCAATGGTCTGGGTGGCTCCTAAGAACCACTTAGATGGTCTTTCATTTGTGTTAGTCTGGACTGTTGATTTTCTCTTCTTACCTGATGTTTGGTGTCACAAAGCAACCCATGTGTTGTGCTGAGGGCAATCACAGCGACTAATGGGACTGTGATGAGAGAGCAGCCAGCACAGACATTAGGGCCTGGAGGAGGTTGAGGGTGAGGAAACTGTGTAAGGAGTAGGATGGCAGGTTCTCAGAAAGGCAGGTCTGGTTTCAATTGTCTCCCTTCTGACAGGTTGGCGTGACCTTTGAGGACATTGCCCTGTACTTCTCCAGGGAGGAATGGAGCCTCCTTGATGAGGGTCAGAGACAGCTGTACCTGAATGTGATGCTGGAGAACTTTGAACTTGTATCCTCCCTGGGTAAGACCCTCACTCTGGCTGGTTCCTGGGACTTGGCTTTGCATTTCTTATGCCCCCTGACCTCTAGGGGGTGCTCTGTCCTCACCTGTGGACTGAACACATTGCATGGTGTTTCTAGTTTTCTGGAAAGTTGCTGTGGTTGGCAGGGTTGGTTTGATTGCACTGCTCCCTTCTATACCTTTAGTCACACACCTGCTGTACTGAACTCAGAGGGAAGGGTTTGTGATTGGCTATGTGGCAGGGAGCCTAATGGATTCCAGTTGAGTCTTGAGCAAAAGCATATTCTTCCTGTTGGTCATTTGTAGATATTTTTTGAAAGAAGGCTCTACTTACTGTATTTAGTCCTATTTTGGGGGGTGGGCATAAATATTTGTTTATTGATTTCAGAGAGGATGAGAGAGGGAGAGACAGAGATAGAAACATCAATGATGAGATCCAACCCACAAGCCCTGCATGTACCCTGACCAGAGCTGAACCTCAACCACTGAGCCAAACCAGCCAGGGCTTTAGTCCTATTTTCAACTGTATTTATTGGCTAATGAGTGTTTTGAATGTTTTTCTAGTTTATAATAAGATACATCTCCTTTTATTTTGCTTAATTGTGCTTCCCAAATATTGCATTCTTGTTTTATGTACAAATTTTATGTTTCAGGCACTTCCACATTCAGGAAGTCTAGTGTGGCTATTTTTCCATCAGGCTCAGATCTGCTTACCAGTGTTTACCCATAAAGTGTTTTTAATGAATTGATGTAGAATTTTTTTCCAGCAACACTATAGTCGTCTTCATAGCCTTCCTTATAGAGTTAACATAACATGACTTTCTTTCTGTATCACAGTATTTGCTTTATTTGGCTGATCTGAACTAAATCCACAATATCTTCAATATGTTCATATGATGTGCAAGTATCCTCTCTTATCCTCCTGTCGATTGCCTTTTCATTTTATTTTGTTAATTGCTTATTGTGCTGGGGAAATTGCTTTCATTTGTTTTAGTCTGGACCATTGATTTCTCTCTTTTTTGCCTGTGGGTTGGTGTTGCATCCTAGAAAGTATGTCCAGAACAGATCTCCAAAGCATTTTCTCTGGCTTGTCTTGAAGGACTTTAAAGTTTTAACCTAGATGTTTAATTTTTTCTGAGTAAGTGTTTATCAGTGTTTTTCTTGTTTTTCCATGTGAATATCTATATTTTTCAATACCCTTCATTGAAGAAACTGTCCTTTTTTAACATTTCTTGTGGTTTTGTCAAAGATTACCTGAACCTTTGTGCCTGGGTTTATTTCTGGGTTCTGTTTTTTGTTTCTGGGTCTGTGTTTCTGGGTATATTTCCACAACGCACTGTTTGGTGACTTAGGCTTTGTAATAGATTGAAGACAGGAAGTGTGGTGCCACCAGGTTTGTTCTTGCTGAATATTACTTTTGCTGTTTGAGGTCTTTTGAGGTTTCAGACATTGGTATTATCATCGGATTGCATTTAACCTGGAGATTCCTTTGGGTAGTATAGACATTTTAAGGATATTACATTTTTAAATCCAAAAACACCAAATGTCTTTCCACTTTTTTGTCTCTTTTTCCATTTCTTTCCCCACTGTGTTCTAGTGTTCAATACACAGATCTTCCACCTTTCTGGCTGAATTTATTCCTGTACATTTTATTCTTTTCAATGCCATTGTAAACTTGACTACTTTCTTCTTTTCTTTTTTTATGTGTTTTTGTTGATTTTTTTTTTTTTTTTTTTTTTTTTTTTTTTTTTTTTAGAAGAAGAAGAGGAGTGGAGAGAGAGTGAAACATCCAGCAGAGAAACAGCATTCAGCTGCCTCCTGCACTCTCCCTATGTGGGATCTTGCCCACAGCCCAGATATGTGCCCTGACCAGCAATAGAACTAGTGGCCTTTCAGTTCATTGGAAAATGCTCAATCAATGGAGCAACACAACGAAGGGCCTCTCTTCCTTTTCTTCTCAAAGAATTCATTGTTAGAGTTTAGAAATGGAACTGATGTTTGTATGTTGATATTTTATCCTGTAACATTTCTGAATTAATTTTTTAGTTAATATACATTTATTGCATTTAGAGTGCGTGTGTAAGACATTGTCCAGCTCTTCCACTCATCTGCTTATTCATTGGCTGCCCCCTGCTTGTACCCTGATGGAAAATCAAATCCACTACCTTGGCGCATCAGAACCACACTCTCACAAACTGAGTGACCCAACGAGGGCTCTGAATTTTTTAAACTAATTTTAGGAGTTTATAGTGAGTTCGTTACCATTTTCTCCATGTAAGTTCATGTCATTTGGCAAAATCTCTTATGCGTTGTGCTTCACTGTCTGCTGTAATGTCTTATCTTTCATTTCTTTTTTAAACTCATTTTAGTGTTGTTTCTTTTGTTTTAGATTCCATAAAGATTTGCCAAATTGGTGTGTGTTTTAAAAAGGAAATAGCTCTTAGGCCTGGGAGGCATAGTGGTTACAGTGTAGGCCCAAACACCAAAAGGTCATGGGTTCAATTTCTGATTAAATGCATTAACGTGATTTGCAGTTTTGATCCTCATCCCCTGTTGGAGCCTGTAAAGGAGGCACCCAACAAATGTGTCTCTCCCACTTCTATGTTTTTGTATATTTTTCTCTCTTTCTCTCCCTTGCATTGTCTCTAAAAATGAATGAAAAATATATTCTCGGGTGAGGATAAACAACAACAACAAAATATAGCTCTTGGTTATGATATACTTTTGTCTCTAGTTTATTAATGGTTGTTCTAATTCTCATTGTTTATTTTCTTTGCTAGCTTTGGGTTTACTTTTCTTTTTTGGTTGCTTCTAAATTATTTTTATTGATTTTTAGAGAAAGGAAGGGGAAAGGATAGAGAGACAGAAACATCAATAATGAGAGAGAATCACTGATTAACCACCCTAAGCTTTTGTTTTGGTGAAATATTCACCATTGACTGACCTTTGAGGCCAGCTAATGTATAACAGCTATTTCCTTAGAGTTCAACTGACTTGTCTTTAAAATTGTTCTATGGACTCATGTCCAGTGATGACAGGGAAACATTTTTGTTGAAGATATTCCTTTTTTTCTAAGGTCAACATGTACCTCACTAGTGTTTCCTTTTGTTCAGGTTGCTGCTGTAGAGCACAGAATGTGGAGGTACCGACTGAAGAGAACAATTCTGTAAGATTGTCAGAGGCCAGGAATCCCAAGATAGCCTTGACTTCACAGAAGAACCACCCCTGTGAGAGCTGTGGACTAGTCTTGAGAAGGATTTTCCACTTGACTGAGCTGCAGGGAACACAACATGGACAGATACAGCTGAGGTGTGGGGCATGTGCAAAACAATTTTATTTCAGTGCCAAATTTCAGCAGCAGCATGTGAGAGAAAACACTTTCATTAGGGGTGTAGAGAGGATGTCACTTGCAAAGATCTGCAATTTCAATGTGTCCCAGAATCATTTCACCTGTGGGGAGGTTGGGCAGGGCACACTTTCCTGGTCAGGGCATCTCCATTTAAAGGCTGATGAGACCAGGGGCAGGCCAAATGATATTTCTAAGGGTGGTTTGATGTTTCAAAGAAGAAAAGACTTTTATACCAGAAAAGAATGTGAGGAAGATCATGGCAGCAGTAATCTTCATCATTATCAAAGAGTTCCAACTGGAGAAAAGCCTTATAAATGCAGTGAATGTGGGAAATGTTTCAAGAGTAGCTGTGGCCTCCATTATCATCAAAGTTTTCACACTGGAAAGAAGCCTTATAAATGCATTGAATGTGGAAAATCTTTTATCACTAGCAGTGACCTTCGTCGTCATCAGAGATTTCACACTGGAGAAAAGCCATATAAATGCAGTGAATGTGGGAAATCTTTTACCTATTGGAGTAGCCTCCGTTATCATCAAAGTTCTCACACTGGAGAAAAGCCTCACAAATGCATTGAATGTGGGAAATATTTCACCACTAACAGTGACCTTCATTGTCATCAGAGAGTTCACACTGGAGAAAAGTCTTATAAATGCAGTGAATGTGGGAAATCTTTTATCACCATCAGTGACCTTTGTCGTCATCAGAGAGTTCACACTGGAGAAAAACCTTATAAATGCATTGAATGTCAGAAATCTTTTACCAATTGGAGTAGCCTCCATTATCATCAAAGTTTTCACACTGGAGAAAAACCTTATAAATGCAGTGAATGTGGAAAATCTTTCACCAGTAACAGTGACCTTCATTGTCATCAGAGAGTTCATACTGGGGAAAAGCCTTATAAATGCAGTGAATGTGGGAAATCTTTTACCACTAGCAGTTATCTTCATCGCCATCACAGAGTTCACACTGGAGAAAAGCCCTATAAATGCAGTGAATGTGGGAAATCTTTTCTCACAACGTCTCACCTTTATCGTCATCACAGAGTTCACACTGGAGAAATCCCATATAAATGCAATGAATGTGGGAAATCTTTTACCACTAGTAGTTACCTTCATTATCATCAGAGAGTTCACAATGGAGAAAAGCCTTATAACTGCAGTGAATGTGCGAAATCTTTTATCACGAGCTCTCTCCTTCATCGGCATCAGAGAGTTCACACTGGAGAAAAACCTCATAAATGCAGTGAATGTGGGAAATCGTTTACCAATAGCAGTAGCCTCCATTATCATCAAAGTTTTCACACTGGAGAAAAGCCTTATAAATGCAGTGAATGTGGGAAATGTTTTACCAGGAGCAGTGAACTCTCTTCTCATCGGAGAGTTCACACTGGAGAAAGGCCTTATGTGTGCAGTGAATGTGGGAAATCTTTTACCTGGAACACTGCCCTTCATCGTCATCGGAGAGTACATACAGGAGAAAAGCCTTATAAATGCAATGAATGTGTGAAATGTTTTAAAAGTAGCAATGGTCTCCAGTATCATCAGAGAGTTCACACTGGAGAAAGCCATTATGCTTGCAAATAACATTAGAGATATCACAGCCAAATTTCTAAATTTGCTCTGCACATATGAGTTTAAATGTGAGTAATTATGTAGATGTGTAGGAAATGTAGTTTCTTAGTTAGGTCTTAACAATAGTATAATAAAATTCGTGAAGTCTCATTTATCTGAATTGTATCTCATGTATTTAATCACATTATGTAAAGTCCCCAAAAGTTTTTGCTATTGTGTTTGTTTTTATGCTAGAACCATATGTATCGATGTTGCCCTGTTCAACATACATAGAGAGACATGTTGCCAGATCTATGTCACTGCATATTTCTGTTGCTGAGGGTATTTCGCCTAAACCATGTATGCGGCCCCTACAGATGGCATCAATCACCATCCTTATTTGCACAGTGAAGCTAACTCTGTTGTCTAATTTGTTGAAGAAAAAATTAGGAATACTTGAGCCTTTAGTTCTTACTTGTGTCCCTGTCAAGAGTTTCCACAGGACTGATTACTGTTGGTGCCAGTAAACATGTTTCAGAGGGATTTCCATTTTCAGCAACACACATTCCCTTGTTGCCAGTGATGAATTTATTGAGTGCCTACGTCATCAATGGAAGAACTGCCACTCTCCGGTCTCTTTCTTTGCAAAAATAATGAAAGCTTTTTTTCTAAGACTTCTTTAATCTTGGGTGTTCTATTGACTCTGTGAATTAGTTTATATGGAGATCTGGATTCTCCTAGCATGATGAGGTGAAAAAGTTATGGAGCCTCGAACATTCTTTGACGTTGAAGGAATGGTATGGTGTAGACATTTCCACAGCAGTTTTTGCCAAATTTACATTGCTGCCCTTAATATCCCAGGAAACACTGTAGACTCTCTAGTCCTCATGTGAAGATGGATGTTTTGAAACACAGAGATCATTCCAATAATGGGGTAGCTGTGTAAATTTTCTAGCAGCATAAAAATTTTTCTTGTTTCTTAATAGATGCCCATACACTTGCCTAGGTCTTGCAGAGGGCCATGTGCCCTAATGCCTACAATTAGATGGCTAAAGGTCACTGACTGGAGTACTGTAGCATTTAGGGGAAACCATTTCACTATGGAAACATTGACCTAATGAGTTTGCAGGGGATTACAGCCCATTAGATGGAATGTTCCTCATCTAAACTTGCATGCAAGAATGTTTCTGAGAAAAAGACTACAGGAGCAGTGTGTACACAGATGTGAGGATCTCCAGGCATGTTGATCTTCTGTGGACACAGTTATTGTCATTGACTATAATCAAGAGGTTTTGTGGCTTCCTGTATCCTCTCAGAGGTTCACCTCATATCCATTGGTGTGCTGGCAGAAAAACAAAGACAAAGGCAAAGGGTGTCTGTAGTCCAGTGATCTGACTTTTTTGACCCAGAAAGCATTCTTGTTGGTTTGTGTGAAAGTCCTTCATTGTTCATTACATTTTCTGTTCCCGATGGCATAAGATGGTGAATTGAATATAGATTTGCCCAACCTATTTTTCCAATATAGTTGAAAATGCACATTTTAAAATTTTGAATCAGTTTTTAAAAGGTATAATGAGTAAAGTACAGGTTAGGTATACTGTTTCATAAATTATGATGTGTTCATTAAACTAAAACCATCATTATAATCTTAATATTAATCAGATCTGTCCCTGTGAACTTGGTTCATGACTTTTTTAAACGTGTCCCTGGGCTTCACAGCTTATGTAACATTGACATACATTCCAGTTTAATAGATCACTTTTCATTTTTCTAAGGATTTTTTTGGCTTTAATATATATTTCATAAATTCTTAGAGATTTATTAAATATATATTAGTATATCATGTTTTTTTCCTGATATTCTTACCGTTGAATATATCATCAATAGTTTATCCATTTTATGAACATTTAGTCATTTCTTCTTTTTCTTTTTCAAAAATATATTTTATTGATTTTTTACAGAGAAAGGGAGAGGGATAGAGAGTTAGAAACATCAACGAGAGAGAAACATTGATCAGCTGAATCCTGCACTCTCCCCCCCTTCCCCCACTGGGAATGCGCCTGCAACCAAGATACATGTGCTTGATGGGAATCAAACCTGGGACCCTTCAATCCACAGGCTGTTGCTCTATCCACTGAGCCAAACCTGTTAAGGCACATTTGGTTATTTCTAATAAAGCGGCTACTAACATTACTGTATAAGTCTATATATGGATATAAGTTTCATTTACCTTTAGCAAAAATTCCATGCCTAATCTGAGTTGGTTTGTATATAAGTGTTTAAATTTACAAAGATTAACATTGTGTGATCTAAACAGAATATACCATCATGGATGCTGTAGCTTATGTGTTTAGGTGTGAAGCCATGCACAGTAGGGTTACTACTTGGATGATTGAGCTTGTGCCTGGATTGTGTGCTAGTTTCACAGAATGCGGTGTGCAGAAGGCAGCCTTGTCGATGTTGCACTCTTGCATCGTGTTTTTCTCCTTCTTTCTCCAAATAATAAAAGTGCCCACGTTACCCTAACAGGTTTGGCTCAGTGGATAAAGTGTCGGCCTGCAGACTGGAAGGTCCCAGGTTCGATTCTGGTCAAGAGCATGTACCTTGGTTGCAGGCACATCCTCAGTGGGAGGTGTGCAGGAGGTAGCTGATCGATGTTTTTCTCTCATCAATGTTTCTAACTCTTGATTCCTCTCCCTTCAATAAAATATATCTTTTTTTTAAAAGTGCCCATCTCGCTTGGCATATTCGTTGAGTTTTGACCTATTAACCAGGTGGTCATGGGTCGATTCCAAATCAAGGCACATTCCCAAGTTGCCGGCTCAAACTCCAGTGTGGGGTGTGCAGGAGGCAGCCAATCTATGATTCTCTCTTATCACTCATGCTTCTTTCCATCTCTCTAATAAGTCAATAAATATATATATATGTCCTTAAAAATCAATAAACTATTCTTTAAAAATAAACTGATTGTACCCTTTTGCATTTTTCCACCAGTGTGTGAAGTGTTCACATTCTCGAAAGTATCTTGTTTGATCATGCATTTTTATATAAACATATTCTGTAATTTTGTCATTCTTCATCACTTTTTATTATAGTTTTTCTAGGACTTTATGGTGAGCCTTTTCTCAGAAGTGTATTTGTTGAGCCTGTATCTTTGTTAAAACACCTTATCATATGTTCTGCCTAATGTGCTGAGAGTTTTGGTAATTTTCTTCAAATAAAACAGTGAAACAATAGAGATGGATGTTGGAATTTTTCTCTCTTTTTTGTGCCCTTTTCACTTAAGTAAACGTGTGTGTGTGTGTGTGTGTGTGTGTGTGTGTGTGTGTTGGAATAATATGTTTTAATGTTTTTTCCTTTTAAAAAAATATATATTTTATTGATCCTCCACAGAGAGGAAGAGAGAGAGATAGAGAGCCAGAAACATCGATCAGCCACCTCCTGCACACCCCCCACTGGGGACACACCTGCAACCAAGGCACAGGCCCCCAACCAGAACCGAACCAGGGACCCCCAGTCCGCAGGCCAAAGCTCCATCCAGCAAGCCAAACTGGCCTCGGCATGTTTTTTCTTTTTTAATAAAGATACTAATTTACTTAAACATTTTTATTGATTTCATGGAGCAAGGGAGAGGGAACATAAATGTTGAGAGCACAGCAGCATGGCTCAGTGGCTCCATGTGGACCTATGAAGCAGGAGGTCACAGATCCATTCAGTCAGGAAAATGCCTGCACCCTAGGCTAGATACCCAGTATAGGGCATGCAAGAGGCAGCTACTCAATGATTTTCTCTCATCTTTAATGTTTCTTTTATTTCTCTCTTTTTAAAATTTTTTTATTCATTTTAGAGAGGAAGGAAAAGGAGAGAGAGAGAGAAACGTCAATGATGATGGAGAAACATATATTCTCTGCCTCCTGTATGTTCTGTACTGGGGACTGACCCTGGGTACGGGGCTGAGGGCTGTTTTCAGGCTGGCCATGACCCCCAGCCATCCAGGTGGTCCCTCCTTGAGCGGAGGACATGGTGGGCTGGAAACCTGGGTGGCTCCTGGCAACCCAGGCTCCCAGTCACGCCTTCAGCAGTGGCCAGGGCAAGCGAGAAGCTTGGCTTCTTCCGTCGCCAGGGGCAACCCAACTCCTGCTCACTCCAGCTCTGGGGCCACCTTCATCTATGTTGGGTTATTTTTCATACTCATTCCTGATTGGCTGGTGGGCATAGCGGACCGACGGTCAATTTCCATGTTTCTCTATCGATATTAGTGTACCTGGGACCTATAAGAAGCCACTGACTCTGCTGCAGGGAGTCAGGTGCTGTGGGCACTCAGGTCTCATCGTGGTGTGCCCACCTGGGAATCCCCAGCAGACTGGCTAGAGCTCCCTGAATCTCAGTTGGCTGGATGTGACATGCAGATGGTTGATGGCGCTTGCTTTGGCCTCCCAAGGTCAGTAAAATAACAAGCTGAGTACTTGTTGCCAAAATTCCAGGAAAAGGTTTTAAAGCATTTTCTCTCTCAATTCTCACATCAAACTGTTGTAGTGGAAACTCATATCAAATCTCTGGAAAAACGGTATCAGAGAAATGAAGTCAGCTCCCCCAGTTGACACCACAGACAAGTGTTAGCTTGTAATTTTAACCATTCTTTTCTCCAGCGTCAAACAGTCTCTACCGCTGATGAGCATCCCTCCCTGGAGCAGGCACAGGATGAGGACCAGGGTGGCTCAGCTGCAGCTCCTGTTTCCATGGTTGCAGTTATGCGTTTCCTCCCGTTCCCTTTACATCTCAGAGCCCTTACCCTGGGCCATCATTCAGGGGGACGCCATCATTTCTCAGCTGCAGTGGTTCCTCCAGGGGAACCTTCTTTCAGGGTGAGCTGCTCTTTGTCTGCCTCCCCTTTGATCCCAGCACAGAGTTTGACCCACAGGAGACAATTAGGTAATTAGGGTTTTGTCTCTGCACCTTCACCCACATGTTGGGTGTTATGCTGTGATCCCATCCACTGTGATGAATTTCTTCCCTCAGTTTGACCCTTCACTCGATGTTTCTATGGGACACTGACATTCACCTGCAGGAGAGGGGACAATGACATGTGTTTTAAAACCTAGAATTTGGGTCGAAACCAGTTTGACTCAGTGGATAGAGCATCGATCTGCGGACTGAAAGGTCCCGGGTTCGATTCCGGTCAAGGGCATGTACCTTGGTTGCGGGCGTATCCCCGGTGGGGGTGTGCAAGAGGCAGCTGGTCGATGTTTCTCTCTCATCGACGTTTCTAGCTCTCTATCTCTCTCCCTCTCTGTAAAAAATCAATAAAATATATTAAAAAAAAAAAAAAAAAAAAGAGAGAGCACTGTTAGGGTTTGGCAGGTGATGCGGGCATTGCAAGAAATCACAGCTAAAAAAGGAGATGCAGCCGAAACCGGTTTGGCTCAGTGGATAGAGCGTCAGTCTGCTGACTGAAGGGTCCAAGGTTCGATTCTGGTCAAGGGCATGTACCTTAGTTGCAGGCACATCCCCAGCAGGAGGTATGCAAGAGGCAGCTGATCGATGATTCTCTCTCATTGATGTTTCTAACTCTCTATCCCTCTCTTCCTCTCTGTAAAAAAAAAAAAAAATGAATAAAATATATATGTTTTAAAAAGTTACAGTTTGCCAAAACCGGTTTGGCTCAGTGGATAGAGCATCGACCTGCAGACTAAAAGGTTCCAGGTTCGATTCCGGTCAAGGGCATGTACATTGGTTGCGGGCACATCCCCAGTAGGGGGTGTGCAAGAGGCAGCTAGTGGATGTTTCTCTCTCATTGATGTTTTTAGATCTCTATCCCTCTTCCTTCCTCTATGTAAAAAATCAATTATATATATATATATATATATATATATATATATATATATATATATATATATATTTATTTATTTTATTTTATTATTTTATTTTATTTTATTTTTACAGAGAGGCAGAGAGAGGGATAGAGTTAGAAACATCAATGAGAGAAAGACATGCCCTTGACCAGAATCGAACCCGGGACCCTTCAGTCCGCAGGCCGACGCTCTATCCACTGAGCCACACCGGTTCTGGCAGGAACATTTTAAAAATACAAAAGCATTTACACAGACGACGCCTCACGGTTTTCCATCCGGCAGCTTTCCCGCGCGCGCGGCGGCCTAGGCATGAGCGGGACGCAGTCGCCGTCTGAGAGGATTTTCCCCCGCCTCGCACTCGCACTCACCCCGGCTGGGCCTTCCGGGAAGACCGGGACAGGCAGGCCTCAGTTTCCCTAAGCTCCCCGCCCGCGTTCCCTTATTTATTTTTTTTTTAAGTTACAGTTCGTTTGCTTTCCAGAAGAGAGTCTGGCAGACGTATAGAGAGGTGTCTTATAAGTATTTTTCCCATGCCTATAAAATGTGTCTAGAGAAAAAGTTATACAGAGTTCAAGAGAGGCTGGTTTGAAAAGGTGGAAGGAAGGAAACGTTCTACTAACTAGAGACCCCTTGGTGCAAATTATCTCTGAGGCATGACAACAGCAGGGAGGAGGGGTGTGTAATAATTTGGCCTTGAAAGTAGCTTATCTGGTTGAGCAGTTTGAACAAAGGAGCTGTTTGAATTAGAGGAGCCAACGATCTTGGGATTTAATTAGCAGGCCCTTCTCTTAAATTCTCGAAGGCAGACCTTTTTCTTTTCCTTCCAAATGCCTCCACCTCATTTAGAACCTAAGGCTTTATTGACCTGATGAGTGACAACTTCTAGGAGATGAAATAAAGGGACACCAGCAATAGTGGGAACATTGTGTTCAGGAGGATGTCAGCAATGGGTCACAGAGAGAATAAACCACTCATTGAATTTTCTCCTCAATCCATAGGAGAAAATAATTTTTCTCTGTTCTAACCACAGTACGGACAAAAGTGATGGCAGAAACTAAACTTAGCAAGCTCAGGGAGCCCAGAATGGCATGGTTAACCTTACAAACACAGACGCCAAAAGTAACCCTATAGGATGGTTTGAAGTTAAAACTTTCTAAGTCAATGTGAGTCTTAGGGGTAGTTATGTGGTCCTAGCCCAGTGGTTCTCAACCTTCCTAATGCTGCGATCCTTTAATACAGTTCCTCATGTTGTGGTGACCCCTATCCATAAAATTATTTTCGTTGTTACTTCATAAATGTAATTTTGCTACTGTTATGACTCTTAATGTAAATATCTGATATGCAGAATGTCTCAGGCAACCCCTGTGAAAGGGTCATTTGACCCCCAAAGGGGTCAAGACCCACAGTTTGAGAACCACTATCCTAGCCTAGTGTGTGTGTGTGTGTGTGTGTGTGTGTGTGTGTGTTTTGCAAAGGTCAAATTTTAAAAAATATATATTTTATTGATTTTGTACAGAGAGGAAGGGAGAGAGATAGAGAGTTAGAAAGATCGATGAGAGAGAGTCATCGATCAGCTGCCTCTTGCACACGCCCTACTGGGGATGTGCCCACAACCAAGGTACATGCCCTTGACCGGAATCGAACCCAGGTCCCTTCAGTTCCCAAGCCAACACTCTATCCATTGAGCCAAACCGGTTTCAGCGCAAAGGTCAATTTTTACCTTGTTGAGCCTGTCTGTTGTCTTTTTGCATCTGGGCTTACATACCATTAGATTTGATTTTTAGAGACATTTCTGTTACATAGACTCATAAGAGAACTATATCCCAACACAGATGATTACAGACCACCAATTATTATTGTTCTTGGGTTAAATATTAACTGCTACCTAATCGATAAACTTTTTTTTTAAGTTTGTGTATATTTTTTCTTTATTTTTTATCCAATCAAAGAGATTTACCTCTTTAGATTCCCCCCGCCCTTATTTATTACCAGTTAATTTCATTTATCCCCCTTAGGTCTACTCCTTTGAGTCTAATGAATAAAAAAGGCTCAAAATTGCCATTCTCCCTAGCATTACTATTGTTATTTTCCTTCCTGACAAATGTCCTAGACTTGGGTCACATAAACTTAGAAAAATTCTCCCCAGGTTTGGACATTTCTTACAACATCACCAAAAGCAATTGCCTTGTGTGAAATGGAAGAACCTTACATGGAGGGGTATCAGCATTTTTAGCTACTCAACTGATTGAAGACAGATTTATAAACATAAACGTAGAGCAGACCCAGAACCCAGCAAGCTAGAGCTTTCCAGTTGCTTTCAGAGAACAGAAGGAAATGCTCAAGCCTTAGGTGACTTTGTTTTTACTCTGTACGTGCATGTGTGTTTCATCCTCAACTGAGGATTTTTTTAACCCTCCTCCACTTTCCCTTTGAGATTCTGCAGTCCCATGCTCCCATAGCTCTGAATTCACTCATCAGTTGTTTTGTTAATTAGATTCCATATATGAGTGAGATGAAGTGATACTTGTCTTTCTCTGGCTGACTTATTTCACTTAGCATGATTATCTCCAGGTCGCTCCATGCTGTGTGAAAAGATAAGAGAATCTTCATTTTTATGGCTGCATAGTATTCCATGGTACAAATGTACCACAGCTTTCTATCCAACCATCAAATGATGGGCACTTGGGCTGTTTGCAGATCTTTGCTATTATAAATGGTGCTGCTATGAACACAGGAGTGCATACTTTCTATTTGTTTCACCTGTCTTAGGATATATTCCTAGATGTGCAATCAGTAGATCAAATGTCAGTTCCATATTAAATTTTATGCGAAACCTCCAAACGGATTTCCATAATGGCTGCACCAGTTTGCATCCCCACCAGCAGTGTACTAGGGATCCTTTTCCCCCACATCCTCCCCTGCACTTGTCCTTTGCTGATTTGTTGATGGCAGCTATTATAACAGAGGTGGGGTGATACCTAATTGTTGCTTTAACTTACATCTCTCTGATGATCAGTCACTTTGAGCATTTTTTTCACATGTGTCTTGCCATCTTATCCACAGGCAGAGCTGGCACTTTGGATGGCATCAGAAGCAGATGCTCTCAAGTATGAGTGTCTGTTTGTGACATTAACTTTGTATAATGGACTCAATGGAGGCAGGTTAGGATGTGAGGGCGATCTGGCTGCCACATCTGTCACCCCATTGATCGCCAGGGTTGATTCGGCTGATCTGGCTGGCTAGGCGGGTGTCCCCCTCCTCCCTCACGGATCCATGTGCGTCCCTCCCAAAGCTGCGCGCTCGCGTTCGGTTGAAGAGGACGACTTTCCCCTAAGAGGAGAGGACCAGTCTTCGGTCAAGGGTATACCAGTAGCTGCGCTCCCCTACTAGAACCTCCAAACAAGCTCTCAATGGAGGCAGGTTAGATTAACTTAGAAAATGTAGCAACAAGCTACATTTTAAAAAAAAATTATTTATTTATTTATTTATTTATTTATTTATTTATTTATTTATTTTAATTAAAATATTATCTGTGTACAGATTTTAACATTGCCCTCCCGCTCCCATACATACCCTCCCGCAACAAGCTACATTTGATCTGAAGGAGAGACATGCCTAATGTTCTGAAAGAAGAAACAATGCCTTCCCCTCAGAAAGAGCAGGTCCTAAAGAAAGAGGTGCAAAACCAGCCACGCAGGTGCAGGAGAAACAAACTTGCCCCAGACATCACCTCCCCTGAAGGCGCTAGAGGACCCTGAGTATACTCGGTGTCTTTCTTGGGCTATTTGCCTCTAAATCCCCTCTTGTGACTGGTTCCTAGCCTTGAAGCCTATGAACTACATTACCCACAAGGCAACGCATGGAATGCCACGAGGCTGAGCCAATGGGGGCTGAGAGGAGGCATTTCCGTTTGGCCGCTTCTGTAGGGCGGGATTTTGTCTTCTGAGGAGTTATCTCAGGAGTGAAAAGGGGTGTCGCCGCATCACTGTCAGTGGACGGAGCCTCCCGTGGTGCTCACCGCTCACACGTGGGGTTGGAGTTCGGAGTCACCGCCCGGACCCCCGCCAGGGCCGGGGCAGGCCCCGCCATTCCTGCCGCGGCTGCCGCTCCCGCCGCCCCCGCCCCGCGCGGCCCACAGAGCGCGATGGCGGCGCCCGCGCTGTGGAGCTTCGCTGAGGTGAGTTCCTGTCCCCCAGGCCCCCCGCCTCCTCACCCCGCACCCCACAGCCCGTTGCGGGCCTGTCCCTCCTGCAGCTCCGTCCGCGGGGAGGACCGTGAGGAAGGCGGAGGGGAGGGAGGAGCGCGGTGGCTTCTGAGGACACAGCCAGTGCGGGGCGGAGAGGACAGGGGTGACCGGTCTCTGAGGTTCCCCTGAGGGTGTGGGTGAGAGCGTCGGCGGGCAGATCAGAGGCTGCAGGGAGGCCGTCACAGCCTCATGGGGGCTTTCCCGGCTGTGGGGTCCCTCAGGGGCCTGGGGTGGTCCTGGACCCGCTGGAAGACAGGCTTCTCCACATGCCATGTGCCATGTTCACGGGGGAGTCCAGCGAGACCCGGTGGCATTGGAGCAGGAAGGGGGCAGAGCTGAGGGAGTGAACCTGGGTCTGAAGATGGGAAGGGGATAAGCGTTACCCAGTGTGTGCACAACTGGAGAAAGTGTGAGCTGATGGTCATAAAACAGAAGCAAAAACCCACGCTTAGCTTTGTCTGGGAGGCATGGTATAGGAGACTGCAGTGGTATTGCTTGGCGGGAAAACTGGGGCCCTGCAGGAATCGCCCAGACCTTAAATGACATTGCTCTCTACTCTCTCCTCCCCCAATCCTTCCCACCCAACCCAGCTGCTCTGCTGAGGGCAATCCCAGTGAGTAATGGGACTGTGATGAGAGAGCAGCCTGCACTGGCATTAGGGCCTGGTATCCTCACTAACCGGGTGCCCTGCAGGAGATGGAGGTGGGGAAGGTGTGTCAAGAGTACAATTATTGGCTATCAGAGAGAAACTCTGGGTTGTTTTCGTTTTGTTTTGTTTTGTTTTTAAATAAACCTTTATTGTTCATATTATTACAAAAGTTCCTCATTTTTTTTCCCCCTCCACCAGGTTCCCACCCCACCCTCTGCCCTTTCCCCAACCCCCATTATCCTCATCCATAGGTGCACAGTTTATGTTCAGTCTCTTTCCGCACACCCCACTCTAGTTTCAATTGTCTTAATTCTGACAGGTTGGCATGACCTTGGAGGACATTGCCCTGTACTTCTCCAGGGAGGAATGGAGCCTCCTGGATGAGGGTCAGAGACAGCTGTACCTGAATGTGATGCTGGAGAACTTTGAACTTGTATCCTCGCTGGGTAAGACCCTCACTCTCACCAGTGACCTGGACTTGGCTTTGTGATTTTTCCAGGCCCCATCCCCCAGGGTGTGCTGTGTCCTCCCATGTAGTCTGTGAAACTGCTTGATTTTCCAGTTTCCTGGGGAGGGTGGGTCTGTTCCCACGGCTCTCTTCTATTGCTGAAGCCCCAATTCTCCCTGCTGGACTACATTCACAGGGAAGGACTTGAGGATAAGTAGTGTTTCAGGAAGCATGAGGGATTCCACTTTTTTCTGTGAGGAAAGCATTTTCTATATTCCATTTGGTTATTTGTACCTATTTTTGTGAAGAAGTGTTTCTACATCCTTATCCTGGTTAATAACTATTTTTTGGTTAAACATTCTTTTGATGACCTTGTGTATTTTATATATTAAAGGCTTATGATGTACAGGAACACATTGTTGCATGTGCAGAATTGCACTTTGCAGATATTGCTCCCCCACACCTGCTTTTCTACAAAGTCCATATTTTTGCAACCTTGGGTTCTGCAGGTTTAGTGCCACCATATTTCTAGCAAGCTCAGATGCTTGTTTCTTGTGCTTAGCACGTAAATATTGTTAATGGAGTTATATAGACTTAGCTTTTGACAGAGTCATTGCATTGTTATTAGCCTGTTCTATGGTATTATTAACATACCCTTATTATTCCCTGGGAATTCCACCTATTTGTGTGAATTTCTTTCCATATTGCAATATTTGCTTTATTATGCGGATCAGAACTGAATTCACAATCTCTCCCACCGATTCTTTCATATAATTTGCAAGTATTTTCTTCTGTTGTTTAGATTTCCTTTCATTTTGTTCATTGCTGTTGTGCTAAGAAGAACCTTTTTATCGTTATTTGTTGCAGTGTGCACTGTTTGTTTTTTCTCTTTTGTCTGGTGGTTGGTGTCACATTTAGAAAATCTGTTGCAAAACAAGTCTCCAAAACTTTTTCTTTAGATTGTCCTGAGGAGTTTTCAGTTTTAGCGCTGACATTCAATTCTGTCATGCAGGTTGAGTTACATTTTATCAGTGGTGGCCAGTATTGTTGTGTTTACATGTAAGTATTGATTTCAACAGCACCATTCATTGAAGAAACTATCTTTCCCTTCTTCTGTGTCTTGCAGCTTTTTCAGAGATTACTTGAAAGGATGTGCCTGGATTTATTTTCTAATTTCTGTTCTGTTCTGTCACTCCCATAACTTTTCTTCCTTTCTTTCTTTCTTTCTTTCTTTCTTTCTTTCTTTCTTTCTTTCTTTCTTTCTTTCTTCTTCCTCCTCCTTCTTCCTTCCTCCTTCCTCCTTCTTCCTTCTTCCTTCTTCTTTTTTAATATATATTTTTATTGATTTTTTACAGAGAGGAAGGGAGAGAGTTAGAAACATCCATGAGAGAGTCATTGATCAGCTGCCTCTTGCACGCCCCCTACTGGGGATGTGCCTGCAACCAAGGTACATGCCCTTGACTGGAATCGAACCCGGGACTCTTCAGTCCTCAGGCCAACACTCTATCCACTGAGCAAAACTGGTTTTGCCTCTTTCTTTCTTTTAACAAAAAATATATTTTATTGATTTTTTTTACAGAGAAGAAGGGAGAGGAATAGAGTTAGAGACATCAATGAGAGAGAAACATTTATCAGCTGCCTCCCGCACACTCCCCACTAGGTATATGCCCTCAACCAAGGTACATGCGCTTGACTGGAATCGAACCCGGGACACTTTACTCTACAAGCTGATGCTCCATCCACTGAGCCAAACCTGTTAGTGCTGCCCATAACTTTTCTGAATTCAGTTGTTTATTATTGTTTTATGTTCATCTAAATAGTGAGAATATTTTTCTATGAATTTTTATTTTCTTAGAGAAAGAGAAAGACAATGAGAAGAGAGGCACAGTGAGAGAGAGACAGACAGACAGAGAGAGAGATATCAATTGGTTGCCTCCCACATGTGGTCCCATTAAGAGAGGTGATTCAACCCGAAACCGACATACCTGCCCCTTTCTGGGAATGTAATCCATGACTTTCAAGTGTACATGTATGCACTCTCAGCACTGAGCAACATGGGCCAGGGCTCTTTATTTCTTGTTTAAATTATTTATTTTGTAACTATACTTTATTGATTTCAGAGAGGAAGGGAAGGAGAGAGAGATAGAAACATGAAGAATGAAAGAGAGACATTAACCAACCTCTTCCTGCACATCCCCCACTGGAGATTGGGCTGGCAAACTGCATGTCCCCTGTCAAGCAATGGATTTATGATCTGAAAGGTCATAGGTCGATGGTCAATCACTGGCCTGTACTGTCCAACCTTTATTTATTTATTTTAGAGACAGGAAGGGAGACAGAGAAAGAGGGAAACATTGATGTGCTGTTTTCCCTATCCAAGCATTCATTGGCTGTCCCCTACATGTGCCCTGATGGGGGATCAAACCCACAACTCTGGTGCATGGGGACCACACACTCAACAAGAGAGCTATGTGGGCAGCCTGTGAATTTGTGTATTAATTTCAAAAGCTCATATTGGATCTTTGCAAATTTCTCTATGAAAGATCATGTCATCTCCTAACATCAACGGCTCTTATGATGCTTTGTAGTTCATAATGTAAAGTGTTGTCTTATCTTTCATTTCTTTTTTCATTTACTTGAGGCTTATTTTTGTTTGTTTTTGTTTTTTGCTTTAGTTCAACCCAAATTTTGCCAGTTTTTGTATTTTTTAGAAAATTACCTGTTAGGGCCGAAACCAGTTTCGCTCAGTGGCTAGAGCATCGGTCTGCGGACTGAAAGGTCCCAGGTTCGATTCTGGTCAAAGGCATGTATGTTGGTTGCAGGCACATCCCCAGTAGGGGGTGTGCAGGAGGCAGCTTGTCGATGTTTCTCTCTCATCGATGTTTCTAACTCTATTCTTCTCCCTTCCTCTCTCTAAAAAATCAATAAAATATATATTTTTTTAAAAGAAAAGTACATGTTAAGTATTCTTTATATTGTCTTATCTCTCTTTTTTTGATGCTTGTTCAAATATTTATTATTACATTAATTTGCCACCTTTGGGTTTACTTTCTTGTTTTGTTTCGAGATTCCTGAGATGAGATGTTAGGTTTTTTTCACATCTTTTATTTATTAATTTATTTTTAAAAGATATTTTATTGATTTTTTACAGAGAGGAAAGGAGAGGGATAGAGAGTTAGAAACATCGATGAGAGAGAATCATCTATTAGCTGCCTCTTGCACACCTTCTAGTGAAGATGTGCCCGCAACCCAGGTACATGCTCTTGAACGGAATGGAACCTGGGACCTTTCAATCCGCAGGCTGATGCTCTATCCACTGAGCCAAACCGGTTTTCGCATCTCTTTTTTTTTTTTTTTTTTTTTTTTTTTTGTAGTCTATCCAGATAAAATTTTATCTTAAAATTACATTTTCTGAATTTTATACTTGACTTTTGATAGGTTGTGTTGTTTTTGTCTTTAGAGATTTTTTGTTTGTTTTTTTAATCCATATATTTTATTGATTTTTTACAAAAGGAAGAGATAGGGATAGAGAGTTAGAAACTTAATGAGAGAGAAACATTGATCAGCTGCCTCTTGCACATCTCTCACCGTGGATGTGCCCACAACCAACACACATGCCCTTGACCAGAATCGAACCCAGGACCGTTCAGTCCGCAGGCTGACGCTCTATCCACTGAGCCAAACCGGTTTCGGCTCTAGAGTTTTTTGAATTCTCTTTTGCATTTGGCTATATTGAAATTATTGGTAATTTATTATTTATTATTTTCAAATATTAGAGGAGGAGACAGAGAGAGAGAGGGAGAGAGAGAGAGAGGAAACATCATTGTAAGGGAGTAAAAGCAATCGGCTGCCTTTTCCTCACTAGGTAACTGGAAGTGGAACCCACATGCTTATATGTGCCTTGGCTGGGAATTGAATCCTTGACCCTTTGGTACGTAGGACAAAGCTCCAATCAGCTAAGCCATAGCTGGGATGGCATTCTGTGGTTTGTAAACACAAAATTTTTGAAGAAGAGGTCACTAGGGTCAATGATGTTAGAAGCACAGTAGCTTGTGGAGGTATTTCTGACCCTTTTTTGTTATTTAACTGTAGGTATCTTCAAATGTCTTTGTTTACCCAGTCTTCTTAAACATTTCTTCTATACAGTTCTCTCTTGTTTTCTGTAATCCTTCTTAATTTCATTTCCTGTGTAATGCTTTGGTCTTGGATAGCTGTCTACTTATACTCACATGTGTGATCCTGCAAGCTTGATGATGTCACTCACATAGGTCTTTGTCCGTGATCTCATTTGTCATTTGTTGTTCTACCACAGTGATGAACATTCAACTGGTCGGTTTTTCTATGAAGATTTGCATCATTTATCATATGCAGTGACTCAAATGGGCTTAAGGGGCAGAAGCATTTCTGCATCACAGAATAAAGAGGACTTCATGAATGGCAGTGGACTCACAGGCAGCCTTGCCTTGGTGAAGGGTCACTGTGGAGGAATTCTCGGCTGACCCTGGTTACATTTATAGATAGAAACTCAGTCTTTTCTTTCCTTTTTTTATTTTTATTTTTTGCTTATTGATTTATTACAAAGAGGAAGGGAGAGGGATAGAGAGGTAGAAACATCAATGAGAGAGAAACATCGAGCAGCTGCCTCCTGCACACTCCCTACTGGGGATGTGCCCGCAACCAATAAACCAGTTTCGGCCCCCCAGAGTTTTCTTTCAGTTGCCCATTTTTCAGCCAATTATGCCTGTTTGTGCTTATTGATACTTTGCCAACTACTGAGTTCTAATAGCAATCATTTCTACTGGGATTCCTAGTAACCTTAACTTTGGACTTTGAACCTCTGCCTCTTTCACAAGTCTCTCTTTACTGCCAACTAACGTTGGCCCATGCCTGCAGCGCTTTGGAGTGCACACATGTTACTAAATTGACGTTGAACATCATGTGCACTAATACAATTAATTTTTATGGCTTTGAGCAGCTTTAAATTATTATACACAGACTCACATGGTCAGCATATAAGTTGCTAAAGGAAGCTGTTTGTGCAGGAACAATGACTAGAACCTTCCTCTCTTCTTTGTATCCCATCTTGTACTTCTGTCTTTCTCTTGGTAAGCTTTTCATTATCTACTGACTTTTGGGGCCACTTATGTATAACAGCAATTTCCTCAGAGTCCACCTCACTTGTCTTAACAATTTGTCTTTGGAATCAGGCCTAGTCATGACAGAAACATTTGTGTTGAAAATACTCCATTTTCATAAGGTCAACATGTACTTCACCTTCCATTCTTTTTGTTCAGGTTGCTGCTGTGGAGCAGAGAATGTGGAGGCACCAACAAAACAGGTTTCAGTAAGAGTGTCTCAGGGAAGGAATCCCAAGGTAGCCTTGTCTTCCCAGAAGAGCCACCCCTGTGAGAGTTGTGGGCTCACCTTGGGAAACATATTCCATGTGATGGAGCTTCAAAGAAACAAACATGGACAGGTACTTTTGAGATGCGGGGCATGTGCAGAACAGTTTTACTTTAGTGTAAAAGTTGACAAAAAGCATGTTCGAGAGAAGACATTCATCAGAGGTATAGACACGATTTCACATGGAAACAGTTGTAATTTTGATGTGTCCCAGAATCGTTTTACAAGGAGCATTGTTTTTCAATGTCATCAGAGAGTTCACACAGGAGAAAAGCCTTATAAGTGCAGTGAATGTGGAAAATCTTTTACCAGCAAAAATTACCTTCATTGTCATCAGAGAGTTCACACAGGAGAAAAACCTTATAAATGCAGTGAATGCGGCAAGTCTTTTGCAAGGAGCATTGTTTTTCAATATCATCAGAGAATTCACACAGGAGAAAAGCCTTATAAGTGCAGTGAATGTTCAAAATCATTTACTGGTAGAACTAGTCTCCAGTATCATCAGAGAGTTCACAGAGGAGAAAAGCCTTTTCAATGCAGTGAATGTGGGAAAACTTTTACCAATAATAACAACCTTCATAGGCATCAGAGAGTTCACAGAGGAGAAAAGCCTTATCAATGCAGTGAATGTGGAAAGTCTTTTACGGGTATCAGTGTCCTCAAATATCATCAGAGAGTTCACACAGGAGAAAAGCCTTATAAGTGCAATGAATGTTCAAAGTCGTTTACTAGTAGAATTGGTCTCCAATATCATCAGAGAGTTCACAGAGGAGAAAAGCCTTATCAATGCAGTGAATGTGGGAAAACTTTTACCAATAACAGCAACCTTCATAGTCATCAGAGAGTTCACACTGGAGAAAATCTTTGTCAATGCATCGAATGTGGAAAGTCTTTTGCGAGTAGCACTAGTCTCAAATATCATCAGAGAGTTCACACAGGAGAAAAGCCTTATCAGTGCAGTGAATGTGGTAAATATTTTGTTCGTAGTACTAGCCTTCATGCTCATCAGAGAGTTCACACCGCAGAGAAGCCTTATAAATGCAGTCATTGTGGGAAATGTTTTAGCTGGAGCAGTAGCCTTCATACTCATCAGAGAGTTCACACTGGAGAAAAGTATCACTGCAATGAATGTGGCAAATCTTTTAGAAGTAGAAATGGTCTTAAATATCATCATGCAGCTCACAGTGGAGAAAGCCGTGATGAGTGCAATTAATGGGTGATATCTCTCCGTCAAATTTGTAAATTACCTCTTCACAAAAGAGTCTTGATGAAAAAAGATTCTTTTTTTTTTTAAAATATATTTTATTGATTTTTTACAGAGAGGAAGGGAGAGAGATAGAGAGCTAGAAACGTCAATGAGAGAGAAACATCGACCAGCTGCCTCTTGCACACCCCCCACTGGGGATGTGCCCGCAACCAACATACATGCCCTTGATCAGAATCGAACCTGGGACCTTTCAGTCCTCAGGCCGATGCTCTATCCACTGAGCCAAACTAGTTTCGGCTATAGTGAGTCTTTTCTGAGATGTATATTTACTTGTCTGTATCTTTGTTAAAAACCTCTGATCTTATGTTCTGCCTAATGTGCTATGAGTTTTGGCAATTTAACAAAAAAACAGTGGAATGACAAACATGGGTGTTGGAATGTCCCTCTATTTGTGCCTTTTTTGATTTAGGGAATAAATATTTTTTTGGATTGGAATAATGTGTTTTAATATTTTATACTTTAAAAATATGTATTATCAGGGATTTTTAAAATATGAAAGATTTATGTGATCTGAAGAGAAACCAGAATATGAGAAAAATTTAAAATATTTTTTTATTGATTTCAGAGAGGAAGGGAGAGGGAGAAATAGAAATAGAAGCATCAATGATGACAGAGAAGCATTGATAGGCTACCTTTTACATGCAGCTACTGGGAATGGAGCCCTGAATCCAGGCCTGTGCACTGACCAGAAATCTAATGGTGGACCTTTTTTTGCTGTGTTGACGCTAAACCACTGAGGCATTTTGATAAATAAAAACCAGTGGGAATTTTTTGTTTTTAAATATTACTATGCACAATGCTGTGAACACTTTTAATTTTAACTGGCACTACTAACATTCTCCATCACCTCTAGAAGAGCAACCTTAGGAAACATTCTCCTGACAAGAACCCTCAATGCCCCAGCGCCAACACACACCTTTGTGTTTAAGGGCTTTTGAGAAAGATCCAGGGCCTTTCTGAAACTGCTGACGCACCTGCAGGGAGGCAGTACTGTGGCCACCAAGGTCTCCGTGTTGGGCCTCTAACCTGGAGCCTCCAGAAGACTCACTACAGCTCCCTGCACCTCAGATGGCTAAATGTGACATGAAGGTAGTGACAAGACTTTGAGAATCAATAAAAGTGACAAACTTAGTACTTGCCTGGGCCAGGGTTCCAGAGTTTGCTTTTTGAGCACTTTCTCTTTTATTTATTTATTTTTTTCATTGGCTCTAGTCACACTTCTTTTAAAAAATATATATTTTATTGATTTTCTTTTTACAGAGAGGAAGGGAGAGGGATAGAGAGCTAGAAACATCAATGAGAGAGGAGCATCAACCAGCTGCCTTCTGCACACCCCCTACTTGGGATGTGCCCGCAACCAATGTACATGTGCTTGACCGGAATCGAACCTGGGACCTCTCAGTCTGCAGGCCCTCACTCTATCCACTGAGCCAAACCATTTCAGCCAACTGTTGCACTTTCTAAAATACAGAGATGTCTTGCCAGATGTATGTCAGTGCATACTTCTATTGCTAAAGGTATTTCACTTGAACCACTTACAAAGCGGTTACAGATGGAATCAATCAAAATCCTCATGTGGACTGGGAAGCTAACTCTGTTGTCTGATTTGTTGAAGAACATCAGGAATACCTGAGTCCCTAAAGGAGACCTTCATTGTTTTCCTTCTCATGAGTTGCCATACAGGGCTCCTTAGTGTTGGCTCCAGAAGACTGAGTATCGCAGAGCTACTGCCACGCTCATGGTCACACTTTCCCTACCGCCAGTGATGGATTTATTGAATGCCTAAGACATGAAGGCAAGAGCTGCCAGTCTTACATCTGTTTGTTTTGTGGAATAAAGAAGGCTTTTCCCTAAGGCTTCTTTAATCTGGGTGTTCTATTTGCTGTGTGGGTTAGCTTATAAGGAGAGCTTTGCAGTTTAAGCATGGTGAACAACGGGAAAGGTATGGTGCAGAAATTGGCACAGTAGTGTTTGCCGAATATACATTGCTGCCCATATTTTCCTCGGAAATACTGTGGACTCTAGTCCTCATGTGAAGGTGTATGCTTGGGGACACAGATCACGTCAAAGAGGGGGTAGCAAAAAAAAAACAACAAAAAAAAAACAAAGGGGGTAGCTGTCACAACCTCAAGGATGTGTTGGAGCAGCATGAATTTTTTCTTTTTTTTAAATATATTTTATTGACTTTTTTACAGAGAGGAAGGAAGAGGGATAGAGAGCTAGTAACATCAATGAGAGAGAAACATCAATCAACTGTCCCCTGTACACCCCCTACTGGAGATTTTCTGCAACCAATGTACATGCCCTTGACTGGAATCAAACCTGGGACCTTTCAGTCCCCAGGCCTAAGCTCTACCCATGTAATGCCCAAGTGTCATAAACCCCAAAAACTATCAGGGAGCTGAATCTGATGCAATTGCAGAAAGCCTGTATTTATTTCAGACTAGTCCAAGTTCAGTTCCACTTACACCAGCGAGGACATGGGGGGAGAGAGAGAAAGAACATCAATGGGTTTTATAGGAGGGTTGGTCCCACTACCTTTGGCTGACCTGATTGGTTGGGTTAGGGCTAGGGTCCAGTTACCAGGAGCTGGCCCAACCCTCCCTGCCCTCTCACCCCGCCCTGCCCTCTCAATCCACTGAGCCAAATCAGTCAGGGCTATGTTAAATTTTTTTATCAAAGTTTATACTGATTTCCATAAGGGCTGTAGCAGTTTGCCTTCCCAGCAGTAGAGTGTAGGGGTTCCCTTTTTTCCACATCCCCCCAAGCACTTGTCCTTTGTTGATTTGCTGATGGCAGTCATTCTGACAGTGGTGGGGTGATACCTAATTGTTGCTTTAACTTACATCTCTCTGATGATCGGTCACTTTGAGCATTTTTTTCACATATCTCTTGATCATCTTCTCTACACTGCAGCCCAGTCAGAGCTGACACTTTGGATGGCATAAGTAGCAGAGTGTTAAGTATAAGTGTCTGTTCGGTGACATTAACTTTGTACAGTGGATTCAGTGGATGCAGGTTAGAGATTTAAACAGGAGTTAGACAATTGAGCAATCTCTGTAAGCTACATTTGGCCTTTGGAGACACCTGCTAAAGGTCCTGAATGAAGAAAACAATGCCCGCCATTCAGGAAGAGCAGGTCTTAAAGAAAGATATGCACAACCTGCAGCTAAAGGAAGCCATCAGGTGCAGGAGAAACAAACTTGCCCCAGACATCACCTCCCCTGAAGGCTCTAGAGGACACTTCCTTTACTTGGTGTGTTCTTGGACTTTCTGCACCTTAAGCCACCCTCATAAGGAATCCTGGCTTTGGAGCTTAGGAACTACATTACCCAGAAGGCCCCGCATGGAATGACAGCAGGGTCAGCCAATGGAATCTCAGAGAAGGCATTTCTGTTTGTCCGCTTACGTAGGGCGGGACCGGTAGTCCTCCCGAGGAGAGGTTCTGTTCTCAGCTTTTTGTCTGAGGCGGCCTGGTTTCCCCTGTCACAGCGTCCTGTGGAGAAGGTGGAGAGTGGTGTTCCCCGCTGCACAGCCTGTGGTCGGAGACTCCCGTGGTGCTCACCGCTCACACGTGGGATTGAAGCTCGGAGTCACCGCCCGGACCCCCGCCAGGGCGGGGACAGGCCCCGCCATTCCTGCCGCGGCTGCCGCTCCCGCCGCCTCCGCCCCCCCGCGGCCCACAGAGCGTGATGGCGGCGCCCGCACTGAGGAGCTTCGCTGAGGTGAGTTCCTGTCCCCCAGGCCCCCCGCCTCCTCACCCCGCACCCCACAGCCCGGTGCGGGCCTGTCCCTCCTGCAGCTCCGTCCGCGGGGAGGACCGTGAGGAAGGCGGAGGGGAGGGAGCAGCGCGGTGGCTTCTGAGGACACAGCCAGTGCGGGGCAGAGTGTCTGACAGAAAACTGGAAAGAATCGCCGAAACCGGTTTGGCTCAGTGGTAGAGCGTCGGTCTGCGGACTGAACGGTCCCAGGTTCGATTCCGGTCAAGGGCATGTACGTTGGTTGTGGGCACATCCCCAGTAGGAGGTGTGCAAGAGGCAGCTGGTCGATGTTTCTCTCTCATCCACATTTCTAGCTCTCTATCTCTCTCCCTTCCTCTCTGTAAAAAATCAATAAAATATATTTTTTAAAAACCCTGAAAGAATCAAGGGACGCTTATGGAGATGGAGTTACATTTATTATTATTATTACGCGTGGAAAATGCGTTTCAAATTCTGAATTCCAACATGGAGGAACTTTTCATACTTACATGTTTTTACCTTCTTTATATCCCAAATATGGGGTGTATCCGTCCTCCTTTGCGTGTTCTTAAGGAGCCCCTATGTGTTGGGGACTTAAGAACTCAACCAAAAAGCCTGGCCTGGTGCCAGCACTGATAATTTCGCCCTGGAAATTACGTCCTGGGAGTAGACTTATTTTCCTTATAATTTAAGCAAGCAAGCAAGCATTTCCAGAAGCCAAATAGCAGGGTTGAAATTTCAAACAGAAGTTTTTATATAAGATGGATGCTTCAAATGGTAAAGGGTGACTAGCCTCTGAGGTTCCCCTGAGGGTGTGGCTGTGAGGATTGGCGGGCAGATCAGAGGCTGCAGGGAGGACAGCACAGCCTCATTGGGGCTTTCCTGGCGGTGAGGTCCCTCAGAGGTCTTGGGTGGTCCCGGATCAGCCTAAAAGACAAGCTTCTCTACATGTCATGTGCCAAGTTCATGGGTGAATCCAGAGAGATCAGTGGTATTGGAACAGAAAGGGGGCAGAGCTGAGCGAGTGAACCTGGTTCTGAAGATGGGAAGAGGATAAACATTACCCAATGTGTGCACACCCAGAGGAAGTATGAGCTGATGGTCCCCTGAACCTGATGTGGGGACTTAAAACTGAAGCGTAAACCCACTCTTGGCTTGTCTTGGAGTCATGATCTAGGAGACTGCAGTGGAATTGCATGGCAGGAAGGCTTTGGCCTGTGAGTCATCCCCAGAGCTTAAATGTTATTGCTCTCTACCCTCCCCTCCTCCAAACCTCCCACTCAACCCAGCTGCTCTGCTGAGGGCAATTCCAGTGAGTAATGGGACTGTGATGAGAGAGCAGCCTGTATTGGCATTCAGGCCTGGTGTCCACACTAACCTGGTTGGTTGAGAGGGGAAGCCGTGTAAGGAGGAGTGAGGGTTCTCAGAGAGACAGCTCTGGTGTCAATTCTCTTACTTCTAACAGGTTGGCGTGACCTTTGAAGACATTGCCCTGTATTTCTCCAGGGAGGAATGGAGCCTCCTGGATGAGGGTCAGAGACAGCTGTACCTGAATGTGATGCTGGAGAACTTTGAACTTGTATCCTCGCTGGGTAAGACCCTCACTGTCACCAGTGACCTGGACTTGGCTTTGCAATTTTTCAGGCCCCATCCCCCAGGGTGTGCTGTGTCCTCCCATGTAGACTGTGGTTCTGCTTGATTTTCCAGTTTCCTGGGTAGTTGCTTTCCTGGGGATGGCTGGTCTGTTTTCACTGCTCCCTTCTATTCCTGAAGTCCCAATTCTCCCAGCTGGTCTTAGTTCACAGAGAAGGACTTATGGTTGGTAGTGTTTCAGGAAGCCTGAGGGATTGCACCTTGATCAGTGAGGAAAGCATTTTCTATATTCCTGTTGGTCATTTGTACATAGTTTTTGAATAATTGTCTCTAAATCCTTGTTCTGATTAGTAAGTATATTTTGGTTAAAGATTCTTTTGCCTACCTTGTATATTTTATATATTGTTATAATCTACAGCAGTGTTTTCCAAACTTTTGACATATGTGTACCCCTTCTATAATTTTCGTAAAACTGAGTACCCCTCGTACTCATGAGAACGTAGAATTAGGTGCAGCTAAGCACGGTGCAGTGCATATCTCCACCAAACCCTTCCTGTACCCATGAGGGTACGCGTACCACATTTTGGAAAACAGTGATCTACAGGAACACATATTGTTGCATGTGCTTAATTGTCCTTTGCAGGTATTGTTCTCCAGCACCCGCTTTTCTACAAAGTCCATGGTTTTGGCAACCCTGGGGAACGCAGGTCTAGTGCCACCATGTTTCTAAGAAACTCAGATGGTTGTTACTAGTGCTTTGCAATAAAGTGTTTTTAATGAAATTCTATAGAGTTTGCTTTTCAGTCATTGCATTGTTATTAGCCTGCAGTATAGTATAAACATACCTTTCTTATTCCGTGGGAACTCCAAATATTTGGGTTAATTTCTGTCTATCTCAGTATTCTCTTTATTGTGCTGATCAAAACTGAATCCACAGCATCTCCAAGCTATTCCGTCATATGATTTGCATGTATTTTCTTCCATCCTCTAGATTTCCTTTCCTTTCATTTTGTTTATTGCATTTGTGCTGGGAAGGTGTTTTTCTTTATTTGTTGCAATCTGGATTATTTGTTTTGTCTATTTTGTCTGGTTTTTGATATCACATTCAGAAAATCATGTCTGAGCCCTAACCAGTTTGGCTCAGTGGATTGAGCCTCAGCCTGTGAACTCAAGGGTCCCAGGTTCAATCCCAGTCAAGGGCATTCTTATTTGTGGGCACATCCCCAGTATGGGGTGTGCAGGAGGCAGCTGACCCAGGTTTCTCTTGCATAGATGTTTCTAACTCACCCTCCTTATCCCTTTATATATATATATATATATATATATATATATATATATATATATATATATATAATTTTATTTTATTTTATTTTATTTTATTTTATTTTATTTTTTTACAGAAAATCTCTTGTCCATAACAAATCTCCAAAACTTTTTCTCTAGTTGTCCTGAGGAGTTTTACGTTTTAGCACTGGCATTTAATGTAGATTGAGTTAAATTTTATCAGCGGTATCCAGTATTCTTGTTTTTTATGGAAGCATTGGTTTTTTTAAAAAAAATATTTTATTGATATTTTACAGAGAGGAGGAAGGTAGAGAGATAGAGAGCTAGAAACGTCGAGAGAGAAACATTGACCAGTTGCCTCCTGCACACCCCCCACTGGGGATGTGCCTGCAACCAATTTACATGCCCTTGACCAGAATCAACCTGGGACCTTTCAGTCCACTGACCAATGTTCTATCCATTGAGCCTAACATGTTTCAGCAAAATTTCTTTTGCTATTTGATTTTATTAATTTCATACATGTCAAGATTCTTTTTTCATTTCCTTGTGAAATGCCATATGAATTTTTTTTTAGGATTGAATTTAATCTGTAGATTGTATTGTGGACTATGGATATTTTCACCATATTTCTTTTCTTTTTTTTTTCTTTTCTTTTTTTAATATTTCTTATTCAGCCGGGACTGGTTTGGCTCAATGGATAGAGCGTCGGCTTGGGGACTGAAAGGTCCCAGGTTCGATTCCGGTCAAGGGCATGTACCTTGGTTGCGGGCATATCCCCAGTGGGGGGTGTGCAAGAGGCAGCTGATCGATGACTCTCTCTCATCGATGTTTCTAACTATCTCTCTCCCTTCCTCTCTGTATAAAATCAATAAAATATATATATATTTTTAATTCTTATTCATCTTTTTTTTTTTTTAAACAGAGAAAAAGGGAGAGGGATAGAGATGTAGAAACATTGATGAGACAGAAACATTGATAGCTGTCTCCTGCACACTCTTTACTGGGGATGTGCCTGTAACCAGTGTAACTGCTCTTGGCCTGAATTGAACCTGAGACCCTTGAGTCTGCGGGTCAATGCTCTATCCACTGACCCAAACCAGTTAAGGCTAAACATATTTCTTTTTTATACATATGCTTTATAAAAATTTTTATTGATTTTTTTATGGAGAGGAAGAAAGAGGGATAGAGAGTTAGAAACATCGATAAGAGAGAATCATCGATTAGCTGTCTCCTGCCCGCCTCCCACTGGGGGAGCATGTGCCCGCAACCAAGGTACATGGCCTTGACCGGGATCAAACCTGGGACCATTGAGTCCATAGGCTGATGCTCTATCCACTGAGATATACTAGAAAAGCCATTCTGTGGTCTTTATTTTTATTATTTTTTAAAAATATATTTTATTGATTTTTTACAGAGAGGAAGAGAGGGAAAGAGAGTTAGAAACATCAATGAGTGAGAATCATCAATCACCTGCCTCTTGCACACCCCCTACTTGGGATGCACCCGCAACCAAGGTACATCCCCTTGACCGGAATCGAAGCTGGGAACTTTCAGTCTGCAGACCGACACTCTATCCATTGAGCTAAACCGGCCTTGGCCCATTCTGTGGTCTTTAAACACAAAAATTTCCAATCTTTTTTCAAGAACAGTCCACTAGGGTCAATGATAGCAGAAGATTAGGGGCTCTTGGAGGTAACTCTGACCCTTGTTTTTGACTGTTCATATTTTCAGATATCTTTATTCACCAAGTCTTTTCTAGTCACCCTTTCTGTAGCATTCTCCTTTATTTGTGTGTGTAATACTGTTTGTCTTCAAGGTACTCTTACTCCCATTTCTTATGTGATTCTTATTCATGGCTACCTGTCTACTTAGAGTGGGGTAGGGAAAGATGCTCATATCTCTGATCCTGCCATCTTCTGGTGTCACACAGATAGGTCTTTTGTCTGTGCTCTCATTTCTCCTTTTGTTCTACCACAGTGTTGGCCATCCATCTTTTCTGTTTTTCTTTGAAGATTTCCGTCATTTATCCCATGCATTGGCTCTAATGGGATTTAGATAGAAACATTTGTGCATCACAGAAGAAACACGACTTTATGAATGACACAGTGGACCCACAGTCAATCTTGCCTTGGTGAAGGGTCATTAGGGAGGAATTCTCGGCTGGCCTTTGTTACATTTATAGCTAGGAACCCAGTGTTGGGTTACAGTCCTCACCCAGTTATGCTTGTTTGTGCTTATGTTGATACTTCGCCTACTTTTCAGTTCTAATAGTGATCATTTCTACTTGGTTTCCCACCTAACGTATAACATTAACCACTCTGCACTTTACACCTCTGCCTCTTTCACAGGTCGCTCTTTACTGCACTCCAATGTTGGTCCATGCCTGCAGCACCTTGGAGTGCACATGTGTTTTATATTGACATTGAACATCCTGTGCTCTGTACAATTAACTTTTTTGTGTGAAATAAATATTGTTCATATTATTATAATTGTTTCTTCTTTCCCTCTCCAAACCCCCCCCCCCACTTGTCCCCACTCCACCCTTTGCCCTTACCCAACCCCACCCCGCTGTCCTCATCCATAGGTATATGATTTTTGTTTAGTCTCTTCCCATACCGCACACAGAGACACCCCTTTCCCCCTGAGAATTATCAATCCTTTCCCATTCTATGCCCCTGATTCTATTATATTCACCAGTTTATTCTGTTCCTCAGATTATTAATTCACTTGACTTTTAGATTCACTTATTGATATGTATTTGTTGTTCATAATTTTTATTTTTACTTTTTTCTTCTTTTTCCTCTTTTTGAAGAACATTTTTTTAGCATTTCCTATAATACTGGTTTGGTGGTGAGGTACTCCTTTAGCTTTTTCTGATCCGTGAAGCTTTTTATCTGCCTTTCAATTCTGAATGATAACTTTGCTGGGTAGAGTAATCTTGGTTGTAGGTTCTTGCTATTCATTACTTAGAATATTTCTTGCCACTCCCCTCTGGCCTGCATATATTCTCTTGAGAAATCTGCTGATAGTCTTATGGGTGCTCCCTTGTAGATAACTAACTGTTTTTCTCTTGCTGCTGGTAAGATTCTCTCTTTGTCTTTTGCTCTTGGAATTTTAATTATGATGTGTCTTGGTGTGGTCCTCTTTACATTGCTTTTATTTGGGGTTCTGTGTGCTTCCTGGCCTTGAAAGTCTATTTCTTTCACCAGATGGGGGAAGTTTTCAGTCATTATTTCTTCAAATAGGTTTTCAGTGTCTTGCTCTGTCTCTTCTTCTGGCACTCCCATAATTCTGATATAGGTTCACTTGAAGTTGTCCCAGAGGCTTTTTACACTATCTTTAACTTTTTGGATTCTCTTCTCTTCTTGCTTCTCTGGAAGAGAGTCCTTTGTTTCTTTGTATTTCAAATCTTTATTTCAGTCAGTGTATGTTTAATTTCTAGTTGGTTTAATTTCTTTTACATACCCTCGAGGATCTCGTTAAATTTATTGGCCTTTTCTAGGAAAGTCTTGAAAAACCTTATAACCGTGGCTTCGAACTGTATATCCAGTCTTTTGTTCTCCTCCATTTCTTTTGTTTGAGATTTCCTTCCTTTTCTTGGCATTTTCACTGCTTATGCAAAAGCAGCTGTGTGGAGCCTAGGCGGGTTTGTAGAATGTATGGGGTGGGGCATCAGGGTGGGACAGAATCTCAGGACTTCACTAGGCTGGGGCTTGGCAAACAGCAATGGCTGCCATCAGCCATCTCTGCCTTTCAGCGTTTCCAAGTCTCCACTCTCCAGTGCAGTAAACAATGATTGCTGTGTGCACTTCTAGGCTTTTCAGCTTTTCAGCGCTTGTGCTCCTTTCTCTTTCAGCCAGCTTTCAGGTGGTTTTGAGTGTTAGACGTATTGTCCTTTAGTTATACTTTTGAAATTGTTGTGCCAGGCGGCAGATTAGTTGCTCACCTATGCCTCTATCTTGGTTTCTCTCCCAATTAACTTTTATATCTTCAACAGATTTAAATAATTCTCAGAGACTCATATGGCCAGCATGTAAGGTACTAATGGAAACTGTGCAAAAACAGAGTAGAGCCTTCCTCTCTTCTTTGTGTCCCATCCTGTGGTTCTGTCCTTTCTCTGTGAGCTTTTCATCATTTACGGACTTGTGAGGCCACATTTTGTATTTCCTCAGAGTATACCTCATTTGTCTTGCAACCAGGCCTAGTTATGACACATAAACATTTGTGGTGAAGATATTCTGTGTTCATAAGATCAACATGTACCTCACCAGTGTTTCCTTTTGTTCAGGTTGCTGCTGTGGAGCAGAGAATATGGAGGCACCCACTAAAGAGAACGTTTCTGTAAGAATGTCACAGGCAGGGAATCCAAAGGTAGCCTTGTCTTCCCAGAAGAACCACCCCTGTGAGGGTTGTGGGTTAGTCTTTGGAAACATTTTTCATTTGACTGAGCTGCAGGGAACAGAATATGAACAGATACTCTTGAGGTGCAGGGCATGCACAAACCGATTTTTCTTCAGTGTAAATGATGAAGAGCAGCATGTGACAGAGAAGACTTCCATTAGCGGTGTGGACAGGATCTCACGTGCAAACAGCTACAATTTCAATGTGTCCCAGAATCATTTCACATGCAGTTTTGTTGGGCACGGTGTCCTTACTGGGTCCAGACATTTCCACCTAAAGGCTACTGTGTCCAGGGACAGTCCAAGTGCTGTTTCAAAGTGTGAGATGATGTTTCAAAGGAGAAGCAATTATTACACCAGAAAAGAATGTGAGGAAGACAGTAGTTGCAATCACAATTTTATTCCGGAAAAGGATGTCCATGCAGAAAGTCAGTGTTTTGTGAGCTCTGAAAGTGGAAAATATTTAACCGACTTTTCTAGCTTTCATGATCAACAGCGAGATCACGCAGAAGAGAGACCTTATCAATGCAGTGAATATGGGAGAGCTTTTAGCTATAGTCACAGCCTAGGTGATCATGAAACTTTGCCCACTGGAGAAAGGCCTTATGTAAGCAGTGAATGTGGATCAGCTTTTGCCAGTAGCAGTGCCCTCCATTATGATCAGAGAGTTCACACAGTGAAACGGGCTTATGAGTACAATGAGTGTGGGAAATACTTTACTGATAGCAGCAACCTTCATTGTCATGAGAGAGGTCACACTGGAGAAAAGCCTTATAAATGTGGTAAATTTGGAAACGCTTCCACTAGAAGCACTAAAGATTATTATCATCCGAGAGTGCACACTGGAGAAAGGCCTTACCACTGCAGTGAATGCGGAAAGTTTTTTATTACTAGCACTGAACTTCATTGTCATCAGAAAGTTCACATTGGAGAAAGGCCCTACCAGTGCAGTGAATTTAGAAAAGCTTTTACAACTAACTCTCACCTACATAATCATGAAAGAGTTCATACTGGAGAAAATCCATATAAATGCATTGAATGTGGAAAGTCTTTTACAAGTAGCCCTGGATATAAATATCATCAGAGAATTCACACAGGAGAAAAGCCTTATCAATGCAGTGAATGTGGGAAATCTTTTGCCACTAGCACTAATCTTCGTAGTCATCAGAGAGTTCATAGAGGAGAAAAGCCTTATAAATGCAGTGACTGTGGGAAATCTTTTAAATGGAGGACTCCTCTTCGTCGTCATCAAAGAGTTCACACTGGAGAAAATCCGTATCAATGCATTGAATGTGGAAAGTCTTTTACAACTAGCAATGGTTACCAGTATCATCAGAGAGTTCACACAGGAGAAAAGCCTTATCAATGCAGTGAATGTGGCAAAAGTTTCACCTCTAATACTAACCTTTGTAAACATCAGAGAGTTCATACGGGAGAAAAGCCTTATCAGTGCAGTGAGTGTGAGAAATCTTTTACCACTCGGAGTCACCTTCGTAGTCATGGGAGAGTACATACAGGAGAAAAGCCTTATAAATGCAGTGAATGTGGGAAATCTTTTACATGGAGGAGTGGTCTCCAATATCATCAGAGAGTTCACACTGGAGAAAGCCATTATGAGTGCAATTAATGTGAGGAATATATCAATAGCAGGCACATTTCTAAATTCACTCTCCACATAAGAGTGCAGATGTGAGAAATTTCTTATATTTGTAGGAAATGTAGTTTCTTAGAACTTCACAAAATTTGTGAATCCTTATTTTTCTGAATGGTATCTCATACATTGCTGACCCATATTATGTAGTGTGTGTTTGCTGTTGTGTGTGTGTTGCTTATGTTGGAACACTATGTAATTATGTTGCACTTTGTATCATACAGAGATGTCCTTTCAAGATCTATGTCGCTGCATATTTCTGTTGCTGAATAAATTTCACCTGAATCACCTATCAGGTCCCACAGTTGGCATCAATCACCATCCTCATGTGCCTAGTGAAGCTAACTCTGTTGCCTAATTAGTTGAAGAAAATTAGGAATGCCCGAGTTCTTAGTTCTTACTTGTTTCCCTGTCATGAGTTGCCACAAAGGACTGATTCCTGTTGGCCCCAGTAAACACAATGTTGTACAGTTACTGCTTCAACAGTTTCTGCCATTTTCAGGAACACACTCTCCCTAGATGCCAGTGATGAATTTATTGAGTGCCTAAGTCATCAACTGTCAGTCTCAGGTCTCTTTCTTTGCAAAATAATGAAGGCCTTTTCTAACACTTGTTTAATTTTGGTGTTTTATTTACTGAGTGTGTTAATTTATAAGGAGACCTGGGCTCTCCAAGTACGGTGATATGAAAAACTCTTATGTGGTCTCCAAAACTTTTGTCATTGAGGAAAGACTATGGTGTAGTAATTAATTAGCTCAGCACTTTTTGCCAAATTTACATTGCTTTCCTTTATTTACCTAGGAAACATTGTGGACTCTAGTCCTCATGTGAAGAGGGATACTATGAGACACAGACATCATTCCAAAGAGGGGGTAGCTGTGAGAATCTCAAGTATGTCTGGGAGCTGTGTGAATTTTTTTCTTGTTTTCGGGGGATGCTAAGACATTTGAGGGAAACCTCCTGCCCAGGTCTTGCAGAGGGCCATTTGCCCTAATGCCTTCAATTCTATGGGTGATGGTCACAGGTTGGAGTACCATGACAGTGAGGAGAAACCCTTTCACTGCAGAAACACTGAGCTAATTGTTGTTTGGAATTGTCTTCATCTAAGCCTGCAAACAGAAATTTTGTTGAGGAAATGACTACAGGAGTATTGTGCACACACATCTGAGAAACTACCTGCATGTTTATATTCTGTGCAGCAGCAGTTTTTGTCATTGATTATAATCAAGAGGTTTGTGGCTTCCTGTTGCTTCTCAGATTTTCCCATCAGATTTTCCCATTGGTGCTCTGGCAGCAAAACTAAGAGGAAAAGAAAGTGTGTCTTTTGACCTGAGATATAGCTTTTGTAACCCAGTAAGCATTCTCGTGGGTTTGGGTGAAAGTTCTTTATTGTTTTTTACATTTTTGTCATTGATATGAGACTTACTCACAGGGAATAAGTATGTCAATTGAATATAGAGTTGCCAAATCTGTTCCAAAATATGTGTACATATATTTCTTTTATCTTTAAACTTTTTTTAACAGCTGAAATGAGTAAATTGCATGTATAAGTGCAGTGTTTCATAAATCTTGACATGTACATGAAACTGAAATCATCATTACACTCAATACTGATCATATCTGTGACTGTGTAGTTGCTTCATGACCTGCTTTTAATCTGTTTGCTGTTCTTAATAAAGAACTTGACTTTTTCAAAGTATTTCTCAGCTTTAATTATTATTTTATAAATTGTTGGAGATATTTAAAAGATTTTGTAACTCATATTTGTTAATATATTTCATTGATATTTATACAGAGGAAGGGAGAGGGATACATCAATGAGAGGAAAACATCGGTCAGCCGCCTCCTGCACAACCCACAACGGGGATGTGCCTGCAACCAAGGTACATGCCCTTAATTGAATCAAACCTGGGACCTTTCAGTCTGAAGTCCAATGCTCTATCCACTGAGCCAAACCGGTTTCGGCTCATCCCTTTTTTTTTTTCTTCATACATATTCTTTTTGTTGGTGTTAAACTTCACTCAAGGATATTTTTCCATTAAACTTGTTGGAGAGAGGAAGAAAGAAGGAAAGACAGAAATATTGATGTGAAGGAAACATCGATTGGTTATCTCCTGCAACAGCTGTGACTATGGCCCAGGATTGTGACTATGGCCCAGGATGGGAAGGAGTCTGCAACCAAGATATCTGCCTTTGACTGGAATTGATCCCAGGAGCCTTTGGTCTGCAGTCCTATGCTCTATTTAGAGCCAAAGTGGCTAGGGCTCAAGTGGATAGTCATATTTTTGAATATATCACCATCATGTCAATTTTAATGTTTTGTTATTGTTAATAAAGCAGGTACGAACATTTCTGTATAATTCTTTTTCTTTTATTAAATACCCAATATATACTTTATTCATTTTTTGCAGAGAGGAAGGGAAAGGGATAGAGAGTTAGAAACATCAATGAGAGAAACATCAATCAGCTGCCTCCTACACATCCCCCACTGGGGTCGTGCCTACAACCAAGGTACATGCCCTTCACCAACATTGAACCTGGAACCCCTCAATCCACAGGCATTGTCTCTATTCACTGAGCCAAACCAGTTAGGACTCTGTTTAATTGTTTATATGGATATACATGTTATTTATCTTTGTGAGTCAGACATCCCCTGTGGGCTTCTGGACTGCAGGAGGCACAGCCCAGGCTAAGGGATCCCCGAGTGCATGAATTTTGTTCACTAAGCCTCTTGTTTATACATATAAACTAGGAATTCACAATTACATTCATCAGGGAGGATGCCTGTGTCCCAGATGGATTCAGAGTATGGAGCATACAGGAGATAGCAGATAAATGATTCTCTCTCAGCATTGATTTTTTTTCTCTCCAATTCTTTTGAACTCTAACCTCTCCCTGCAGAGACATTCCCAGGCCAGACACTTCTCACTCTCCGATGCCCACGACCACCATTGTTATTGGGTGCATTTTAATAAGGAAATGTGGAAATTGACCATAACTCTACTAAACACACAAGGCCAATAAGAGTGAGTATGCAAATTAATCCAACTAAGATGTCAATGACCATGGAGCAAGCACGAGGCTTGGGTTGCCCCTGGCGATCGAGGAAGCAAAGCTTCCTGCTTGCCCTGGCAGGCCCTATTCTCTGATCTAGGCTACTAAGTTTGAATTATAGAAGATAAATCCAAATTCTTGCTTCCAAATGGCCCTGGCCTTTGCTCAAGGAGGCACTGAAAAAAAGAAAGAAGGAAGGTATGGGAGATTGGGTCACCTGTGTGTGATCAGGCCAGGAATGGACAGCAGTTGTGGGTGATGAGGCTGGGGGGGGGGGGGCCTTTGCTTTGCTTGACTTTTATATATATAGATGTTTGCTTATTATTTCCAGAAAATGAATCTAACATGTTACCTGCAATAAACATTAATATCTCAAGAAAACTGAGCACAGGTCTTCTGTTGATTTATAGAGGCAATGTTCTTTTTTTATTTCATTTATTTTTTAAAATTTCTTTGTTGATTAAGGTATCACACATTTTTTCCTCATCTCCTCGTTCCCATCCCAAACCCCTCCCCACGCATGCCCATACCCCACTGTTTTTCCTGACTTCTGGGTAGGCTCATATGGATGCACACAAGTCTGGTTGATCTCTCCCCCTTATCCCCACCCTACCTTACCTTCCCTCTGAGGTCCCACTGCCTAATCTATGCTACCTTGTCTCCAGGTCTATTCTTGTTCATCACTCTATGTTGTTCATCATTTCCCCAAATGAATGAGATCATGTGATAATAGAAATACTCTTATAAAACCGATGATGAGACAAACAATTATGATTATGTTGAAAGGCAAATGAATCAGTCTTTTCTATAAAATTTACTTGCAATTCTTTTTCATTTTTTTGCCCAAGGATTTTCCTTTGGCTTGTTTTGACCCCATGTATGTTTTACATGGGTGTCTTCTGTTAGCATTGCAAATGAAAATTAATTTTCTAAAGTAAAAATTTTCTAGATGTAATTTACTTAAAAGATATTTTCCTTACATGATATACTTTTTCTATTCCCCCTCCCTTTTTTTTAAAAGAGAGAATATGAGGATTTTATTTTTTTAATATATTTTATAAATTTTTTACAGAGAGGAAGGGAGAGATTTATTTAGAAACATCTATGAGAGTCATAATTCAGCTGCCTCTTGCACGCCCCCTACTGGGGATGTGCCTGCAACCAAGGTACATGCCCTTGTCCAGAATGGAACTCAGGATCCTTCAGTCCTCAGGCCAATGATCTGTCCATTGAGCCAAACTGGTTTTGCCCCTCCCCCCGTTTTTTTAAAATATTTTTTTATTGATTTCAGAAAGAAAGGGAGAGGGAGGTTCCAGGTTCAATACTGGTCAGGGGCATTTACATTGGTTGTAGGCACATATCCGGTAAGGGTTGTGCAGGGGGCAGATGGTCAATGTTTCTCTTTCATTGATGTTTCTGGTTCTTAATCACTTTCCCTTCATCTTTGTAAAAAAATCAATAAAATATATTTTAAATAAGTAAATATTTTAGTTCATTTTTAAATTATTTTTTATTGATTTCATGGAGCTGGGGAGAGGGAGAGAGAGTTAGAAACTTGAATGAAGCCAAAAACAGTTTGGCTCAGTGGATAGAGTGTAGGCCTGCAGACGGAAAGGTCCCAGGTTCGATTCCGGTCAAGGGCCTGTACCTTAGTTGCAGGCACATCCCCAGTAGGGGGTGTATAAGAGGCAGCTGATGGATGATTCCCTCTCATCGATGTTTCTAACTCTCTATTCCTCTCTGTAAAAAATCAATAAAATATATATATTTTTAAAATGGCACAGCCAGAATGGATTAGTGGTTCCACATGGACCTATGATCCAGGAGTTCACAGTTCCATTCCCAATCAGGGCACATTCTTGTGCCCCAGGTTAGATCCCCTAGTATGGGGAAAGCAGGAGGCAGCTCATCATTGATTCTCTCTCATTATTAATGTTTTTTTTCTCTCTCTCCTCCTGGCCTTCCAGACTCTTCCTGCAGAGACATTCCTTGGCCAGACATTTCCTATTCTCCAGATGCCCACAAGCACTGTTGTCTTTGGGTTAATTTTAGTAAAAATGGGACCTATAAGAAGTCACTGACTCTGCTGCAAAGAGGCAAATGCTGTCTTCACTTTGCTCTCATCGTGGTGTGCCCCACTTGGGAATCCCCAGCAGACCGGCTAAAGCTCCCTGAATCTCAGTTGGCTCAATGTGACATGCAGATGGTGGCCTTCCAAGATCAATAAAAGTAACAAGCTAAGTTCTTTTTTCTTAAAATATATTATTTTTTCACAGCGAGAAAGGGAGAAGGATAGAGAGTTAGAAACATAAATGAGAGAGAAACATTGATCAGCTGCCTCCTGCACACTCTCTTACGAGTTCTAGTTGCCAGGATTCCCAGTTAGATATTTAAACATTTTCTCTTAATTCGCCCAACAACCTGGAAAATTGGAAACTCATATAATTGCTGGTGGGAGAAAAAAACCAGTATCAGAGAAATGAAGTCAGCTCCCCAAGTTGACACCACAGACAAGTGTCAGGTTGAAGGGGCTGGATTTTAACCATTATTTTCTCCAGTGTCAGACACAGTCTCTACCGCTGATGAGCAGCCCTCCCTGGAGCAGGTACAGGATGAGGACCAGGATGGCTCAGCTGCAGCTCCTGTTTCCATGGTTACACTTATGCGTTTCCTCCCGTTCCCTTTACATCTCAGAGCCCTCTCCCTGGGCCTCTCTGTGTTCAGGGGGACGCCATCATTTCTCAGCTGCAGTGGTTTCTCCAGGGGAACCTTCTTTCAGGGTGAGATGCTGTTTGTCTCTCTCCCCTTTGATCCCAGTACAGTTTGAATCTCAGGAGACCTCAGTCAATTGAACTGGATCTCTGTCTCTCCATCAGCAACTATTTGTCCCAATTTCTGCACGATTAAAGATTACATCAAGGGATGCCTGAGATGAAGGCCCCAGAACTTTTCCTGGGATCTATTTGGGACAAGGATATATTCATAGAAGTGAAGCACTGGATCAAATGCAGTCCCATATTAATTTTTTCGTGAAAACACCAAACGGATTTCCATAATGGCTGCACCAGTTTGCATCCCCACCAGCAGTGTACTAGGGTTCCCTTTTTTCCAAATTCCTCCCTTTGCACTTGTCCTTTGTTGATTTGTTGATGGTAGCCGTTCTGACAGTGGTGGGGTGATACTTAACTGTTGCTGTAATTTGCATCTCTCTGATGATTAGTCAGTTTGAGCATTTTTTTCACATGTTTCTTGGCCACCATATCCACACTGCAGCCCAGGCAGAGCTGACACTTTGGATGGCATCAGAAGCAGATGCTCTTATGAGTGTCTGTTTTGTGACATTAACATTGTATAATGGGTTCAATGGAGGCAGGTTAGATCCAGTTAGAGACTTGAGCAACCTCCCCAGCTACAATTGGCTGGAAGGAGACACATGCTATAGGCTTGAATAAAGAAACAATGCCTTCCCTTCAGGAAGAGCAGGTACTGAAGAAAGATATGCAAAACCAGCCTCACAGATTCAGGAGAAACAAACAAACTCGGCCCAGACATCACCTCCCCTGAAGACGCTAGAGGACCCTGAGTATACTTGGTGTGTTCTTGGGCCAGTCCTACAGTCAACTGAGAAACGTCTGACCCTGGCATTGGAGCGGGGAAACTACATTACCCACAAGGCCATGCATGGAACGCCAACAGGCTCAGCCAATTGGGGCTTAGACAAGGCATTTCCGTTTGGCCGCTTGTGTGGGGCGGGACCCAGTCGTCTTGGCGGTTTCAGTCTCGCGAGGCGTTATCTCAGGAGTGGAGACCGGTGTTCCCGCCTCTCAGCCTATGGCGGGAGCCTCCCGTGGTGCTCAGCGCTCACACGTGGGGTTGGAGCTCGGAGTCACCGCTCGGACCCCCGCCAGGGCCGGGGCAGGCCCCGCCATTCCTGCCGCGGCTTCTGCACCGGCCTCGCTGGCACTACGAGCGCGATGGCGGAGCCGGTGGTGCCGAGTCGCGGGGCTGAGGTGAGTTCCTGTCCCCCAGGCCTTCCCGCCTCCTCACCCCGCACCCCACAGCCCGGTGCGGGCCTGTCCCTCCTGCAGCTCCGTCCGCGGGGAGGACCGTGAGGAAGGCGGAGGGGAGGGAGGAGCGCGGTGGCTTCTGAGGACACAGCCAGTGCGGGGCGTAGAGGACAGGGGTGCCCGGCCTCTGAGGTTCCCCTGAGGGTGTGGCTGTGAGGATCGGCGGGCAGATCAGAGGCTGCAGGGAGGACGTCACAGCCTCATGGGGGCTTTCCCGGCTGTGGGGTCCCTCAGGGGCCTGGGGTGGTCCTGGACCCGCTGGAAGACAGGCTTCTCCACATGCCATGTGCCAAGTTCACGGGGGAGTCCAGCGAGACCCAGTGGCATTGGAGCAGGAAGGGGGCAGAGCTGAGGGAATGAACCAGGGGATTGAAAATTGGAAGAGGTTGTTAACTTAAAAAAAAAAAAAAAAAAAAAAAAAAAAAACCAAAAAAAAACCCCACATTTAATCCTTTAAGGAATTTTTGTGAGTTTATTTGAGCCAAACTGTCGACATATGTCGGGAAGCAGAACCTCAGTGGAGATGAGGCTCCCTAGAATGGCGGTTTATATTTATACATTGCAATCAAAGGAGGCACATAGGTGGGTTAAATGAAATAAATTGGTAATAGATTAAGGAGGTGGGGTAAAAGTAAAGAGGTGGGAAAGCCCAAGGATTGGGTTAAAAGTAAAATGATGGACACATACTTAGGTGGGTGTGGAAACAAGATAACAATGAAGGAATTTGTGGTATTTATCCTGTAGCGCAGTGTTTTTCAACCTTTTTTGGGCAAAGGCACACTTGTTTCATGAAAAAAAATCACGAGGCACACCACCATTAGAAAATGTTAAAAAATTTAACTCTGTGCCTATATTGACTATATATAAAGTAATTCTCTTGAATAGGAATCAAATAAACACAAAGAAAGTATTTTATAATTACTTTATTATGAAATATTAAGTAAACAAAATAGTGAAAAATTATAAAATTCTTGTCTGCACCTACGGCACACCAGGCAACATCTCATGGCACACTAGTGTGCCGCAGAACAGCGGTTGAAAACGCTGCTGTAGCACATCACATTTGGTTGTGCCCCAGGGGCTCCAGAAAAAGAGAAGGTACAAGTTACCCAGACATTTCAAGGGTATGTTATCATAGATGCAAAAATACAGATAGGCTCAGTTAAGGAAAAGCTTGACCTTGGCAATGAAGATACCGGCATAGGATGTAATTGCCCACCATCACTGTCTTTAGATAAAGTTTAATGTCAGACCATCCTTTGGTTCCATTAGGTCTCTGAGTTTGCAAAACTGCCATGCAGGCCTCCCCTGAGCTTGTCAGGTCAGCATGTGGCCCCTTTTGTCCACAAGGTTAAAGATTACCCTGCGGTGTGCACGTCTGGAGGAAGTGCGAGCTGATTGTTCCCTGGACCTGGTGTGAGGACTTACATGTGAAGCAGAAAGTCACTCTTGGCTTTGTTTTGGAGGCATGGTCTAGGAGATTGCAGTAGAATTGCTTGGCAGGAAGGCTAGGACCCTGCGGGCATTGCCCAGAGCTAAAGTCACATTGCTCTCTACCTTCCCCTCTCCCAGTCCTTCCCACCCAACCCTGCTGCTCTGCTGAGGGCAATCCCAGTGAGTAATGGGATTGTGATGAGAGCAGTCTGCACTGGCATTACGGTGTGGTTTGTCCTGGAGGAGGTTGAGGGTGGGGAATGATTGTCAGGAGAATTACTGGTTCTTAGAGAGACAACTCTGGTGTCAATTGTCTCCATTCTGACAGGTTGGCGTGACCTTTGAGGACATTGCCCTGTACTTCTCCAGGAAAGAATGGCGCCTCCTTGATGAGGGTCAGAGACAGCTGTACCTGAATGTGATGTGGGAGAACTTTGAACTTGTATCTTCCCTGGGTAAGACCCTCACTTTCAAATGACCTGGACTTGGCTTTGGGATTTCCCAGGCCCCATCCCCCAGGATGTGCTGTATCCTCCCTTGTAGACTGTGGTTCTGCTTGATTTTCTAGTTTCCTGGGTAGTTGCTGTTCTTTGGAGGTTTGCTCTGCATCTATTGCTACTTTCTATTGCTGAAGCTCTAATTCTCCCTGCTGTACTACATTCACAGGGAAGGGCTTGAGGTTGATAGTGTTGCATGAAGCATGAGGGATTCTACTTTTTTTTTTCAGGGAGGAAAGCATTTTCTGTATTCCTGTTGGTCATTTGTACCTATTTTTGTGAAGAAGTGTTTCTACATCCTTATCCTGGTTAATATCAATTTTTTTGTGAAACATTCTTTTCACTACCTTGTATATTTTATATATTAAATGCTTATAACATACAGGTACACATGTTGTTGCATGTGCTTAATTGTGCTTCTCAGATATTCCTCCCCCACACCTGCTTTTCTACAAAGTCCATGTATTTGCAAAGTTGGGTTCTGCAAGTCTAGTGCCACCATGTTTGAATCATGGACCCTTTGGTACGCATGATGATGCTCCAATCAACTAAGCCATACCTGCAAAGACATTCAGTGTTTTATAAACACTAAATTTTCCAGTACTGTTTGAAGAAGAGGCCACTAGGGGTAATGATAACAAAATCACAGTGGCTTGTGGAAGGATCTATGATCCATTTTTTAATTTTTTTATTGTAGGTATCTTTAAATATCTTTGTTTAACCAGTTGTTGTTTTTTTACATGCCTTTTATACAATTCTTTTTTATATGTGTTCCGTTATCCTGTTCACTTTCATGGTACTCTTATTCTCATTTCCTGTGTGATGCTTTGGTCATGGATCGCTATTTACTTACACTGGGATGAGGGAAGATGCTCACATCGCTGATCCTGCCATCTTGCTGATGTCACTCACATAGATCTCTTGTCTGTGATCTCATTTGTCCTTTGTAGATCTGCCATAATTTTGACCATCCAACTGTTCTGTTTTTCTTTGAAGATTTGCATCATTTATCTAATGCAATGACTCAAATGCATGTTAGGGGAAGAATCATTTGTGCATCACAGAAGAAGTACGACTTACTTCTGCACAGTTGTCTCACGGGCAGTCTTGCCTTGGTGAAGGGTCAATGGGGAGGAATTTTTGGCTGCCCGTTGTTATATTCATAGCTAGAAATCCAGTGCTTTCTTACAGTTGCCCATTCCTCAGCTAATTATGGTTCTTTGTGTTTTTTGATTTTTTGTCAACTCCTCTTTTTTTTTTTTTTTTTGTTTTTTTTTTTTTTTTTTTTTTTTTTTTTTCCAACTACTCAGTTTTAATAGCGATCATTTTTACTGGGATTCCTCGAAACCTTAACTTTGGACTTTGTACCTCTGTGTCTTTTACGAATCTCTTTACTACAAACCAACATTGGTCCATGCTTGTAGCACCTTGTAGTGCACACATGTTATTAAATTGATGTTGAATATCATGTGCCCTAATACAATTAATTTTTATGGCTTTGAGCAGCTATAAATTTTTCTTCACAGACTCACATGGTCAGCATGAAAGATCCTAAAGGAATCCATTTGTGCAGGAACAATGAGTAGCGCCTCCTTCTCTTTGTATCCCATCTTGTACTTCTGTCCTCCTCTTGGTGAGCTTTTCATAATCTGATTTTTTTTAATATATATTTTATTGATTTTTCACAGAGAGGAAGGTAGAGGGATAGAGAGCTAGAAACATCGATGAGAGAGAAACATCGACCAGCTGCCTCCTGTACACCTCCGACTGGGGATGTGGCCGCAACCAATGTACATGCCCTTGACCGGAATCGAACTTGGGACCTTTCAGTTCGCAGACTGACACTCTATCCACTGAGCCAAACCGGTTTCAGCATCTACTGATTTTTGTGGCCACATTATGTGGAACAGCAATTTCTTCATTGTACACCTCACTTGTCTTAACAATTTTTCTTTGGAATCAGGCCTAGTCATGACAGAAACATTTGTGGTGAAGATACTCTGTTTTCCTAAGGTCAACATGCACTTCACCTTCCTTTCCTCTTGTTCAGGTTGCTGCTGTGGAGCAGAGAATGTGGAGGCACCAAGAAAACAGAAGGTTTCAGTAAGAGAATTACAGGGAAGGAATTCCAAGGTAGCCTTGTCTTCTCAGAAGAGACATCCCTGTGAGAGTTGTGGGCTCACCTTGGGAAACATTTTCCATGTGATGAAGCTTCAGAGAACACAGAACGGACAGATACTGTTGAGGTGTGGGGCATGTGCAGAACAGTTTTCCTTTTGTGTAAAAGGTGACCAACAGCATGTGAGAGAGAAGATTTTCATTACAGATGTGGACACGATCTCACATGCAAACAGTCGCAATTTCAATGAGTCCCAGAATCGTTTCACACGTGGGGAGGTTGGGCAGGGTGTCCTTTTCAAATCAGGACATAGCCACCTCAAGGCTACTCTCACCAGCGACAGTGCAAATGCTATCTCAGCACAAGAGATGACTTTTCAAAAGAAAAAAAATTACACCAAAGAAGATAACAGCCACCTTTGTAGTCATCAGAGAGTTCACAGTGGAGAAAAGCCTTATAGATGCAGTGACTGTGAGAAAGCTTTTACCACTAGCACTCAACTTCATAGGCATCAGAGAGTTCACAGTGGAGAAAAGCCTTATAAATGCAGTGCATGTGGTAAGTCTTTTGCAAGGAGCATTTATCTTAAATATCATCAGAGAGTTCACACAGGAGAAAAGCCTTATAAATGCAGTGACTGTGAGAAAGCTTTTACCACTAGCACTTACCTTCATAGGCATCAGAGAGTTCACACAGGAGAAAAGCCTTATAAATGCAGTGCATGTGGTAAGTCTTTTGCAATAAGCATTCTTCTTCTATATCATCAGAGAATTCACACAGGAGAAAAGCCTTACAAATGCAGTGAATGTGGGAAGTCTTTTATAAGGAACATTTATCTTAAATATCATCAGAGAGTTCACACAGGAGAAAAGCCTTATAAATGTAGTGACTGTGAGAAAGCTTTTACCACTAGCACTTACCTTCATAGGCATCAGAGAATTCACACTAGAGAAAAGCCTTATCAATGCAGAGAATGTGAGAAGAGTTTTACAGGAACCATTGATCTCCAGCGTCATCAGAGAGTTCACACAGGAGAAAAGCCTTATAAATGCAGGGAGTGTGGAAAATGTTTTAAAACTAACACCAACCTTTGTAGCCATCAGATTGTTCACAGAGGAGAAAAGCCTTTTAAATGCAGTGAATGCGGGAAATGTTTTAAAAGTAACAGCCACCTTTGTAGTCATCAGAGAGTACACAGTGGAGAAAAGCCTTATAAATGCAGTGATTGTGAGAAAGCTTTTACCACTAGCACTCACCTTCATAGGCATCAGAGAGTTCACAAAGGAGAAAAGCCTTATAAATGCAGTGCATGTGGTAAGTCTTTTGCAAGGAGCATTTATCTTAAATATCATCAGAGAGTTCACACAGGAGAAAAGCCTAATAAATGTAGAGAATGTGGAAAATGTTTTAGAACTAATTCTGACCTTCATAAACATCAGAGAATTCACACTGGAGAAAAGCCTTATCAATGCAGTGAATGTGGTAAGTCTTTTGCAAGGAGCATTTATCTTAAATATCATCAGAGAGTTCACACAGGAGAAAAGCCTTATAAATGCAGTGAATGTGGAAAATGTTTTAACACTAACAGCCACCTTTGTAGTCATCAGAGAGTTCACAGTGGAGAAAAGCCTTATAAATGCAGTGACTGTGAGAAAGCTTTTACCACTAGTACTCACCTTCATAGGCATCAAAGAGTTCATATAGGAGAAAAGCCTTATAAATGCAGTGAATGTGGAAAATCTTTTACAACTAATTCTCACCTTCTTAAAAATCAGAGAATTCACACTGGAGAAAAGCATTATAACTGCAGTGTGTGTGTGTCATGTTTTAAAAGTAGGAATGGTCTTCGATATCATCAGAGAGTTCACAGTGAAGAAAGTTGTTAATACAAATAAGGTGAGGTATCTCAACTTAATTTGCAAATTTGCTTTACACAAAATACAATTGTGAAAAAATTGTTATATGTATAGGAAATGTAGTTTCTTCATTAGGACTTAACAATTGTATAAGAAAATATGTGAAGTCACATGCTGGATTATATCTCATATATTTAATCACCTACATTATGCAACTTCCCCCAAATGTTTTTGTTATTGTGTTTGTCAGTATTTATGTTGGAACCATATGTATCAATGTTGTACTTTCCAACATAGAGAGATGTCTTGTCTGCTGTATGTAGTTGCATATTTCTGTTGCTGAAGGTATTTCAACTGAACCTCTTATAAGGTACCTTCAGATGGCCTCATCACCATCCTCATGTGCCCAGGGAAGCTACCTATGCTGTCTAATTTGATGAAGAAAAGTAGGAATACCTGAGCCCTTAATTTTTCCTTGTTTCCTTATCTAAAATAGCCACATAAGAATGAATGCTGTTGGCTGCAGTGACTATGATGTGGCAGAACTGCCATGTTGACGGACACACTTTCCATAGATACTAATGATGATTTTATTGAGGGCCTAAGGCATGAATGGTAGAACTGCCAGTCTCATCTCTTTCTTTGCAAAATAATGAAGGCTTTTTCCTGGATTAGGTGTTGTGTTGACTTTATGGTTAGTTTACAAGGAGATCTCGGCTCTCCAAGCACAATGATATGAAAAACTTTTATGGTGTCTCAAACATTTTTTCCCTTGGGGTGAAGGCTATGGTATAGAAATTAGTTCAGCAGTTTTTTGTCCAATTTACCTTGCTGCCCATAAATTCCCAGGGAGTCTCTAATCCTCATGTGAAGATGAATGCTTTGAGACACAGATCACCCCAAAGGTGGGGTATATATGGCAACCTGAAGAATTTCTGTGAGCAGCATGAATTGTTTTCTTGTTTTGAGGGAATACTAACATATTTGAAGGGAAGCTTCTGCCCAAGTGTTGCAGAGGGCCATGTGCCCCAATGCCTTCAATTCCATGGGTGATGGTCACTGGTTGGAGGACCATAGCAGTGAGGGGAAACCCTTTCACTGTAGAAACACTGACCCAGTTCTTGTTGGATGAAACTGTAGCCCAGTAGATGGAATGGTCCTCATCTAAACCTACACCCAGAAATTTTTTTGATGAAAAGACTACAGGAGCTGTGTGTATACACATGAGGGACTGCAGGGTTGTGTATCTTCTGTAGAGCAGTCATTGTCATTGATTATAACCAAGTGGTTTTGTGGCTTTCTGTATCCTCTGAGATGTTTCCATCTGAGCCATTGGTGCTCTGGCAGCAAAACTAAGAGGAAAAGAAAGGGTGTCATTAGACCTGAGATATAGCTTTTTGTGACCCAGTAAGCATTCCAGTGTGTTTGGGTGAAAGTTCTTCATTGTTTGTTACATTTTCTATCACTGAGATGAGATCCTCAGCCAGAGGGTATAAGTATGTGAATTGAATATAGAATTGCCAAAACTATTCCAAAATAGATGAAAATATATTTCTTTTATCTTGAACCATTATTTTAACAGTTTTAATGAGTAAATTGTATGTGCTAAGTGTAGTGTTTCATAAATCTTGATATGTGCATGAAACTGAGACCATCATGACACTCAATATTGATCATATATTTGACTATGTAATTGCTTCCTGACCTCGTTTAACCTGTTTACTGTTCTTCACAGCTTTTCTAGTAACTGTATTTGCTTTCCATTTCAATAAAGATCTGGGCTTTTCCCAAGTTATTTTTCTGCTTTATTATTTCATAAATTCTTGGAGATTTTGAAAAGATATATTAGTAACTTATTTTTCTTTTTATAGACATTCTTATTGTTGATGTTGTTAAACCTCACCCTAGGATATTTCCATTGATTTTTAGGGAGAGTGGAAGAGTGAGGGAAAGAAAGATAGAAACATTGATGTAAAGGGGAAAAAAACGATTGGTTGCCCCCTGCATCAGCTGTGACAATGGCCCGGGATGGGAAGGAGTTTTCAACCTAGGTACATGCCTTTGACTGGAATCCATCCAGGGAACCTTTGGTCTGCAGACTTTTGAAATATGACCTTGGTATCTTAATGAGAATTGCAGTTAATTATAGATTACTTTGGATACTATGGACATTTAGTGATGTTAATTCCACCAATCCATGAACACGGAATATTTTTCCATTTGGTTATATATTCTTCAAAACCTTTTTTCAATGTCTTGTAGTTTTTGGAGAACAGGTCTTTTACCTCCTTAGTTAAGTTTATCTTTAGGTATCCTGAAATTTTTGTTGCAATGGTAGATAGTATTGTTTGTTTGTTTATCTTTTTTTAAAAACATCAACCATTTCTTTTTTTAAAATTCTTTTTTTTTTAATTTTTAAATATGTTTTATTGATTTTTTACAGAGAGGAAGCGAGAGGGATAGAAAGTTAAAAATATCAATGAGAGGAAGTAATCGATCAGCTGCCTCCTGCACGCCCCCTACTGGGGATGGGCCCGCAAACAAGGAACATGCCCTTGACTAGAATTGAACCCCGGACTTTTCAATCCACAGGCCATTGCTCTATCCACTGAGCCAAACCGGCATTGGCTGTTTATCTTTTTTTATTTTTTATTTTTATTGATTTTCCGCAGAGAGGAAGAGAGAGAAAGAAACGTCGATGAGCCGAGACCGGTTTGGATCAATGGATAGAGCTTCGGCTTGGGGACTGAAGGGTCCCGGGTTCGATTCCGGTCAAGGGCATGTACCTTGGTTGCGGGCACATCCCCAGTAGGGGGTGTGCAAGAGGCAGCTGATCGATGACTCTCTCTCATCGATGTGTCTAACTTTCTATCTCTCTCCCTTCCTCTCTGTACAAAATCAATAAAATATATTTTTTAAAAAAAAAGAAAGAAAGAAACGTCGATGAGAGAGAAACATCAACCAGCCACCTCCTGCACACCCCCCAGTGGGAATGTGCCCGCAACCAAGGTACATGCCCTTGACAGGAATCGAACCTGGGACCCTTCAGTTCGCAGACCGACGCTCCATCCACTGAGCCAAACCAGTTTCTTCTGTTTGTCTTTTGATTATTGGTGTGTAAAAAACCCATAATTTCTTTGGTGTTAATTTAGTATTCTGCTGCATTGCTGAATTCACTTATTATATTTAGTATTTTTTTTATAGAGTCCTTAGGGTTTTCTCAATGCTGTTTCAACAGGTGGGATTATGTTTCATAGGAGAAAGTATTATTACAACAGAAAAGAACATAAGAAAAACATTAGTTGCAACCACAATTTTATTCCGGAAAAGGATTTCCATGCAGGAAGTCAGTGTTTTGTGTACTCTTAATGTGGAAAATATTTAACAAATTTTCTAGCTTTCATGAAAAATAGCCTGGTCACACTGGAGAAAGACCTTTTCAATGAAAGCTTTTAGCAATGGTAGCATCCTAGTTGATCAGCAAGCTTTGCATACTGGAGAAAGGTATTATGAGTGCAGTGAATGTGGCAAAGCTTATACCACGAGCAGTGCCTCCATTATGATCAGAGAGTTCACACAGTGAAAGGCCTTCTGAGAACAATGAATGTGGGAAATATTTTACCAGTAGCAGTAACCTTCATTGTCACCAGGGAATTCACACTGTAGAAAAGCCTTATAAATGTATTAAATGTGGAAAAGCTAACACAGAAGCTCTAAAGTTCCTTATCAGAGAGTGCACACTGGAGAAATGCCTTATCACTGCAGTGAATGTGGAAAGTGTTTTATCACTAGCACTGCACTTCATTGTCACCAGAGTTCACACTGGCCCTATGAGTGCAGTGAATGTGGAAAAGCCTTTACAACTAACTCTCACCTACATAAGTGAGTGTGAGAAATCTTTTACCGCTAACACTGAACTTCGTAGTCATCAGAAAGTTCATACAGGAAAAAAGCCTTATAAGTGCAGTGAATGTGGGAAATCTTTTACAAGGTGCTCTGATATCCAATATCACAGAGTTCTAACTGGAGAAAATTCAGTGCTTGTGGGAAATCTTTTCTCAGCAGTAGTCACCTTCATTGTCACCAGAGAATTCGCACTGGAGAAAAGTCTTTTAAATGCAGTGAATGTTCAAAATCATTTACCAATAGCAATGTGCATCATTGTCATTAGACAGTTCTTACAGGAGAAAAGCCTTATAAATGCAGTGACTGTGGAACATCTTTTACCTGGAGCAGTGATCTTTGTCGTCATCACAGAGTTCACACAGGAGAAAATCCTCATAAATGAAAGGCTTTTACAGGTAGCACATGTCTAATATCGGAGAGTTCACACAGGAGGAAAGCCTTATCAATGCAGTGAATACATGAGTCTTTGGTTCTTACTTGCTCTCTCATGAATTGCCACAAGGGACTGATTCCTGTTGGACCCAGTACACATGATGTTGTAGAGTTACTGCTACAACAGTTCCTGCCATTTTCAGGAACACACTTTCCCTAGATGCCAGTGATGAATTTATTCAGTGCCTAAGTCATCAACTGCCAGTCTCAGGTCTCTTTCTTTGCAAAATAATGAAGGCCTTTTCCTTGTTTAATTTTGGTGTTCTATTTACTGTGTGTGTTAGTCTGTAAGGAGATCTGGACTCTCCAAGTATGGTCATACGAAAAACTTTTATGTGGTCTTCAATATTTTTGACGTTGAGGGAAGCCCATGGTGCAGAAATTAACTCATCAGTTTTTTCGAAAGTTACATTGTTTTGCATAATTTTCCTAAGAATCACTGTGCCTGCAGTCCTTATGTGGAGATGGATGCTTTGAGATCCAGAAGGTGGAGCATACAGAAGGCAACTGATAAAATGATTCTCTCTCAGCATTAATTTTTTTTCTCTCTCTCTCTCTCTCTCTCTCTCTCCATCTCCTTTGATCTCCAGCTTCTCGCTGCAGAAACATCCCCAAACCGGACACTTCTCACTTCCGAAGCCCACAGCAACGATGTCTTTGGGTGCATTTTAATAATGAAATTTAGCTAATAAAATAGAAACATGTAAGTTGACCATACCTCCGCTACACCCACCGGTCAATCAGGGAATATGCAAATTAACTACTAAGTTGTTGGCCGCTGGAGAGCTGGAACGAACAGGAGGCTTGAGTTGCCCCTGGTGATGGTAGAAGGAAAGCTTTCAGCCCAAGTTGGCTGGCCCTGGCCTCCACTCGATGTTATAAAGTTTCAATTATAGAAGATAAGTAAATCCCAGGTAACTGCTTCCAGCTGGCACTGGCCTCTGCTCAAGAAGGCACTGAAAAATAGAAAAGGAGGGGCTGGGGCCTTGGGTTATTGGGGTGTGATCAGGCCAGGATGGGCTGGCAGTTGTGGGTGATAAGGCTCGTGGGAGGATGGGCTGTTGGGGTGAAACAGACCAGTAGTTGGGCCAATTTGGGGCAAGTAGGCTGTAAGTAGGGGTCAGTTGTAGGTGATCAGGATGGGGGGGGGGGGCGCGGGGCGGAGGAGGCGGGAAATTTAGAGCGAGCAGGCCAGCAAGGGGCAGTTGGGGCAGTCAGGCCAGTTGGGAGGGAAGATGGGAGCAAGCAGGCCAACAGAGGGCGCAGTTGGGGATGAGCTGGGTGGCACAGGGGCAGTTGCAGGTGACCAGGCTGTCAATGGGAGGCATTTAGGGGTGAGCAGGCTGGGGCTGATGGGCAGTTGGGGGTTAGCAGGCCTGCAGGCAGAGTGGTTAGGGGCAATCAGGCAGGCATGTAGGCAGGAGAGTGGCTGGAGCCAGCAGTCCCAGATTGCAAGAGGAAGTCGAACTGCCAGTTTATGCCCTACTCTTATAAACTGGCAGTACTACATCCTTCGAGGGGGTCCCAGATTAGACAGGGTGCAGACCAAGCTGGTTCTCAGAGAAATAGCTCTTGTCTAAAATCTGATATTTTTGGTTTACTGGAACCAGTTTGGCTCAGTGGACAGAGTGTCAGCCTGCAGACTGAAAGGTCCCAGGTTCGATTCCAGTCAAAGAGATGTACCTTGGTTGTGGGCACACACCCGGTGGGGGGTGTGCAAGAGCCAGCTGATCGATGATTCTCTTTTATCAATGTTTCTAACTCTCTATCCTTCTTCCTCTCTGTAAAAAAATCAGTAAAATAGTTTTAAAAAATAGAATCTGACAGGTTGATGCGACCTTTGAGGACATTGCCCTTTACTTCTCCATGGATAAATAGAGCCTCCTTGATGAGGTTAGAGACAGCTGTACCTAAATGTGATGCTGGAGAATTTGGACTTCTATCTTCCCTGGGTATGATCCTCACTCTCTTCAGTGACTTGGACTTGGCTTTGCAATTTCATAGGCTCTATTTTCCAGGATGTGCTCTGTCCTCCCTTGTAGACTGTGGTTCTACTTGACTTTCCAGTTTCCTGAGTCCTAGGGAGGGTTGATCTTTTTCCACTGCTCCCTTCTATTCCGGAAGTCCCAATACTCCCCACTGTACTACCTTCAAAGGGAAGGACTTGTGATTGGTAGTGTTGCAAGAAGCCTGAGGGATTCCACCTTGATCAGTGACGAGAGCATTTGCTATATTCCTATCAGTCATGTGTATATACTTTAAAAATATATATTTTTCATTGATTTATTATAGAGAGGAAGGGAGACGGAGAGTTAGAAACATCAATCAGAGAAATATCAATCAGCTGCCTCACGCACACTCCCCCAGCGGGGATGTGCCCACAACCAAGGTATATGCCCTGGACTGGAATCAAACCCGGGAGCTTTCAGTCTGTAGGCTGACACTCTATCCACTGAGCCAAACCAGTTTCAGCTTCCCCCCCCCCCCCCCAAATAGTGTATGTACTGTTAGAAAAATTGTCTCTACATCCTGTCCTGTTTATTAACTATTTTTTGGTTAAAGATTCTTTTGAGTACCTTGTATATTTTACATATTAACTGCTTATTTCATACAGAACACATATTTTTCTATGCGGTTAATTTTGCTTCTCAGATACTGCTTGCCCAGGCTGGTTTTTCTATGAAGTCTGCCAGAGTTCTTTTCCCAGCCTTAAAAAAAGGGTTCAGCCGAAACCGGTGTGGCTCAGTGGTAGAGCGTCGGTCTTCGGAATGAAAGGTCCCAGGCTTGATTCCGGTCAAGGGCATGTACCTGGTTGCGGGCACATCCCCGGTGGGGGGTGTGCAGGAGGCAGCTGGTCGATGTTTCTTTCTCATCGATGTTTCTAGCTCTCTATCTCTCTCCTTCCCTCTCTGTAAAAAATCAATAAAAAAATATATTTTTTTAAAAAGGGTTCAGCCGAAACAAGTTTGGCTCAGTGGACTGAGCATTGGCCTGCGGACTGAAAGGTGCCAGGTTCGATTCTGGTCAAGGGCATGTACCTTGGTTGTGGGCACATCCCCGGTATGGGGTGTGTATGAGGCTGCTGATTAATGTTTCTCTCTCATCAATGTTTCTAACTCTCTATCCCTCTCTCTTTCTCTCTGTAAAAAATCAATAAAATATATATTAAAAAAAAAAAAAAAGGTACAGCATTCTGGAGAAAGGGACTGCGGTTCAGTATTCTATCAAAGAGTCCAAGGAGGAAAGATAACTTTGAAAGGCCCGGGGGTCAGAGGATCTTACCATGACCAAGGACCCATGCTTTTATTCAACACAGTTTGTCCTAAGGCAAGGTGGAGATAATAATTTAAAGGGTAGGGTATCAAAGGATATTGTGAGATTAGGGAAAAGGCTACAGATATGTTCAGGTGTTTTGCCAACAGGATGCAGTAAAATGCCTTCAGCTATCTGCCAGTTAATCCTATTCAGGCCGAAACCGGTTTGGCTCAGTGGATAGAGCAGTCGGCCTGCAGACTGAAGGGTCCCGGTTCTATTCCTGTCAAGGGCATGTACTTTGGTTGCAGGAACATCCCCAGTGGGGAGTGTGCAAGACTCAGCTGATCGATGATTCCCTCTCATCGATGTTTCTAACTCTATCCCTCTCTCTCCCTCTCTGTAAAAAAAATCAATAAAATATATTTAAAAAAAACAACACACAAAACAATCCTATTCAGGTTTGGGAGAAGTGCCATTTATCCTTTTCAAAGGTAAAGTACATATGTGACTCACCCTTGTTGAGATGCCCAAGCTACACCAACCTTTTAGTGAAAGTCTTGTAATTATTCCATGCTGTAATTGATTCCCAGCAGAAGTGCATGTTTTATTTTTTGTTGTTGTTGTTGGTTTTTATTTTTTAATAAATTTTTACAGAAAGGAAGAGAGAGGGGCAGAATCAGAAACATTCACTATTATTATTATCAAATTTAATTGCCATTCTTATTCCATGCACCGCTGCTGCTTTCTTTCAGCTTCAGAATGTCAAAAAACCAAATTCATGATCCACAATGACAGACTGAAAAACACGCGTGTGATTGGCACTAGCAAGAGCTTTATATACATCACTGATGGGCAAGTCTGCTTAGCCTTTTATATATATAGAATAAATGTTTGTAATTAAATCTGGTGTCTGATGTAGCTCAACATTTTCCAGCCCAAATTCTCTTTCGGGTAATTGTTAGCATTACATAAGAAAACATCAACAAGAAGCATGTTATTATTGTAGGTCACACAGGCAGAACAAAGGGTAAAATATTTTTAAAAAATACATTTTATTGATTTTTTACAGAGAGGAAGGGAGAGAGATAGAGAGTTAGAAACATCAATGAGAGGGAAACATTGATCAGCTGCCTCCTGCACAATGCCTACTGGGGATGTGCCCTCAACCAAGTTACATGCCCTTGACTGGAATCCTTCAGTCTGCAGGCTGACATGCTATCCACTGAGCCAAAAAACGGTTTCAGCTCAAAGGGTAAATTATTTAACTGTAACAGTGCTTGACAATATTCTATGCAGTGGGAAAATCTGAAGTCATTTTCAAGATCCATCCACCAATTCATACTTCTTTTCAGTCAGGTCAACTTTCTAAGCTTACTAAATCTACATTTTCTGTCTAAAGCTTACTAAATCTACGTTTTCTGTCTACCTAGTGTGCTATCTACCTACTCCAGGACTTCTGTGAGGATCAAATGAGATGCAGCACAGAAAAATGCTTTGCAAACATTTGGTTACAGAATAATGTGTTTTGACCTGATGTGAGCTGTTGTCAGGGATAGGAAGCCAGGTGTTACTACTGGATGTCATTACCCAATTAGTTTGACACTTAGCATATTGACATCTTATATAGATAGATCTTTATATATATTTTTATTGACTTTTTACAGAGAGGAAGGGAGAGAGAGATAGTTAGGAACATCGATGAGAGAGAAACATCAATCAGCTGCCTCCTGCACACCGGGGGTGTGCAGGCAACCAAGGTACATGCCCTTGACCATAATTGAAACCAGCACATTTCAGGCCACAGTTCCATGCTCTGTACACTAAGCCAAACTGGTTTTGGCTAGATACATCTTTAAATATAATAGATATTACATAATTTTGTCATTGTACCTCACTGTTGTTTGTATATTATGGAGGAATTTATGGGGAGCTATTTCCCAGAAATGCATTCGTTTTTGCACCTCCCCTGAAGGTGCTAGAGAACATTTAGTATACCAGGTGTGTCCTTGGGCAATCAGCCCTTAAATCCAGTCCTAGATTCAACTGACAAATACAGGATCCTGGCCTTGGAGAGGAGAAACTACATTACCCAGAAGGGCACGCATCGGATGCCGCCAGACTGATCCAATGGAGGCCCCGGAGAAGGCGTTTCCGTTTGGTCATTTCCGTAGGGCGGGACCGGAAGCCTCCTGGCCGGATCTTCCGTTCTCGGATTTCTGAGGCGATCAGGTTTTCCAAGTCTAAGCTCCTGTGGAGAAGGTGCACAGCGGTGTTCCACACCTCCCAGCAACGGGGAGCCTCCCGTGGTGCTCACAGCTCACAGGCCCCGCCATTCCTGCCGCGGCTTCCGCTCCCGCCGCCCCCGCCCCGCTCGGCCCACAGAGCGCGATGGCGGCGCCCGCGCTGAGGAGCTTCGCTGAGGTGAGTTCCTGTCCCCCAGGCCCCACCGCCTCCTGAAACAGAACAACTAAGACTGAGGGGCATTTGTCCGTCCTGCAGCTCAGTCCCGCGTGGAGGACCGTGAGGAAGAAGGAGGGACACAGGAGTGTTGTAACTTTTTTTTTCTTCTTTTTAAAAATCATTTGTTGCAATTCTCTGGGCAATCTTTTTTTTTTTTTTTTTTTTTTTATATATTTTACTGATTTTGTACAGAGAGGAAGGAAGAGAGATAGAAAGTTAGAAACATCGATGATGATGAGAGAGTCATTGATCAGCTGCCTCTTGCACACCCCCTACTGGGGATATGCCCGCAACCAAGGTACATGCCCTTGACCGGAATCGAACCCGGGACCCTTCAGTCCCCGAGCCAATGCTCTATCCATTGAGCCAAACCGGTCTCCGCGGAGTGTTGTAGCTTCTAACGCCACAGCCAGTGCGGGGCAGAGAGGACAGGGGTGACTGGAATCTGAGGTTCCCAGGGTGTGGCTGTGAGGATTGAGGGGCAGATCTGACCCTCCAGGTTGGACGTCACCGACTCAATAGTTGTGGGTTTTTTTTGTGTTTTTTTTTTCCCGGATGTGCGGTCCATCAGAGGCCAGAGGTAGTCTTGGATGCCACTGGTAAACAAGATCTCAGTGGATGCCATTTGCCAATTTCATGGGGGGAGTCCAGCGAAATCCAGTGGTATTGGAGGAGGAAGGAGGCAGAGCTAAGGGGGTAAACCAGGGGACTGAAGATGGGAAGGGGATAAACATTACCCAGTGGTGTGCATATCTGGAGGAAGTGTGAGCTGATGGTCCCCTGGGACATAAAGGTGAAGCATAAACCCACGCTTGGCTTTGTCTGGGAGGCATGATCTAGGAGACTGCAGTGGTGTTTCTTAGCGGGAAAACTGGGGCCCTGCAGGCATTGCCCAGAGCTTAAATGGCATTGCTCTCTTCCCGCCCCCAACCTTCCCACCCAGCCCAGCTGCTCTGCTGAGGGCAATTCTGGTGAGTAATGGGACTGTATGAAAAAGCAGCCTGCACTGGCATTAGGAATGGTATTCACACTAATCAAGTGCCCTGGAGGAGGTTAAGGATAGGGATGGTGTGTAAGGAGTAGGAGTGAATGTTCTTAGAGAGGCAGCCCAGATTTTAATTGTCTCTATTCTGACAGGTTGGTGCGACCTTTGAGGACATTGCCCTGTACTTCTCCAGGGAGGAATGGAGCCTCCTTGATGAGGGTCAGAGAAGTCTGTACCTGAATGTGATGCTGGAGAACTTTGAACTTGTATCCTCGCTGGGTAAGACCCTCACTTTACCAGTGACCTGGGCTTGGCTTTGTGATTTATCAGTCCCCATCTCCCAGAGTGTTCTCTGTCCTCCCATGTAGAAATATAACCAAGCAGGTGTGTACTGCCTGCTCAGTAACATACTTTATATGGACTTAGACCAATGAGGCCTCTTGGAATTAGTGACATTAGTCTTTGGGTTATAGAAATGCTCGCCTGCACAGTGACTTGTATAGCTTGCTGTGTCCTTGCTTTTGGGACTGTGTATAGCAAATTAGCCTTGAACACTCTGATTGGGATTCCCAAGCTCAGATTGGCCTTGACCATCCCATGTCCTCTGGACAGGGCACCCACATTGACACTGGCTAAATATGTTTGGTAACCCACTCTGGTCATCTCTTTGTAATTCACCCCCCCCCCTTTTTTTTTTTTGTCTCTACTGAATTCTTTTCGTTTTAATTACACTCTTTTTTTTTTTTTTTAATATATTTTATTGATCTTTTACAGAGAGGAAGGGAGAGAGATAGAGAGCTAGAAACGTCGATGAGAGAGAAACATCGACCAGCTGCCTCTTGCACACCCCCTACCCGGGATGTGCCCGCAACCAACGTACATGCCCTTGACCGGAATCGAACCTGGGACCTTTCAGTCCGCAGACTGACGCTCTACCACTGAGCCAAACCGGCTTCGGCCACTCCTTTTTTTTTTTTTAATCCTCACGGGTGTGTGTGTGTGTGTGTGTGTGTGTGTGTGTGTGTGTACATGTACCATGGTACATTTCAGAAAGAGTGGAAAGGAGGGAGCAGGAAGAGAGTGGGGAACATTGATGGTTAACGCTTGCACTGACCAGGTGGGGCAGGGAGCTAACCTCAGCCTAGGAATGTAACCTTGACAAGGAATCAAACCCTCAACCCTTCAGTATGGAGCCCAAACGCTCCAACCATTGAGAAAAAGCGGTCAGGGTTTCATTGTACTCTTAACCCCTGTAGTTGTTTTTGTTCATGGCGAGATGCCTACTTGTTCTGACATCTTGCTGATGTCACTCCCATAGATTTTTTTTCTGCATGATCTCTGTTGTGCTTTGTAGTTCTATAACAGTGCTCCCCATACATCTATTTGGTGTTTTCTTTTGGATTTATATCATCTAACTCCCATGATCAACTCAGTTGGGATTCATGGGGAAGAATTATTTGTGCATCACAGAAGAAACATGACTTTATGAAGAACAAAGTGCACCCAGAAACGGTCTTGCCTTGGTGAAGTCTCGTTGGGAAGGTTTTGACACCAGGGCTTTGTTAAAGTCATAACTAAGAACCCATTTCCAAAACTATTTTGTTTCCATGACCCATTCCTCAAGTAATTTTGCTTCTACTGTCTGATTGTTGACAGTTTGCGTGCTCCTCAGGTGTAATAATGACCAATTCTACTCAGATTTCATACCCTCAGATAACTTTAACCTCTCTAGACCTTGCCCCTCTACGTCTTTCACCGGTCCCTCTTTACTACAAACCAACCTAGGTCCATGCCTGCAGAGCCTTGGCGTGCAGACGTATTATATTGACCTTAAACATCCTATGCTTCAATACAATTGTGTTGTATGGCTTTCAGCAAATGCAAATTGTTCTACAGAGACGCAGGTCCCCAGCATGAAAGGTTCTAAAACAAGCCATTTGTGGAGGAACAATGAGTAAAGCCTTCTTGTCTTCTTTGTTTCCCAGACTAAGCTTTTGTTCCTGTTTTGGTGAGATTTTCACCATTGACTGACCTTGGAGGCCAGCTAATGTTTAACAGCTGTTTCCTAAGAGTTCAACTCACTTGTGTCAAAAATTATCTTATGGCCAAAACCAGTTTGGCTTAGTGGATAGAGCATTGGCCTGCGGACTGAAAGGTCCCGGGTTTGATTCCAGTCAAGGGCATGTACCTTGGTTGTGGGCACATCCCCAGTGGGGGCTGTGCAAGAGGCAGCTGATTGATGATTCTCGCTCATCGATGTTTCTAACTCTCTATCTCTCTCTCTTCTCTGTAAAAAATCAATAAAATATATATATATATATATATATATTAAAAAATCATCCTATGGAATCATGCCTAGTTATGACAGGGTAGCAGTTTTCGCAAAAATAATCTGATTTCATAACATCAACATGTATTTCACCAGCGTTTCCCTTTGTTCAGGTTGCTGCTGTGGAACAGAGAATGTGGAGGTACTGATGGAACAGAACGATTCTGTAAGAGTCTCACAAGCAAGGAATCCCAAGATAGCCTTGACTTCACAGAAGAACCACCCCTGTGAGAGCTGTGGACTAGTCTTGAGAAGGATTTTCCACTTGACTGAGCTGCAGGGAACACAACATGGACAGATACAGCTGAGGTGTGGGGCATGTGCAAAACAATTTTATTTCAGTGCCAAATTTCAGCAGCAGCATGTGAGAGAGTACACTTTCATTAGGGGTGTGGAGAGGATGTCACTTGCAAAGATCTGCAATTTCAATGTGTTCCAGAATCATGTTACCTGTGGGGAGGTTGGGCAGGGCACACTTTGCTGGTCAGGACATCTCCTCCTAAAGGCTGATCAGATCATGGACAGGCCAAATGATATTTCCAAGGGTGGTTTGATGTTTCAAAGCAGAAAAGATTTTTACACCAGAAAAAAATTTGAGGAAGATTCAGGCAACAGTAATCATCATCATCATCAGGGACTTCAGACTGGAGAAAAGCCTTATAAATGTAGTGAATGTGGGACATCTTTTAGCCAGAGCATTGCCCTTCATTGTCATCAGAGAGTTCACACTGGAGAAAAGCCTTATAAATGTAGTGAATGTGGGAAATCTTTTAAGAGTAGCTGTGGCTTTCGTTATCATCAAAGTTTTCACACTGGAAATAAGCCTTATAAATGCAGTGAATGTGGAAAATCTTTTAGCCAGAGCACTGCCCTTCATTGTCATCAGAGAGTTCACACTGGAGAAAAGCCTTATAAATGTTGTGAATGTGGAAAATCTTTTACAAGTAGCAGTGGTCTCCATTATCATCAGAGAGTACACTCTGGAGAAAGGCCTTATGAGTGCAGTGAATGTGGAAAATCTTTTATCACTCAGTTTGAACTTCATAATCATCAGAGAGTTCACACAGGAGAAAAGCCTTATGAATGCAGTTACTGTGGAAAATCTTTTTCACACAGGTCTGTCCTTCGTAGACATCAGAGAATTCATACAGGTGAAAAGCCTTATAAATGCAGTGAATGTGGGAAATCTTTCACCCAGAGCACTTTCCTTCATTGGCATCAGAGACTTCATACAGGAGAAAAGCCTTATGAATGCAGTGACTGTGGGAAATCTTTTACAAATAGGCCTGTTCTTCACAAACATCAGAGACTTCATACAGGTGAAAATCCTTATAAATGCAGTGAATGTGGAAAATCTTTTATCACTAACAGCTACCTTCGTAGTCATCAGAGCATTCACACTGGAGAAAAGCCTTATAAATGTAGTGAATGTGGAAAGTCTTTTAGACGTAGTGTTGGTCTCCGATATCATCATACAGTGCACACTAGAGAAAGGCCATATGAGTGCAATGAATGTGGAAAATCTTTTATCACTCAGTCTAAACTTAATAATCATCAGAGAGTGCACACAGGAGAGAAACCTTATGAATGCAGTGATTGTGGGAAATCTTTTACCACTAGCAGTCACTTTCGTCGTCATGAGAGAGTTCACACAGGAGAAAAGCCTTACAAATGCAATGTGTGTGAGAAATCTTTTACCACTAGTACTCACCTTCACAGTCATCAGAGAGTTCATACAGCAGAAACAATTTACAAGTGCAGTGAATGTGGGAAATCTTTTACACATAGGACTGGTCTTCGTAATCATCAGAGAGTTCATATATGAGAAAAGCCTTGTAAATGCAGTCTTTAAAGATGGATGCTTTGAGACATACAGATCACTCGAAAGGGGGGGTAGCTGTGAGAACCTCAAGTATATCTGGAAGCAATGTGAATTTTTTTTCTCGTGTTCAGGGGATACTGACATTTGAAGGGAACCTCCTGCCTAGGTTTTGCAGAGGGCCATTTGTCCTAAAGCCTTCAATGCCATGGGTGATAGTCACTGGTTGGAGGACCATTGCACTGAGAAGCAACCCATTCACTGCAGAAACACTGAGTTAATTTTTGTTTGCCCAGTCTGCAGCCTGTTAGATGGAATGACCCTCATCTAAACCTGCACCCAGAAATTTTTTTTAATGAAAGGACTACAGGAGCTGTTTGCATAACATCAGAAGGACTCCAGGAATGTTTATCATCTATGGAGCAGTCATTATCATTGATTATAATCAGGAGGTTTTGTAGTTTCCTGTATCATGTGATATTTTCCCCATCAGAGCCATTAGTGCTCTGGCAGCAAAACAAAGAGAAAAAGAAAAAGTGTCTTTAGGCTGGTAATTGGTTTCTGTGACCCAATAAGAATTCCAGATGTTTTGGGTGAAAGTTCTTCATTGATTGTTACATTGAATGTCACTGAGATGAGACTTGCTCAAACCATCATTACACTGAATAATGACTGATCATATCTGTGACTGTAGTTGTTTCTTGACCTCATTTAATCTGTTTGCTGACCTTAATAAAGAAGTAGGCTTTTTCTAAGTATTTTTCAGCTTTAATTATTATTTTATAAATTGTTGGAGATATTTAAAAGATATATTTGTAAATCATTTATTTTTTATTTTTATTTATTTATTTATTTTTTAACAGCCAGATTGTGCTTTATTGATGCCGATGCTCAGGCCTTGACCACGTACTTCCGGAGGGGGTACAGCCGCTCCTTCCGCTGCTGCTTCTTGGTCTTGAGGTTCTCCTCATGCTTGTTGAGCCGGCGGCGCATGGCGCGGGTTTTCTTGGGCCGCAGGTCCAGGAGCTTGTACTTCTTGCCCTTGTAGAATTTCCTGAGGTTCTCTTTCTGAGTCTGGTTGATGACGGTAAGAACACGGGCGATAGACTTGCGAACAACTCGGATCTTGGAAAGCTTGGAAGCTGCGCCGCCTGTCCCTTTGGCTACGCGCAGCTGGGACAGCTCCACCTTCAAGTCGTCCAGCTGTTTGAGCAGCTCCTCCTTCTTCTTGCCACGAAGGTCCCGAGCCTTAATTTTGGCCATGGCTAGACGCCCCTGCGCCGCCGCCGCCTGCTCGGAGAGAAAGAGTGTAAATCATTTTTAAATATATTTTATTGATATTTACAGAGAGGAAAGGAGAGGAATAGAGAGTTAGAATCATCAATGAGAGAGAAACAGTGGTCAGCTGCCTCCTACACACCCCCCCACCCAGGTTGTGCCTTCAACCAAGGTACATGCCCTTACCTAATCGAACTGGGGACCCTTCAATCCGAAGTCCAGTGCTCTATCCACAGCAAAACCATTTTTGGCTCATCCTTTATTTTATTTTTTATAAATATTCTTTTTGTGTTAATCTTCACTCAAGGATATTTTTCCGTTGAATTTTTTGGAGAGTGGAAGAGATAGGGAAAGACAGAGAGAAATATTGATGTGAAAGAAACACATCGCTTGGTTGTCTCCTGCAACAGCTGTGACTATGGCCCAGGATGGGAAGGAGTCTTCAACCAAGATATCTGCTTTTGACTGGAATTGATCCCAGGAGCCTTTGTTATGCAGGCCTATGCTCTATCCAGAGCCAAACTAGCTAGGGCTCTGGTGGATATTCATATCTTTGAATATATCACCATCATGTCTATTTTAATAAATATTTGGTTATTGTTAATGAAGCAAGTACAAACATTTCTGTATAATTCTTTTTTTAATATTTATTATTTTATTAAATATATATTTTGTTGATTTTTTACAGAGAGGAAGGGAAAGGGCTAGACGGAAACATCGATGAGAGAGAGACGTTGATCAGCTGCCTCCTGCATATCCCCTACTAGGGTTGTGCCTACAACCAGTGTACATGCCCTTGACCCCAATTGAACCTGGGACTGCTCATTCTATAGGCATATGCTCTATCCCAGTGTTTTCCAACCTTCTCTCATGATGAGAATCACCTGGTGGAGTTGTTAAAACACAGATTCCCGGATCCCAACTAAGAAGTGCTAAACTAGAATTTTTGGGAACATATAGGTAAAATTGTATACTTAACTAGTGCTCTAAGACAGATTTTATATACAGAGCACTAAGTTAGGTATGCAATTTTACCTATATGTTCTCAAAAATTCTAGTTTAGCACTTCTTAGTTGGGATCCGGGAATCTGTGTTTTAACAACTCCACCAGGTGATTCTCATCATGAGAGAAGGTTGGGAAACACTGCTCTATCCACTGAGCCAAACCAGTTAGGACTTTGTATAATTGTTTATATGGATATACATGTTATTTTCCTTTGTGAGTCAGACATTCTCTGAGGGCTCCAAGAGTGCAAGAAGGCACAGCCCAGGCTGAGAGATCCCTGAATGCATAAATTTTGTTCACTAAGCCTCTAGGTTTATACATGCAAACTAGGAAATCACAATTCCATTCGCTGGTAGGATGGCTGTGCCCTCCTAGATCTGAAGTGTGGAGCATACAGGAGATAGCTAATCAATGATTCTCTCTCAGCATTGATTTTTTTCTCTCTCTCCATCTTCTTTGAACTCTAGCCTCTCCCTGCAGAGACATTCCCAGGCCAGACACTTCTCAATCCCGATGCCAAAAAAGCACCATTGTCATTGGGTACATTTTAATTAGGAAACCTATCTTATGAAATAGAAACATGTAAATTGACCATACCTCCACTACACCCACCAGCCAATCAGAGTGAGTATGCAAATTAATCCAACTGATATGTCAATGGCCATGGAGCTGGAGCAAGCAGGAGCCTTGGGTTGCCCCCAGCAATGGAGGAAGTAAAGCTTCCCGCCTGCCCTGGCAGGCCGTGTTCTCTGATCTAGGCTACTAAGTAAGAAGATAAATCCAAATACTTGCTTCCAACAGGGCCTGGCCTTTGCTCAAGGAGGCACTGAAAAAAAAGGAAAGAAGGAGGGTATGGAAGATTGGGTTGCCTGTGTGTGATCAGGCCAGGATTGGACAGCAGTTGTGTGTGATCATGCTGGTGGGAAGCGGGACCTTTGATTTGCTTGACTTTTATATATATAGATTTTTGCTTAAGATTTCCAGAAAACCAATCTAACATTTGTTTCCTGCAATAAATAATATGTCAAGAAAACTGAACACTGGTCGTTTGTTGGTTTATAGAGACAATTTTATTATTATTATTATTTTTTAAATTTCTTTATTGATTAAGGTATCACATATTTGTCCTCATCTCCCCTGTTCCCATTCCAAACCCCTCCCTACCTATGCCTCCACCCCTCTGTTGTTCGTGACCACTGGTTAGACTCATATGGATGCACACAAATCTGGTTGATCTCTCCCCATTATCCTCAACCTCCCCTACCTTCCCACTGCCTGATCTATGCTTCCTTGTCTCTTGTCTGTTCTTGTTCATCACTCTATGTTGTTCATTTCCCATAGATGAGTGTGATCATGTGCTAGTAGAAATACTTTTATAAAAACCGATAATGAGACAAGCAATTATGGTTATGTTAAAAGGCAAATGAATCAGTCTGTAATGAGTTTTTTTCTGAGCCAACAGGTCTTTTGAGTCCCAATTTCAATGCCAAACAGTTTCTTATGTGTACATGTCAGCAATGATATTTCAGTCTGGATGGTGGGTAAATGGTGGTAATGCCAGTCCAACCCTCTCTGGTTTGGTTCTGGGCAACCTACAGTGATGTCCAGCTGCTGACCGCTACTATAGCAAGGTGTCGTCAGCATCTTCCATCTCTGTACAACTTCCCTTCTTTATTTATGGCTGGAGTAGTCCTGTCAATTCATCTCAGTTGCAGGAATCCAAATAGTCTTGGAATTGTTTTCTGAAAATATACAAAGATATTCTCAACCAAAAGTTAATAAAAGAATCTTTTCTATAAATTTGATGGGAAACCCTTTTTCATTTTTTTAAAATATATTTTTATTGATTTTTTACAGAGAGGAAGAGAGAGGGACAGAGAGAAACATTGATGAGAGAGAATCATCTATCAGCTGCCTCTTGCACACCCCCTACTGGGGATGTGGCCTCAACCAATGTACATGCCTTTGACTGGAATTGAACTGGGGACCTTTCAGTCCCCAGGCTGACGCTCTATCCATTGAGCCAAACCGGTTTCGGCAACCCATTTTCATTTTTTGCCCAAACGATTTTCTTTTGGCTTGTTTTGACCCTATGTATGTTTTACATGGGTGTCTTGCTGTTAGCATTACAAATGAAGTTAATTTTCTAAAGTAAAAATTTTCTAGACGTAATTTACTTACAGGATATTTTCCCTTACAGGATATACTTCTTTTATTCTTCCCCCCCCCCCCTTTTATATATATTTTTATTGATTTCAGAAAGAAAGGGAGAGGTAGGTCCCAGGTTCAATTCTGGTCAAAGGCATGTACCTCAGTTGAGGGCACATCCCCAGTAGGGTGTGTGTGTAGAAGGCAGCTGATCGATGTTTCTCTCTCATGGATGTTTCTAACTCTCCCTCCGTCTCCCTTCCTCTCTGTAAAAAATCAATAAAATACATTAAAAACAAAAAACAAACAAACAAAAAAAACAGCCACACATGAGCACCAGAAACAAACTTGCCCCAGTCATCACCTCCTCCGAAGGCGCTAGAGGGCGCTCAGTATACTTGGTGTGTTCTTGGGCAATAAGCCCCTTAGAGCAGTCCTTGAGTCAACTGAGAAACAACTGACCCTGGACTTGGAGCAGAGAAACTACATTACCCACAAAGCTAAGCACGGAATGCCACCAGGCTCAGCCAATGGGGGCTCAGAGAAGGCATTTCCGTTCGACCGCTTCTTTAGGGCGGGACCAAGTCCTCTTAGCAGGATTTTGTCTTCTCAGCTTATTGTCTCAGGCGGTCAGTTCCTGGGCTCAAGAGTCTGTTGGAGGAGAGAGGAGCAGTGTTCCCTGCCTCACAGCCTCTGGTAGGAGCCTCCCGTGGTGCTCACCGCTCACACGTGGGGTTGAAGCTCCGAGTCACCGCCTGGACCCCCGCCAGGGCCGGGACAGGCCCCGCCATTCCTGCCGCCGCTTCCGCTCCCGCCCCGCGCGGCCCACAGAGCGCGATGGCGGCGCCCGCGCTGAGGAAACGTGCTGAGGTGAGTTCCTGTCCTCTAGGCCCCCAGCCTCCTCACCCCGCACCCCACAGCCCGGTGCGGGCCTGTCCCTCCCTCAGCTCCGTCCGCGGGGAGGACCGTGAGGAAGGCGGAGGGGAGGGAGGAGCGCGGTGGCTTCTGAGGACACAGCCAGTGCGGGGCGGAGAGGACAGGGGTGCCCGGCCTCTGAGGTTCCCCTGAGGATGTGGCTGTGAGGATCGGCGGGCAGATCAGAGGCTGCAGGGAGGCCGTCACAGCCTCATGGGGGCTTTCCCGGCTGTGGGGTCCCTCAGGGGCTTGGGGTGGTCCTGGACCCGCTGGAAGACAGGCTTCTCCACATGCCATGTGCCATGTTCACGGGGGAGTCCAGCGAGACCCGGTGGCATTGGAGCAGGAAGGGGGCAGAGTTGAGGGAATGTACCTGGTTCTGAAGATGGGAAGGTGTTAGACATTACCCACTGTTGTGCACATCTGGAGGAAGTGTGAACTGATGGTCATAAAACCGAAGCTAAAACCCATGCTTAGCTTTGTCTGGGAGGCATGGTATAGGAGACTGCAGTGGTATTGCTTGGGGGGGAAACTGGGACCCTGCAGGAATCGCCCAGACCTTAAATGACTATGCTCTCTACTCTCTCCTCCCCCAATCCTTCCCACCCAACCCAGCTGCTCTGCTGAGGGCAATCCCAGTGAGTAATGGGACTGTGATGAGAGAGCAGCCTGCATGGGCATTAGGGCCTGGTGTCCTCACTAACCGGGTGCCCTGGAGGAGGTTGAGGGGAGGAAGGTTTGTCAAGAGTACAATTATTGACTGTCAGAGAGAAGCTCTGGTTTCAATTGTCTCCATTCTGACAGGTTGGCGTGACCTTTGAGGACATTGCCCTGTACTTCTCCAGGAAGGAATGGAGCCTCCTTGATGAGGGTCAGAGACAGCTGTACCTGAATGTGATGCTGGAGAACTTTGAACTTGTATCCTCGCTGGGTAAGACCCTCACTCTCACCAGTGACCTGGACTTGGCTTTGCGGATTTCCCAGTCCCCTTCTCCCAGGGTGTGCTGAGTACTCCCTTGTAGACTGTGGAACTGCTTGATTTTCCAGTTTCCTGGGGAGGGTGGGTCTGTTCCCACTGCTCTCTTCTATTGCTGAAGCCCCAATTCTCCCTGATGGACTACATTCACAGGGAAGGACTTGAGGATAAGTAGTGTTTCAGGAAGCATGAGGGATTCCACTTTTTTCTGTGAGGAAAGCATTTTCTATATTCCATTTGGTTATTTGTACCTATTTTTGTGAAGAAGTGTTTCTACATCCTTATGCTGGTTAATAACTATTTTTTGGTTAAACATTCTTTTGATGACCTTGTGTATTTTATATATTAAAGGCTTATGACGTACAGGAACACATATTGTTGCATGTGCTGAATTGCACTTTGCAGATATTGCTCCCCCACACCTGCTTTTCTACAAAGTCCATGTTTTTGCAACCTTGGGTTCTGCAGGTTTAGTGCCACCATGTTTCTAGCAAGCTCAGATGCTTGTTGCTAGTGCTTAGCATGTAAATATTGTTAATGGAGTTATATAGACTTAGCTTTTGAGACAGAGTCATTGCATTGTTATTAGCCTGCTCTATGGTATTATTAACATACCCTTATTATTCCCTGGGAACTCCACCTATTTGTGTGAATTTCTTTCCATATTGCAATATTTGCTTTATTATGAAGATCAGAACTGAATTCACAATCTCTCCCACCGATTCTTTCATATGATTTGCAAGTATTTCCTTCTGTTGTTTAGATTTCCTTTCATTTCATTTTGTTTATTGCTGTTGTGCTAAGAAGAACCTTTTTATCATTATTTGTTGCAGTGTGCACTGTTTGTTTTTTCTCTTTTGTCTGGTGGTTGGTGTCACATTTAGAAAATCTGTTGCAAAACAAGCCTCCAAAACTTTTTCTCTAGATTGTCCTGAGGAGTTTTCAGTTTTAGCGCTGACATTCAATTCTGTCATGCAGGTTGAGTTACATTTTATCAGTGGTGGCCAGTATTGTTGTGTTTACATGTAAGTATTGATTTCAACAGCACCGTTCATTGAAGAAACTATCTTTCCCTTCTTCTGTGTCTTGCAGCTTTGTCAAAGATTACTTGAAAGGATGTGCCTGGATTTATTTTCTAATTTCTGTTGTTCTGTCACTCCCATAACTTTTCTTTCTTCTTCTTTTTTTTCCCTTTTTTTAAAAATATATATTTTTATTGTTTTTTTACAGAGAAGAAGGGAGAAAGAGAATTAGAAACATCGATGAGAGTCATTGATCAGCTGCCTCTTGCACGCCACCTACTTGGGATGTGGCTGCAACCAAGACACATGCCCTTGACTGGAATCGAACCCGGGACTCTTCAGTCCTCAGGCCAACGCTCTATCCACTGAGCAAAACCGGTTTCGGCTCTTTCTTTCTTTTAACAAAAAATATACTTATTGATTTTTTTACAGACAATAAAGGAGAGGAATAGAGAGTTAGAGACATCAATGAGAGAGAAACATTTATCAGCTGCCTTCCCCACACTCCCCACTAGGTATATGCCCTCAACCAAGTACATGTTCTTGACTGGAATCGAACCCGGGACCCTTTACTCTACAGGCTGATGCTCCATCCACTGAGCCAAACCTGTTAGTGCTGCCCATAACTTTTCTGAATTCAGTTGTTTATTATTGTTTTATATTCATCTAAATAGTGAGAATATTTTTCCATGAATTTTTACTTTCTTAGAGAAAGAGAAAGACAATAAGAAGAGAGGCACAGTGAGAGAGAGAGACAGACAGTGAGAGAGAGAGATATCAATTGGTTGCCCGCCACATGTGGTCCCATTAAGAAAGGTGATTAAACCCGAAATCCACATACCTGCCCCTTTCTGGAAATGTAATCCATGACTTTCAAGTGTACACGCATGCACTCTTAGCACTGAGCAACATGGGCCAGGGCTCTTTATTTCTTGTTTAAATGATTATTATTTTTTAAAATCTTTATTGTTCATATTATTACAAATGTTCCTCTTTCTCCACCCTCCCCCCCACTCCGTGCTCTCCTCCACCAGGTTCCCACACCACCCTCTGCCCTTTTCGCACCCCCCATTGTCCTCATCTATAGGTGCACAGTTTATGTTCAGTCTCTTCCCACATCCCCCTCTACCCTTTTCCCCAACAATCGTCAGTTCACTCCCCTTCTATACCTCTGATTCTATTATGTTCAACAGTTAATATTGTTCATCAGTTGTTGTTTTTTAAATTCCTTGGTTTTTAGATTCACTTGTTGATAGTTACATATTTGTTGTTCATAATTTTTGTCTTTATTTACTTTCTCTTCCGAAAGAACTTCCTTCAGCAATTCATATAATTCTGGTTTGGTGGTGATGAATTCCTTTAGCTTTTTTTTTATTAGTAAAGCTCTTTATCTGGCCTTCGATTCTGAGTGATAGCTTTGCTGGGTAGATTATTTTTGGCTGTAGGTTCTTACTATTCATCACCTTAAATATTTCTTGCCATTCCCGTTTGGTCTGCATGGTTTCTGTTGAGAAATCAGCTGACAATCGTATAGGTGTTCCTTTATAGATAACTACCTGCTTTGCTCTTGCTGCTTTTAATATTATCTCTCTGCCTTTTGCTCTTGGAATTTTAATTATGATTTGTCTTGGTGTGGTCTTCTTTGGATTCCTTTTGTTTGGAGTTCTGTGCGCTTCCTGGACTTGTAAATCTAATTCTTTCACCAGGTGGGGGAAGTTTTCTGTCACTATTTCTTTCAGTATGTTTTTTATATCTTGCTCACTCTCATCTTCTGGGACCCCCATAATTCTCATGTTGGTTCGCTTGAAATTGTCCCAGAGATTTCTTACATTATCTTCAATTTTCTGGATTCTCTTTCCTTCTTGCTTCTGTGGAGGAGTGTCTTCTGGCTCTTTATGTTCCAAATCTTTGACTTGATTCTTGCGATCTTCCATTCTGTTTTTAGGACTCTGTATAATATATATATATATTTTAATATATTTTATTGATTTTTCACAGAGAGGAGGAGAGAGGGACAGAGAGCTAGAAACGTCAGTGAGAGAGAAACATCGATCAGCTGCCTCCTGCACCCCCCCCACTGGGGATGTGCCTGCAACCAAGGTACATGCCCTTGACCGAAATCGAACCTGGGACCCTTCAGTCAGCAGACCGACGCTCTACCACTGAGCCAAGCCGGTTTCGGCTGTATAATATTTTTTATTACAGACAATGTATTCTTTAATTCTTGTTGTTCCCTTATTATTTCTTGTTGATTCCTTCTTAATTCTAGTTGATCCCTTTTCATATCCTCATAGGTCTTATTGACCTTTTCTAGGAAATTCTTAAAAAACCTTATAAGCGTGTTTTTGAACTCTATATCCAGTTGCTTTTTGTCCTCCATTTCTATCGTTTGTGATCTATTTCCTTGTCTCAGCATTTGTTTAAATTATTTATTTTGTAACTATACTTTATTGATTTCAGAGAGGAAGAGAGAGTTAGAAACATGAAGAATGAAAGAGAGACATTGACTAACCTCTTCCTGCCCATCCCCCACTGGAGATTGGGCTGGCAAACTGTGCATGTCCCCTGTCAAGCAATGGATTTATGATCAGAAAGGTCATAGGTCGATGGTCAATCACTGGCCTGTACTGTCCAACCTTTATTTATTTATTTTATAGACAGGAAGGGAGACAGAGAAATAGGGAAACATTGATGTGCTGTTTTTTCCATCCAAGCATTCATTGGCTGCCCCCTACGTGTGCCCTGATGGAGGATCAAACCCACAACCCTGGTGCATGGGGACCACACACTCAACAAGAGAGCTACGTGGGCAGGACTGTGAATTTGTGTATTAATTTCAGAAGCTCATATTGGATCTTTGCAAATTTCTCTATGAAAGGTCATGTCATCTCCTAACCAATGTCTCTTATGATGCTTTGTAGTTCATAATGTGAGGTGTAATGTCTTATCTTTCATTTCTTTTTTCATTTACTTGAGGCTTGTTTTTGTTTGTTTGTTTTTGTTTTTTGCTTTAGTCCAACCCAAGTTTTGCCAGTTTTTGTATTTTTTAGAAAATTATCTGTTAGGGCCGAAACCAGTTTTGCTCAGTGGCTAGAGCATCAGTCTTCGGACTGAAAGGTCCCAGGTTCGATTCTGGTCAAAGGCATGTATGTTGGTTGCAGGCACATCCCCAGTAGGGGGTGTGCAGGAGGCAGCTTTTCGATGTTTCTCTCTCATCAATGTTTCTAACTCTATCCTTCTCCCATCCTCTCTCTAAAAAAATCAATAAAATATAATTTTTTTTAGAAAGAATAGTACATGTTAAGTATTCTTTATATTGTCTTTTATCTCTCTTTTGTTGATGCTTGTTCAAATATTTATTATTACATTAATTTGCCACCTTTGGGTTTACTTTCTTGTTTTGTTTTGAGATTCCTGAGATGAGGTGTTAGGTTTTTTTTACATCTTTTTTTTTTTTTTTAAAGATATTTTATTATTTTTTACAGAGAGGAAAGGAGAGTGACAGAGAGTTAGAAACATCGATGAGAGAGAATCATCTATCAGCTGCCTCTTGCACACCTCCTAGTGAAGATGTGCCCGCAACCCACGTACATTCTCTTGACCGGAATGGAACCTGGGACCTTTCAATCCGCAGGCTGACGCTCTTATCCACTGAGCCAAACCAGTTTTGGCATATCTTTTTTTTTAATGTAGTCATTTATCCATAAAAAATTTTATTGGGTCGGCAAGTAAGTAATTGCGGATTTTTTAAAGAAAATCAAAGACAATTTTTTCATGGAACTAAATAACTTTATTCTGTAATGTATTGCCCATTTTGATCAATGACCTCTTGCCATCTTTCAGGCAGCATCATAATCCCACGTTCAAAAAACTTCTGGTTTTTATTAGCAAAAAACTGAATCAGGTACGATTTGACATCATCATCATTATTGAAATTTTTACCATTCAAGGAGTTTTGTAAAGATCGAAACAAAAAGTAATCAGATGGTGCAAGGTCAGGACTATATGGTGGATGTGGCAAAACATCCCAACCAAGCTCCATTAATTTTTGCCGAGTGACCAAAGATGTGTGTGGCCTTGCATTGTCATGATGGAATACAACACCTTTTCGATTTGTCAATTTGGGCCGCTTTTCTTCAACTGCATTGTTTAATTTCATTAGTTGTTCAATGTAGACATCAGAATTGATCGTTCGGTTGGGTGGTAAGAGTTCAAAGTAGACAATTCCTTTGTAATCCCACCAAACTGATAACAAAACCTTCTTTTGATGAATATCAGCTTTTGATGTTGTTTGAGTTGGTTCACCTGGCCTGCTCCACGATCTTTTCTGCTTGATATTGTTGTAAACAACCCATTTTTCATCGCCAGTTATCAGTCGTTTTAAAAATGGATCATTTTCATTACGTTTCTTTAGCAAATCGCAGCTGCTAATGCGTTGCGTTAACTGTGATTCTTTCAGTTCGTGAGGAACCCATGTATCGAGTTTTTGAACATAGCCAAGTTGTTTTAAGTGATTTTCAATGCATGTATGTGATACATGAAGCTTCTCTGCAATCTCACGTGTTGTACTGTGACAGTCCGAATTGATTATTGCTTTGATTAGGGCGTCATCAACTTCAACTGGACAACCAGAGCGTTTTTCATCTTTGAGTGAAAAATCACCAGAACGAAATTTGGCAAACCAATTTTGACACTGCCGTTCTTTTAAGGCTTCGTCACCATAAACAGCACATAACTTTTTATGAGCTTGCGATGCGTTTTTCCCTTTGTGGAAATAAAAAATCAAAATATGACGAAAATGTTCCTTTTGATTTTCCATTTTTCAACGAATGCCAAACGAAAACTACAAAACAGATCAAAAAACTTTTTTACTGATTAACAGCTGAATAGCCAACTATCAAATAACAAAATGTGTTTTACATTTTTACTACGTCTGCAAACCTAAAAATTCAACTGAAGCCATATATGTGTGAAACCCGCAATTACTTACTTGCCGACCCAATATCTTAAAATTACATTTTCTGAATTTTATACTTGACTTTTGATAGGTTGTGTTGTTAATTACTTTGTCTTTAGAGGTTTTTTGTTTGTTTTTTTATCCATATAATTTATTGATTTTTTTACAGAGAGGAAGAGAGAGGGATAGAGAGTTAGAAACATTGATGAGAGAGAAACATGGATCAATTGCCTCTTGCACATCCCTCACCATGGATTTACCCGCAACCAACACATATGCCCTTGACCAGAATCGAACCCGGGACCATTCAGTAGCATGCTGACGCTCTATCCACTGAGCCAAACTGGTTTCGGCTCTACAGTTTTTTGAATTCTCTTTTGCATTTGGCTATATTGAAATTATTGGTAATTTATTGTTTACTATTTTCAAATAGAGAGGAGGAGACATGGACAGAGAGAGAGACAGAAAGACAGACAGAGAGAGAGAAACATCATTGTGAGGGAGAAAAAGCAATCGGCTGCCTTTTCCTCACTAGGTAACTGGAAGTGGAACCCACATACTTATATGTGCCTTGGCTGGGAATTGAATACTTGACCCTTTGTTTTTTTTGTGTGTGTGTTTTTAAAAAATATATATTTTATTGATTTTTGTACAGAGAGAAAGGGAGAGAGATAGCTAGAAACATCAATGAGAGAGAGTCATCGATCAGCTGCCTTCTGCACACCCCCCACTGGGGATATGCCCGCAACCAAGGTACATGCCCTTGACCGGAATCGAACCCGGGACCTTTCAGTCCCCAAGACGACCCTCTATCCATTGAGCCAAACCTGTCTCAGCTTCTGTAATCCTTTTTAATTTCATTTCCAGTGCAATGCTTTGGTCATGGCTAGCTGTCTATTTATACTCATATGTGTGATCCTGCAATCTTGATGATGTCGCTCACATAGGTCTTTGTCCGTGATCTCATTTGTCATTTGTTGTCCTACCGCAGTGATGAACATTGAACTCCTCTGTTTTTCTCTGAAGATTTGCATCATTTATCACATGCAGTGACTCAAATGGGCTTAAGGGGCAGAAGCATTTCTGCATCACAGAATGAAGAGGAATTCATAAATGGCAAAGTGGACTCACAGGTGGCCTTGCCTTGGTGAAGGGTCACTGGGGAAGTATTTTTGGCTGACCCTGGTTATATTTATAGATAGAAACCCAGTGTTTTCTTACTTTTTTTATTTTTATTTTTCGTTTATTGATTTATTACAGAGAGGAAAGGAGAGGGATAGAGAGCTAGAAACATCAATGAGAGAGAAACATCGAGCAGCTGACTCCTGCACACTCCCTTCCGAGGATGTGCCCGCAACCAATGAACATGCCCTTGACCAGAATGGAACCTGGGACCTTTCAGTTCACCGGCTCTATTCACTGAGCCAAACCAGTTTCGGCCACCCAGTGTTTTCTTTCAGTTGCCCATTTTTCAGCCAATTTTATGCCTGTTTGTGCTTATTGATACTTTGCCAACTACTGAGTTCTAATAGCAATCATTTCTACTGGGATTGCTAGTAACCTTAACTTTGGACTTTGAACCTCTGCCTCTTTCACAAGTCTCTCTTTACTGCCAACTAACGTTGGCCCATGCCTGCAGCACTTTGGAGTGCACACATGTTACTAAATTGACGTTGAACATCATGTGCACTAATACAATTAATTTTTATGGCTTTGAGCAGCCTTAAATTATTATACACAGACTCGCATGGTCAGCATATAAGATTCTAAAGAAAGCTGTTTGTGCAGGAACAATGACTAGAACCTTCCTCTCTTCTTTGTATCCCATCTTGTACTTCTGTCCTTCTGTTGGTAAACTTTTCATTATCTACTGACTTTTGGGGCCACATTATATGTAACAGCAGTTTCCTCAGAGTTCACCTCACTTGTCTTAACAATTTGTCTTTGGAATCAGGCCTAGTCATGACAGAAACATTTGTGTTGAAGGTACTCCATTTTCATAAGGTCAACATGTACTTCACCTTCCATTCTTCTTGTTCAGGTTGCTGCTGTGGAGCAGAGAATGTGGAGGCACCAACAAAACAGAAGGTTTCAGTAAGAGTGTCACAGAGAAGGAATCCCAAGATAGCCTTGTCTTCCCAGAAGAGCCATCCCTGTGAGAGTTGTGGGCTCACCTTGGGAAACATATTCCATGTGATGGAGCTTCAAAGAAATGAACATGGACAGGTACTTTTGAGATGCGGGGCATGTGCAAAACGGTTTTACTTCCGTGTAAAAGTTGACAAAAAGCATGTTAGAGAGAGGACATTTATTAGAGGTGTAGACACGATTTCACATGGAAACAGTTGCAATTTCAACGTGTCCCAGAATTGTTTCACAAGCGGGGAGGTTGAGCCCAGTGTCCTTTCAAAACCAAGACATCTCCACCTAAAAGCTACTCTCACCAGGGACAGTGGAAATGCTATTTCAACAGATGGGAAGACATTTCAAAGCAGAATTCATACGGGAGAAAAGCCTTATCAATGCATCGAATGTGAGAAAAGTTTCAAAAAAACCATTGGTCTCCAGTATCATCAGAGAGTTCACAATGGAGAAAAGCCTTATAAATGCAACGAATGTGGGAAAGCTTTTACCAGTAGGAGTGACCTTCTTTGTCATCAGAGAATTCATACTGGAAAAAAGCCGTATCAATGCAGTGAATGTGAAAAAGCTTTTACCACTAGCAGTCAACTTAGAAAGCATCAGAGAGTTCATACGGGAGAAAAGCCTTATAAATGCAGTGAATGTGGAAAATGTTTTAACAGTAACAGCTACCTTCGTAGTCATGAGAGACTTCACAGTGGAGAAAAGCCTTATAAATGCAACGAATGTGGGAAATCTTTTAATAGTAGGAGTGACCTTCATTGTCATCAGAGAATTCACACTGGAAAAAAGCCGTATCAATGTAGTGAATGTGAGAAAGCTTTTACCACTAGCAGTCAACTTAGAAAGCATCAGAGAGTTCATACGGGAGAAAAGCCTTATAAATGCAGTGAATGTGGAAAATGTTTTAACAGTAACAGCTACCTTCATAGTCATCAGAGACTTCACACTGGAGAAAAGCCTTATAAATGTAGTGAATGTGGAAAATGTTTTAACACTAACAGCCACCTTCGTAGTCATCAGAGAGTTCACAGTGGAGAAAAACCTTATAAATGTAGTGCGTGTGAGAAAGCTTTTACCACTAGCAGTCAACTTTGTACTCATCGGAGAGTTCATACAGGAGAAAAGCCTTATAAATGCAGTGAATGTGAGAAAAGTTTTCTAGGAAACACTGATCTCCAGCGTCATCAGAGAGTTCACACTGGAGAAAAGCCTTATAAATGCAGTGAATGTGGTAAGTCTTTTGCAAGGAGCATTGTTTTTCAATATCATCAGAGAATTCACACAGGAGAAAAGCCTTATAAGTGCAGTGAATGTTCGAAATCATTTACTGGTAGAACTAGTCTCCAGTATCATCAGAGAGTTCACAGAGGAGAAAAGCCTTATCAATGCAGTGAATGTGGGAAAACTTTTACCAATAATAACAACCTTCATATTCATCAGAGAGTTCACAGAGGAGAAAAGCCTTATCAATGCAGTGAATGTGGGAAAACTTTTACCAATAACAGCAACCTTCAGAGTCATCAGAGAGTTCACACTGGAGAAAGTCCTTGTAAATGCAGCGAATGTGGAAAGTCTTTTTCGAGTAGCACTAGTCTCAAATATCATCAGAGAGTTCACACAGGAGAAAAGCCTTATCAGTGCAGTGAATGTGGTAAATATTTTGTTCGTAGTACTAGCCTTCATGCTCATCAGAGAGTTCACACCGCAGAGAAGCCTTATAAATGCAGTCATTGTGGGAAATGTTTTAGCTGGAACAGTAGCCTTCATACTCATCAGAGAGTTCACACTGGAGAAAAGTATCACTGCAATGAATGTGGCAAATCTTTTAGAAGTAGTAATGGTCTTAAATATCATCATGCAGCTCACAGTGGAGAAAGCCGCGATGAGTGCAATTAATGGGTGATATCTTTCCGTCTAATTTGTAAATTACCTCTTCACAAAAGAGTCTTGATGAGAAAAGATTGTTTGATGTGTAGGAAATGTAGTTTGTTAGTATTTGACAGTAGTATAAGATTATAAATGACGTCTCAATAGCCTGAATTGTATCTCCTGCATTTAATTGGCTACATTATGTAATGTACCCCAATAATTTCTGCTATTCTATGTTGCACTTTGTAACGTACTGAGATGTCCTACCAGATCTATGTCAGTACATCTTTATTTTGCTGAAGTTATTTCAGGTCCCTACAGATGACATCAGTCACCATCCTCATGTGCCAGGGAAGCTAACTGTGTTGTCTAATTTGTTGAAGAAAATTAGGAATACCTGAGTCCTTAGTTCTTATTTGTTTCTCTGTCATGAGTTGTCACATAGGACTGATTCCTGTTGGCCCCAGTAAACATAAGGTTGCAGAAGAACTGCCATTTTCAGGGACTCATTTTGCCTAGATGATAATGCAGAGGTATTGAGTGCCTAAGTCATCAATGGAAAAACTGCCAGTCTCAGGTCTCTTTTTTTGTAAAATAATGAAGGATTTTTTTTTTTTTTTTTTTTTTTACAACTTCTTTAATCGGGTATTCTATTAATTCTGTGGGTTTGTGTTTAAGAATATCTGGGCATTTGCAGCATGATGAAGTGGAAAACTTACATGTGGTCTCAAACATTTTTCCCTGGAGGAAGACTATCGTGCAGAAATTAGCTCTGCCATTTTTGTCAGATTTACATTGCTGCCCATAATTTGGCAGGCATCACTGTGGACTCTAGTGCTCATGTGAAGATGGATGCTTTGAGACACAGAGATCACTCCAAAGAGGGAATTGCTGTGACAACCTCAAGTATGTCCGGGAGCAGTGTGAATTTTTTTCTTGTTTACAAGGCATGCTAAGACAGTTGAAGCTTATGTTTTCCCCAGTTGTTGTGGAGGGCCATGTGCCCTAATGACTTCAATTCCATGGGTGATGGGCATTGGTTGGAGGACCATCCCAGTGAGGAGAAACTCTTTACTGACCTAATTCCATTTGAATGAATGGTCTTCATCTGAATTTGCACCCAGAATTTAAAAATATATATATATTTTATTGATTTTTCACAGAGAGGAAAGGAGAGGACAGAGAGCCTGAAACATCGATCAGCTGCCTCCTGCACATCCCCTACTGGGGACGTGCCTGCAACCAAGGTACATGCCTTTGACCGGAATCAAACCTGGGACCTTTCAGTCCGCAGGCCGACGCTCTATCCACTGAGCCAAACTGGTTTTGGCTATAGTGAGTCTTTTCTGAGATGTATATTTACTGTGTCTGTATCTTTCTTAAAAACCTCTGATCATATATTCTGCCTAATGTGCTAGGAATGTTAGCAATTTTCTTTAACAAAAGAACAGTGGAATGACAAACGGGTGTTGGAATTTCCCTCTATTTGTGCCTTTTTTGATTTAGGGAATAAATATTTTTTTGGATTGGAATAATGTGTTTTAATATTTTATACTTTAAAAATATGTATTATCAGGGATTTTTTAAAGATGAAAGATTTATGTGACCTGAAGAGAAACCAGAATATGAGAAAATTTAAAAATTTTTTTTATTGATTTCAGAGAGGAAGGGAGAGGGAGAAATAGAAATAGAAGCATCAATGATGACAGAGAAGCATTGATAGGCTACCTTTTACACGCAGCTACAGGGAATGGAGCCCTGAATCCAGGCCTGTGCACTGACCAGAAATCTAATGGTGGACCTTTTTTTGCTGTGTTGACGCCAAACCACTGAGGCATTTTGATTAATAAATAAAAACCACTGGGAATTTTTTGTTTTTAAATACTATGCACAATGCAGTGAACACTAAATTTTAACTGGCACTACTAACATTCTCCATCACCTCTAGAAGAGCAACCTTAGGAAACATTCTCCTGACAAGAACCCTCAATGCCCCAACGCCAACACACACCTTTGTGTTTAGGGCTTTTAAGAAAGATCCGGGGCCTTTTTGAACCCGCTCAGCCACCTGCAGGGAGGCAGTACTGTGGCCACCAAGGTCTCCGTGGTGGGCCTCTAACCTGGAGTCTCCGGGAGACTCACTACAGCTCCCTGCACTTCAGATGGCTAAATGTGACATGAAGGTAGTGACAAGACTTTGAGAATCAATAAAAATGACAAACTTAGTACTTGCCTGGGTCAGGGTTCCAGAGTTTGATTTTTGAGCACTTTCTCTTTTTTTTTTTTTAATTATTATTTTTTTTCATTGGCTCTTGTCACACTTTTTTTAAAAAAATATATTTTTATTGATTTATTACAGAGAGGAAGGGAGAGAGAGAGTTAGAAACATCGCTGAGAGGGAAACAACAATCAGCTGCCTCCTCATACCCACTGCTGCAGATATGCCTGCAACCAAGGTACATGCCCTCGATTGGAATCGAACCTGGGACCTTTCAGTCCATTGCCAATGCTCTATCCACTGAGCCAAACCAGTTTCGGCTAATCACACTTCTTTTTAAAAAATATATATTTTATTGATTTTTTTTTTTACAGAGAGCAAGGGAGAGGGATAGAGAGTTAGAAACATAGATGAGAGAGGAACATCAACCAGCTGCCTTCTGCACACCCCCTACTGGGGATGTGCCCGCAACCAATGTACATGTGCTTGACCGGAATCGAACCTGGGACCTCTCAGTCTGCAGGCCTACACTCTATATCTACTGAGCCAAACCTTTTCGGGCCAACTGTTGCACTTCCTAAAATACAGAGTTATCTTGCCAGATGTATGTCAGTGCATACTTCTGTTGCTAAAGGTATTTCAGTTGAACCACCTACAAAGCAGTTACAGATGGAATCATTCAACATCCTCATGTGTACAGGGAAGCTAACTCTGTTGTCCGATTTGTTGAAGACTATCAGGAATACCTGAGTCCCTAAAGGAGTCCTTCATTGTTTTCCTTCTCATGAGTTGCCATACAGGGCTCCTTAGTGTTGGCCCCAGAAGACTGAGAATCGCAGAGCTTCTGCCACGCTCATGGTCACACTTTCCCTACCGCCAGTGATGGATTTATTGAATGCCTAAGACATGAAGGCAAGAGCTGCCAGTCTTACATCTGTTTGTTTTGTGAAATGAAGGCTTTTCCCTAAGGCTTCTTTAATCGTGGGGTTCTATTTGCTGTGTGGGTTAGCTTATAAGGAGAACTTTGCAGTTTAAGCATGTTGAACAACATTTATGGGGCCTCAAAACTGTGCCTTGAGGGAAAGGTATGGTGCAGAAATTAGCACAGCAGTGTTTGCCAAATATACATTGCTGCCCATATTTTCCTCGGAAATACTGTGGACTCTAGTCCTCATGTAAAGGTGCATGCTTGGAGACACAGATCACTTCAAAGAGGGGGTACCTGTCACAACTAAAAGTATGTGTTGGAGCAGCATGAATTTTTCTTTTTTTTTAAACATATTGATTTTTTTTTTACAGAGAGGAAGGGAAAGGGATAGAGGTAGAAACATCAATCAACTGTCCCCTTTGCACCCCCTACTGGAGATTTTCCGCAACCAAGGTACATGCCCTTGAGTGGAATCAAACCTGGGACCTTTCAGTTCCCAGGCCTAAGCTCTATCCACTGAGCCAAATTAGTCAGGGCCCTGTTAAATTTTTTACCAAAGTTCATACTGATTTCCATAAGGGCTGTAGCAGTTTGCTTTCCCAGCAGTAGAGTACAGGGGTTCCCTTTTTTCCACATTCACCCAGCACTTGTCCTTTGTTGATTTGCTGATGGCAGTCATTCTGACAGTGGTGGGGTGATACCTAATTGTTGCTTTAACTTACATCTCTCTGATGATCAGTCACTTTGAGCATTTTTTCACATATCTCTTGATCATCTTCTCTACACTGCAGCCCAGTCAGAGCTGACACTTTGGATGGCATCAGTAGCAGAGTGTTAAAGTGTCTGTTCGGTGACATTAACTTTGTACACTGGATTCAGTGGATGCAGGCTAGATAGGTTTATAAATATATTTTATTGATTTTGTACAGAGAGGAAGGGAGAGAGATAGAGAGCCAGAAACATCGATGAGAGAGAGTCATCGATCAGCTGCCTCTTGCCCACCCCCTACTGGGGATATGCCCGCAACCAAGGTACATACCCTTGACCGGAATCGAACCCGGGACCCTTCAGTCCCCAAGCCGACGCTCTATCCATTGAGCCAAACCGGTCCCGGCCAGGCTAGATAGGTTTAAACAGGATTTAGACAATTGAGCAATCTCTGCAAGCTACTTTTGGCCTGAAGGAAGAAAACGGTGCCTGCCATTCAGGAAGAGCAGGTCTTAAAGAAAGATATGCAAAACCTGCAGCTACAGGAAGCCATCAGGTGCAGGAGAAACAAACTTGCCCCAGACATCACCTCCCCGGAAGGCTCCACTTCCTTTACTTGGTGTGTTCTGGGGCTTTCTGCACCTTAAGCCACCCTCATAACAGAATCCTGGCTTTGTAGCTTAGGAACTACGTTACCCAGAAGGCCACGCATGGAATGACAGCAGGGTCAGCCAATGGAATCTCAGAGAAGGCATTTCTGTTTGTCCGCTTACGTAGGGCGGGACCGGTAGTCCTCCCGAGGAGAGGTTCTGTTCTCAGCTTTTTGTCTGAGGCGGCCTGGTTTCCCCTGTCACAGCGTCCTGTGGAGAAGGTGGAGAGTGGTGTTCCCCGCTGCACAGCCTGTGGTCGGAGACTCCCGTGGTGCTCACCGCTCACACGTGGGGTTGGAGCTCGGAGTCACCGCCCGGACCCCCGCCAGGGCGGGGACAGGCCCCGCCATTCCTGCCGCGGCTGCCGCTCCCGCCGCCCCTGCCCCGCGCGGCCCACAGAGCGCGATGGCGGCGCCCGCGCTGAGGGGCTTCGCTGAGGTGAGTTCCTGTCCCCCAGGCCCCCCGCCTCCTCACCCCGCACCCCACAGCCCGGTGCGGGCCTGTCCCTCCTGCAGCTCCGTCCGCGGGGAGGACCGTGAGGAAGGCGGAGGGGAGGGAGGAGCGCGGTGGCTTCTGAGGACACAGCCAGTCCTGGGCAGAGTGTCTGACAGAAAACTGGAAAGAACCAAGGAACGCTTAGGGAAGATGGAGTTATTTTTATTATTATTACGCGTGGGCCCGAAGGAAAATGCATTTCAAATTCTGGACCCCAAGATGGAGGAACTTTCCCAGTTTATGTTTTTACTTTATTTATTCATTTATTTGTTTTAATATATTTTATTGATTTTTTTTCGGAGAGGATGGGAGAGGGATAGAGACCTAGAAATATCCATGAGAGAGAATCATCGACCAGCCGCCCTCTGCACACCCCCACTGGGGATGTGCCGGCAACCAATGTACATGCCCTTGATCGGAATCGAACCTGGGACCCTTCAGTCTGCAGACCGACGCTCTATCTACTGAGCTAAACCGGTTCCGGCTTTATTTATTTTTTAATATTTTTAAAAATATATTGTATTGATTTTTTTTTCCTTTTTTTTTTTTTTTTTTTACAGAGAGGGAAGGAGAGGGATAAAGAGAATCATTGATCACCTGCCTCCTGCACACTCCCTATCCGGGGCGTGCCTGCAACCAAGGTAAATGCCCTTGACCAGAATCAAACCTGGGACCTTTCAATCCGCAGGCTCTATCCACTGAGCCAAACTCGTTAGGGCTGCTTTTACCTTCTTTATCACCCAAATATGGGGTGTAGCTGGCCCCCTTTGCAAGTTCTTAAAGAGCTTCTATTTGCTGGGCACTTAAGACCTCAACCAAAGGCCTGGCCTGGTGCCAGCACTGATAACTTTGTCCACGAAAGGTTTAATGGCCTCTCGGAAGTGGGAGTAGTCTTATTTTCCTTATAATTTAAGCAAGCAATCAAGCATTTCCAGAAGCCAAATAGCAGGGTTGAAATTTGAAACAGCAGATTTTATATAAGATGGATGCTTCAAGTGGTCAGGGGTGACTTGCATCTGATGTTCCCGTAAGCATGTGGGCTGTGAGGATTGACTGAAAGTTGAGAGGCTGCAGGGAGGACAAACCAGACTTATTTGGGGCTTTCCCGGCTGTGGGGTCCATCAGTGGCCGGGGGTGGTCCTGGGTTTGCCTGGAAGACAAGCTCTCTGTGTATACCATATGCCAGGTTCATGGGGGAGTCCAATGAGATCCAGTGGCTTGGAGTAGAAAGGGGGCAGAGCTGAGGGAGTGAATCTGGGTTCCGAAGATGGGAAGAGGATAAACATTACACAGTTCTGTGCACACCTGGACGAAAGGTGAGCTTATGGTTCCCGGGACCTGGCGTGGTGACTAAATGACAAGCATAAACCTACGCTTGGCGTTGTTTTGGAGACTGGAATCTAGGACAGTGGTCAGAAAACTCATCAGTCAACAGAGCCAAGTATCAACAGTCCAACGATTTAAATTTCTTGTGAGTCAAATTTCTTAAACTTAAACTGTATAGGAAGGTACATTGTTATTAACTTAATTAGGGTATTCCTAAGCTGGCCTTTGCTAAAAACTCAAGGGGCCAAAGAGCCGCATGTGGCTCTCAAGCCACACTTTGCTGACCACTGATCTGTGAGACTGCAGTGGGATTGCTTGACAGGAAGGCTGGGGTGCTGCAGGCATCACCCAGACCTTAAATGGCATTGCTCCCTCCCCTCCCCTGCTCAATTGTTTCCACCCAACCCAGCTACTCTGCTGAGTGAAATCCCAATGAGTAATGGGACGGTGATGAGAGAGCTGCCTGCACTGGCATTATGGCCTGGTGTCCACATTAAACTGGAAGCCTTAGAGGAGATTAAGGGTGGGAAGGTGTGTAAGGAGTAGGAGTGGGTGTTCTCAGAGAGACATAGCTCTGGTGTCAATTATCTTAATTCTGACAGGTTGGCATGACCTTTGAGGACATTGCCCTGTACTTCTCCAGGGAGGAATGGAGCCTCCTTGATGAGGATCAGAGACAGCTGTACCTGAATGTGATGCTGGAGAACTTTGAACTTGTATCCTCGCTGGGTAAGACCCTCACTCTCACCAGTGACCTGGACTTGGCTTTGGGATTTCCCAGGCCCCATCTTCCAGGATGTGCTGTGTCCTCCCATATAGACTGTGGTTCTGCTTGATTGTTCCAGATTTCTGAGTGGTTGGTGTCCTGGGGAGGATTGGTCTGTTTCCAATGCTCCCTTGTATTCCTGCATTCCCAATTCTCCCTGCTGGACTAAATTCACAGGGAAGGACTTGCGGTTGGTAGTGTTGCAGACAGCCTGAGGGATTCCACCTTGATGAGTGGGGACAGCATTTTCTATATTCCTATTGGTCATTTGTACTTATTTTTTGAATAATTGTCTCTAAATCCTTGTTCTGTTTAGTAAATATTTTTTGGTTAAAGATTCTTTTGACTAGTACCTTGTATATTCTATTATATATATTAATTGTTATGACATACAGGAACATATATTGTTGCATGTGCTTAATTGTTCTTTGCAGATATTTTCCCCAGCACCTGCTTTTCTATAAAGTCTATGGTTTTGGCAACCCTGCGTTCAGCAGGTCTAGTGCCACCATGTTTCTAAGAAATTCAGATGGTTGTTACTAGTGCTTTGCAATAAAGTGTGTGTTTTTTTTGTGTTTGTTTTTTTTTAAAATATATTTTATTGATTTTTGTACAGAGAGGAAGGGAAAGAGAGAGAGAGTTAGAAACATCGATGAGAGAGAGTCATCAATCAGCTGCCTCTTGCACACCCCCTACTGGGGATATGCCCACAACCAAGGTATTATACATGCCCCTGACCGGAATCGAACCCGGGACCCTTCAGTCCCCAAGCTGACCCTCTATCCATTGAACCAAACTGGTCCCGGCCAATAAAGTGTTTTTAATGAAATTCTATGGAGTTTGCTTTTCAGATAGACATTGCATTGTTGATTGCAGTTGTGCTGGGAAGAAGGTGTTTTTCTTTATTTGTTGCAATTTGGACTCTTTGTTTTGTCTGTTTTGTTTGGTGTTGGGTGTTCGGTGTCACATTCAGAAAATCCTGACTGAGCCCTAACCGGTGTTGCTCAGTTGATAGAGTCTCAGCCTGTAAACTCAAGGGTCCCAGGTTCAATTTGGGTCAAGGGCATGTACCTTGGTTGCAGGCACATCCCCAGTAGGGGGTGTACAGGAGGCAGCTGATTGATGTTTCCTACTCTATCTTTCTCCCTTCCTCTCTGTAAACAATCAATAAAATATATATATTTTTAAATTGGGTGGGGCCTGAGCTGGTTTGGCTCAATGGATAGAGTGTTGGCCTCTGGATTTAAGGGTCCCAGGTTCCATGCCAGCTAAGGGAAGAGAGAGGGAGGGAGTGAGAGGGGAAAAAAATCAGTGTGAGGGAGAAACATTTATAGGCTGCTTTCTGCACACAAGTTGACTGGAAATGGAACCCACATGTAGATATGTGCCTTGACTGAGAATTGAATGCTTGACCGTTTGGTACACAGGACAATGTTCCAACCAACTGCGCCATACTATAAAAGCCATTTTGTGGTCTTTAAACACAAAAATTTCCAATGATTTTTCAAGAAAAGGCCACTAGGGTCAATGATAGCAGAAGCATAGAGGCTATTGGAGGTAACTCTGACCCTTGGTTTTAACACTATATATTTTCAAATATGTTTATTCGCCCAGACTTTTCCAGTTATTCTTTCTGTAGAGTTCTCCTTTATTTGTGTTCTGGAATACTGTTTGTCTTCAAGGTAGTCTTCTTCACATTTTTTCGGGTTTTATTCGTGGCTAGCTATCATACTTACAGTGAGGTGGGGAGAGATGCTCATATCTCTTATTCTGCTATCTTGTTGGTGTCACACACATAGGTCTTTTATCTGTGATCTCATTTACACTTTGTTGTTCTACCACAGTGTTGACCCTCCATCTTTTCTGTTTTTCTTTGAAGATTTGGATCATTTATCCCATGCATTGGCTCAAATGGAGTTTAAGTAGAAGAATCATTTGTGCATCATAGAAGAAACGTGACTTTATGAATGACACAGTGGACCCACATGGGGTCTTGCCTTGGTCAATGGTCATTAGGGAGGAATTCTAGGCTGGTCTTTGTTACATTCATAGCTAGGAACCCAGTGTTTGGTTACAGTTGCCCATTCCTCACCCAGTTATGCTTGTTTGTGCTTATGTTGATGCTTTGCCTACTATTCAGTTCTAATAGTGATCATTTCTACTTGTTTCCCACCTAACATATAACATTAACTACTCTGCACTTTGCACCTCTGCCTCTTTCACAGGTCTCTTATTACTGCACTCCAATGTTGGTCTGAGCCTGTAGCACCTTGGAGTGCACATGTGTTATTATAATGACTTTGAACATTATGTGCTCTAATACAATCAATTTTTATGACTTTGAGCAGCTTTAAATTATTCTACACAGACTCATATGGCCCGCATGTATGGTAAATAGAGGAAGCCGTTTGTGTAAGAACAATGAGTAGGGCCTTTCTCTCTTATTTGTGTCCCATCTTGTACTTCTGTTCTTTCTTGGTGAACTTTTCATCTTCGACCAACTTTTGGGGCCACTTTATGTATTTCCTCAGAGTATACCTCATTTGTTTTGAAAATTGTTCTATGCAATCAGGCCTAATCATGGCACATAAACATTTGTGGTGAAGATATTATGTTTTCACAAGATCAACATGTACCTCACCAGCATTTCCTTTTGTTCAGGTTGCTGCTGTGGAGCAGAGAATGTGGAGGCATCAACTGAAGAGAACAATTCTGTAAGAGTGTCACAGGCAAGGAATCCCAAGGTAGCCTTGTCTTCCCAGAAGAGCCACCCCTGTGAGGGTTGTGGGCTAGTCTTCAGAAACATTTTCCATTTGACTGAGCTGCAGGGAACAGAATACGGACAGATACTGTTGCGATGTGGGGCATGTACAAAACAGTTTTACTTCTGTGTAAAAGTTGACCAGCAGCATGTGAGAGAGAAGACTTTCATTAGCGGTTTGGACAGGATCTCACATGCAAACAGCTACAATTTCAATGTGTCCCAGAATCATTTCAGATGTGGAAAGGTTGGGCACGGTGTCCTTACTGGGTCCGGACATCTCCACCTAAAGGCTACTATGTCCAAGGACAGTCCAAGTGCTGTTTCTAAGTGTGAGATGATGTTTCAAAGGAGAAACAATTATTATACCAGAAAAGAATGTGAGGAAGGCATTAGTTGCAACCACAATTTTATTCCAGAAAAGGATGTCCTTGCAGGTAGTCAGTGTTTTGTGAGCTCTGAATGTGGAAAACATTTAACCGACTTTTCAAGCTTTCATGATCAACAGCAAGATCACACTGGAGAAAGCCCTTATCGATGGATTGAATATGGGAAAGCTTTTAGCAGTAGAAACAGCGTAGGTGATCATGAAGCTTTGCACACTGGAGAACGGCCTTATGAGAGGAGTGAATGTGGAAAAACTTTTACCTGTAGCAGTGCCCTCCATTATGATCAAAGAGTTTACACAGTGGAAAGGCCTTATGAGTACAACGAATGTGGGAAATCTTTTGCAACTAACTCTTACCTACATAATCATCAGAGAATTCATACAGGAGAAAAGCCTTATAAATGCAGTGACTATGGGAAATCTTTTACATTGGGGACTGCCCTTCGTTGTCATCAAAGAGTTCATAAAGGAGAAAATCCATATAAATGCATTGAATGTGGAAAGTCTTTTACAAGTAGCAATGGTTTTAAATATCATCAGAGAGTTCACACAGGAGAAAAGCCTTATCAATGCAGTGAATGTGGGAAGTCTTTTATCAGTATCCCTCAACTTCGTAGACATGAGAGAGTTCATACAGGAGAAAAGCCTTTTAAATGCAGGGTCTGTGGGAAATCTTTTAGATGGAGGAGTCACCTTCATTGTCATCAAAGAGTTCATACTGGAGAAAATCCATATAAATGCTTTGAATGTGGAAAGTCTTTTACAACTAGCAATGGTATTCAATTTCATCAAAGAATTCACACAGGAGAAAAGCCTTATCAATGCAGTGAATGTGGGAAAAGTTTTACCACTAACACCAACCTTCATATTCATCAGAGACTTCACACAGGAGAAAAACCTTATAAATGCACTGAGTGTGAGAAATCTTTTAAGCGTACTGCTCACCTTCATAGTCATCAGAGAGTTCATACAGGAGAAAAACCTTTTAAATGCAGTGAATGTGGGAAATCTTTTACATGGAGGAGTGGTCTCCAATATCATCAGAGAGTTCACACTGGAGAAAGCCATTCTGAGTGCAATTAATATGAGATATTTATCAGGCATATTTCTAAATTTGCTTTTGACATTGTCCAAATGTGAGATTTTTTAAATGTGTAGGAAATGAAGTTTCTTAGATAGGACTTCACAAGAGTAAAAGATAATTTGTGATTCCTTATTTTTCTGAATTGTATCTCATACATATATTCACCTATATTATGTAAAGTTCCCAGAAATGTTTTTGCTGTTTTGTGTGTTTGCTTACGTTGAAACACTATGTAGTTATATTGCACTTTCTTTTTCTTTTTTTCAAATATATTTTAATGATTTTTTACAGAGAGGAAGGGAGAGAGATAGAGAGCCAGAAACGTCAATGAGAGAGAAACATCGACCAGCTGCCTCCTGCACACCCCCACTGGGGATATGTGCCCACAACCAATGTACATGCCCTTGACCGGAATCGAATCCGGGACCCTTCAGTCCACAGACCGACACTCTACCACTGAGCCAAACCGGCTCCGGCTATATTGCACTTTCTAACATATAGAGATGTCCTGCCAGATCTATGTCACTGCATAATTCTGTTGCTGAAGGTATTTTACCTGAACCACCTATAAGGTCCCTACACATGGCATCAATTACCATCCTCATTTGCCCAGCAAATTGTCTAATTTGTTGAAGAAAATTAGGAATACATGAGTCCTTAGTTCTTACTTGTTTCCCTGTCCTGAGTTGCACTAAGGACTGATTATGTTGGCCCCAGTAAACATAATGCGTGTGTGCCTAAGTCATCAACTGCCAGTCTCAGGTCTCTTTCTTTGCAAAATAATGAAGGCCTTTTCCTAACACTTGTTTAATTTTGGTGTTCTATTTGCTGAGTGTGTTAGTTTGTAAGGAGATCTGGGCTCTCCAAATTCAGGGATGTGGAAAACTTTTATGTGGTCTTCCAACATTTTTGTCGTTGGGGGAAGCCTATGGTGCCAAAAGTAGCTCGGCACGTTTTGCCAAATTTACATTGTTTTCCATAATTTTCCTATTAAACACTGTGGGCTCTATTCCTCATGTGACGATGGATGCTTTGAGACACAGAGATCATTTGAAAGGGGGGGTAACTGAAAACCTCACGTATGTCTGGGAGCGGTGTGAATTTTTTTTCTTCTTTTCAGGGGATGCTAAGATATTTGAAGGGAATATCCTGTCCAGTTCTTAAAGAGGGCCATTTGCCATAATGCCTTCATTTCCATGGGTGATGGGCACTGGTTGGAGGACCATTGCAGTGAGGAGAAACCCTTTCACTGCAGAAACATGGACCTAATTGATGTTTGCCCAGACTGCAGCCTATTAGATGGAATTGTCATCATCTAAACCTGCACCCAGAAATGATTTTGAGGAAAACACTATAGGAGCGGTGAGTACACAGATCTGAGGAATCCCCCACCATGTTTATATTCTGTGCAGCAGTTATTGTCATTGATTATAATCAAGTGGTTTTGTGGGTTCTTCTGGCTTCTCAGATGTTCCCATCAGAGCCATTGGTGCTCTGGCAGCAAAACTAAGAGGAAAAGAAAGAGTGTCTTTAGGCCGGTAATGTGGCTTTTGTGACCCAGTAAGCATCCCAGTGGGTTTGGGTGAAAGTTCTTCATTGTTTGTTACACTTTCTGTGGCTGAGATGAGACTTGCTCAGAGGGCATAAGTATGTGAATTGAATATAAAGTTGCCAAACCTATTCCAAAATAGGTGAAAGTATATATATTTTATCTTGAAACATTCTTTTAATAGCTGTAATTGCATGTGTAAGTGTAGTGTTTCATAAATCTTGACATATGCATGAAAATGAAACCATCATTATACTCAATACTGATCATATCTATGACTGTGTACTGCTTAATGACCTTGTTTCATATTTTTGGTGTCCTTTTTTTTTTTTTTTTTAATATATTTTATTGATTTTGTACAGAGAGGAAGGGAGAGAGATAGAGAGTTAGAAACATCGATGAGAGAGAGTCATCGATCAGCTGCCTCTTGCACACCCCCTACCGGAGATGTGCCTGCAACCAAGGTACATGCCCTTGACCGGAATCGAACCCGGGACCTTTTAGTCCCCAAGCCGACGCTCTATCCATTGAGCCAAACCGGTTTCTGCTTTGGTGTCCTTAATAAAGAACTTGGCTGTTTCTAAGTATTTTTCAGCTTTAATTATTTTATAAATTGTTGGATATATTTAAGAGATATATTTGTAACTCATCTTTTAAATTTTTTTATATATTTTATTGATTTTTTCAGAGAGGAAGGGAGAGAGAGAGTTAGAAACATCGATGAGAGAATCATCGATCAGCTGCCTCTTGCACACCCCCTACTGGGGATATGCCCACAACCAAGATACATGCCCTTGACCGGAATCGAACCCTGGACTCTTCAGTCCACAGGCTGACGTTCTGTCCACTGAGCGAAACCGGTTTTGGCCATCTTTTTTTTTTTTTTTTTTTTTTTTAAGTATTGTTTTTTGTTTTGTTTTTTAATATTTTATTGATTTTTTACAGAGAGGAAGAGAAAGGGACAGAGAGCTAGAAACATCAATGAGAGAGACATTGACCAGCTGCCTCCTGCACACCTCCCACCGGGGATGTTCCCGCAACCAATGTACATGCCCTTGACCGGAATCGAACCTGGGACTCTTCAGTCCCCAGACCGACACTCTATCCACTGAGCAAAACTGGTTTTGGCTTTTTTTTTTTTTTTTTTTTAATAGATATTCTTTTTGTTATTAATCATCACTAGAGGATATTTTTATTTTGAATTTTTTGGAGAGTGGAAGAGAGAGGGAAAGACAGAAATATTGATGTGAAGGAAACACATTGATTGCTTCTTTCATCAGCTGTGACTATGGCCTGAGCTAAGAAGGAATCTTCAACCAAGATACGTGCCTTTGACTTGAATTGATCCCAAGAGCCTTTTCTCTGCTAGCCTATGCTCTATCCAGAGCCAAACTAGCTAGGACGCTGGTGGATGTTCATATTTTTATATATATATCACCATCATGTCTATTTTATTTTTTTAATATATATTTTAAAATATATTTTATTGATTTTTTATAGAGAAGAAGGGAGAGGAATAGAGAATTAGAAACATCGATGAGAGAGAAACATCAATCTACTGCCTCCTGCACAACCCCCACTGGGGATATGCCCACAACCAAGGTAAATGCTGGTGGGGGTCGGAGCCTTTGGGGGTAAGCAGACCAGCAACGGGGGCAGTTGGCAAGCAATCAGTCAGTAGGGGTCAGTTGGAGTGATCAGGACAGTGGGGCCTGGCAGTTTGGAGTGAGCAGCGGGAGCAGATGGGATAAGTAGGTAACACTGGGGCAGTTGTGGGTGATCAGGCTGGCAGGGAGTATTTGGGGGCAATCAGGCGGGCAGGCATGTAGGCAGGTGAATGGCCGGAGCCAGCAGTCCCAGATTGGGAGAGAAATGTCCAACTGCCTGCTTAGGCCCAATCCCTGTAAACCGGCAGTAGGACATCCTTCCATGGGTCCCCTATCGGAGAGGGTGCAGACTGGACTGGTTCTCAGAGACAGCTCTTTTCTCGAATCTGACAGGTTTGTCGTGACCTTGGAGGACATTGCCCTGTATTTCTGCAAGGAGGAAATGAGCTCCTTGTTGAGAGTCAGAAACAGCTGTACCTGAATGTGATGCTGGAGAACTTTGAACTTCTATAGATCCTCCCTTCCCCCAACTGGTGGGCGGAGATTGATGTAACCTGCATATGTGCCTGGACAGCCCTGAGACATCGAATCACCAATCAGGGCGTGCCAAGTACCCTGGGTCCACCCTCCCTCATTTGCCAGGCTTTTTCTAAGCTCCAGGAAGTAGCTACGGAAGATTTCACCTTCACCATCACCTTCTGATGTTGCCCAGACTCTCAATTTTTTTAATATCACCAAAAGCCTGGAATGATAAATCCTCCCTTCCCCCAACTGGTAACCTGCATCTGGACTGGGATATCCCGGAGAAAATGAACCACCAAACAGGGCGTGCCAAGTGCCCTGGACCCCACCCCATCCCATTCCTCATCTCAAAAGGCATGTTCACCTCAGCACCAGAGTGTCCTTACTGGGTCTGGACACTTAACATCTAAAGGATACTAGGTCCAGAGAGTGCCTAAATGCTATTTAGACATGTGGGATATTGTTTCATAGGAGAAACAATTATTACACTAGAAAAGAATGTAAGAAAGACATTAGTTGTGCCAAAACCAGTTGGCTCATTGGAGTGTTGGACTGCAGGCTGAAGGGTTTTGGGTTCAATTCTGGTCAATGGCATGTACCTGGCTTGCGAGCACATTACCGGTGGGGGCAGCTGATGGATGTTTCTCTCTTATCAGTGTTTCTGACTATATCCCTCTCCCTCTCTGTAAAAAAAAAAAAAAAAAAATCAATAAAATATCTTAAAAATAAAAATAAAAAACAGGAGTGGGGATGGCCAGGGGAATTTATTAGCATCAAAGATCTTTGTAGGCCGAAGCCGGTTTGGCTCAGTGGATAGATCGTCGGCTTGTGGACTGAAAGGTCCCGGGTTCGATTCCGGTCAAGGCATGTACCTTGGTTGCGGGCACATCCCCAGTGGGGGGTCTGCAGGAGGCAGCTGATCGATGATTCTCTCTCACCGAAGTTTCTAGCTCTCTATCCCTCTCCCTCTCTGTAAAAAATCAATAAAATATATTTAAAAAAAAAATCTTTGCAGGATGTATACAAGTTTTCTTTGGAATGAATTGATGCTTCAAAGGTGCTTCAGAAAAATAGACAGTAATCCCCAATTGTGACACAACCGAGCTCTTGGGAGAAAAACAGCAGCCCCCTTGCACCTGGACCAGCCCAGCCCAGCCAGCCACCGTACCACAGAGGACAACACCGTGGGGATTCCTAACTAAGCTTGTGCTCGCAGCTGCTCAGGATTTGTGTAAGTAATTAAAAGCTGCATGATTGGCAACTGTATGTTTCATGTGGTGTAGTTCCTCCGGTAGTTAATTGAATTAATTTTTGTAAGCTTAAACTTAAAAATTAAACCTTGTGGTCTTTTTGGTCCTAAGACTGCCCTCAGTCCTGCTGATGAAGAGCAGTCTCTCCATCAGCAACTACTTGACTGTCCCAATTCCTGTGAGATTACAGTTTATCTCAAGGGATGCCTGTGATGAACGCCCCAGATCCTTTACTGGTATCTACTTGGGACAAGGATATATACCTAGAAGTGAAGCACTGGATCAAATGTAGTTCCATATTAAATGTCTTGCTAAAACACCAAACTGATTTCTATAATGGCTGTTCTGGTTTGCAGTCCCACATCCTCCCCAGCACTTGCCCTTTGTTGATTTGTTGATGGCAGCCATTTTGACAGGGGTGAGGTGATACCTAATTGTTGCTTTAATTGGCATCTCTCTGGTGATGAGTCACTTTGAGCATTTTTTTCACATGTCTCTTGGCCATCTTATCCACACTGCACAGGGCTGACACTTGGGATGGCATCAGAAGAAGATGCTCTTACAGATGAGAGTCTGTTTCAGTGACATTACCATTGTATAATGGTTACAATGGAGGCAGGTTAGATGGAGTTAGAGAATTGAATAACCTCCCCCAGCTACATTTGGCTTGAGGGAGAAACATACCTAATGTCCTGAGTGAAGAAACAATGCCTGCATTCAGGAAGAGCAGGTCCTGAAGAAAGATATGCAAAACCTGCCAGGCAGGTGCAGGAGAAACAAACTTGCCTCAGAAACACCTCCCTTGAAGGCACTGGAGGGCCTGGGAATACTTGGTGTGTCCTTGGGCTGTTTGCCCTCAAAACCAATCCTGGAGTCAGCTCTGAGGAAATGCAGAATTCCGGACTTGGAGCCTAGGAACTACATTACCCAGAAGGCCTTGTGTAGCATACCACCAGGCTGAGCCAATGGAAGCTAAGAAAAGGCCGCTTCCTTTGTCCACGTCAGGGGGCAGGTTTTGGTCTTCTGTCAGGTCTAGTCGCTGGGTCCCTTGGAGGAGGCAGAAGAGTGGTGTCCCCGCCTCACAGCCCATGGGGGGCGCCTCCGGGGCGCTCACGGCTCACACTCGGGGTTGAAGCTCCCAGTCGCTCCATGGGCCGCGCCAGGCATCGGACAGGCCCCGCCGTTCCCTGGGCGACGCTGTCCCCGCCGCCCCCGCCCCGCGCGGCCCACAGAGCTCGATGGCCGCGCCCGAGCTGAGGGGCTTCGCTGAGGTGAGTTCCTGTCCCCCAGGCCCCCCGCCTCCTCACCCCGCACCCCACAGCCCTGTGCGGGCCTGTCCCTCCTGCAGCTCCGTGAGGAAGGCGGACGGGAGGGAGGAGCGCGGTGGCTTCTGAGGACACAGCCAGTGCGGGGCGGAGAGGACAGGGGTGACCGACCTCTGAGGTTCCCCTGAGGGTGTGGCTGTGAGGATTGGCGGGCAGATCAGAGGCTGCAGGGAGGACTCACAGCCTCATGGGGGCTTTCCCGGCTGTGGGGTCCCTCAGGGGCCTGGGGTGGTCCTGGACCCGCTGGAAGACAGGCTTCTCCACATGCCATGTGCCATGTTCACGGGGGAGTCCAGCGAGACCCAGTGGCATTGGAGCAGGAAGGGGGCAGAGCTGAGGGAGTGAACCCGGGACTGAAGATGGGAAGGGGATAAAGATTATCCAGTGTGTGCACATCTGGAGGAAGTGTGAGCTGATGGTCCCCGTGGACTTAAATGTGAAACATAAACCCACGCTTGGCTTTGTCTGGGAGGCATGATCAAGGAGGCTGCAGTGGAATTGCGTGGCAGGAAGGCTGGGGCCCTGCAGGCATCGCCCAGACCTTAAATGGCATTGCTTTCTACCCTCTCCTTCCCCAATATTTCCCACCCAGCCCAGCTGCTCTGCGGAGGGCAATCCCAGTGAGTAATGGGACTGTGATGAGACAGCAGCCTGCACTGGCATTAGGGCCTGCTGTCCACACTAACCGGGTGCCCTGGAGGAGGTTGAGGGGGAAAAGGTGTGTAAGGAGAAGGAGTGGAAGTTCTCAAAAAGGCAGCTCTGGTGTCAATTGTCTCCATTCTGACAGGTTGGTGTGACCTTTGAGGACATTGCCCTGTACTTCTCCAGGGAGGAATGGAGCCTCCTGAATGAGGGTCAGAGACAGCTGTACCTGAATGTGATGCTGGAGAACTTTGAACTTGTATCCTCGCTGGGTAAGACCCTCACTGTCACCAGAGACTGGTCTTGGCTTTGCAATTTTTCAGGCCTCATCTCCCAGGGTGTGCTGTGTCCTCCCATGTAGACTGTGGTTCTGCTTGATTTTTTCAGTTTCCTGAGTATTTGCTGTTTTGAAGGGGTTTGGTCTGTTTCCACTGCTCCCTTCTATTCCTGAAGTCCCGATTCTCCCCGCTGGACTACATTCACAGGGAAGGACTTGTGGTTGGTAGTGTTGCAGGAAGCCTGAGGGATTTCATCTTGTTTAGTGAGGAAAGCATTTTTATGTATATTTATATTTTGCTTTTGTACATATTTTTGTAACTATTATGTCTATATCTTTATCCTGTTTGTTAACTATGTATTTTGTTTGAAGACTCTTTGGAATAACTTGCATATTATATCAATAATATATATATTATATCAATATGTATATATTTATATATATATTATTTATTTCCTACAGAGAGAAAGGGAGAGAGACAGAGAATTAGAAACATAGATGAGAGAAAAATATTGATCAGCTGCCTTCTGCATACGCCTTACTGGGTATGTGCCCACAACCAAGGTACATGCCTTGACTAGAATCAAACCTGGGACCCTTGAATCCACGGATACAGCTGTCTCTGACCCTCTATCCACTGAGTCAAACTGGTCAGGGCTATATTTAATAAATTAATTGCTTATGACACACAAGAACACATATTGTTGCATGTGCTTAATTGCATTTTGCAGATATCACTCCCTCACACTCACTTTTCTACAAAGTTCATGTTTTTGTGAACCCTGCGTTCAGCAGGTCTAGTGCCACCATTTTTCTAGGAAGCTGTGATCTTTGTTACAAGTGCTTAGCAATTAAATAGTGTTAATGAAGTTATATCGAGTTTGCTTTTGAGGCAGGGTCATTGCATTGTTATTATCTGCAGTAGAGTATGAACATACCTCTATTATTCCCTGGGAACTCCCAACTATTTGTGTGAATTCCTGTCTATATCACAATATTCTATTTATTGTGTTGATCAGAACCTAATCCATAGTATCTCCAAGCAATTCCTTCATAGGATTTTGGAATGTTTTCTACAATCCTTTAGATTGCCTTTCATTTCGTTTTGTTTATTGCTGTGTTCTGTGAAGAAGCTTTTTATTTGTTTCAATCTGGACTGTTGGGTTTTTCTATTTTTTAAAAATATATTTTACTGGTTTTTTACAGAGAGGAAGAGAGAGGGATAGAGTTAGAAACATCCCATGAGAGAGAAACATTGATTAGCTGCACATCCCTTACTGGGGATATGTCTGCAATCTAGGTACATGCCTTTGACTGGAATTGAACCTGGGACCCTTCAGTCCACAGGCTGATGCCTGTCCGCTGAGCCAACCCGGTTAGGGATGTTTTTTTTCTATTTTGTCTGGTAGTTGGTGTCACACCCAAAAACTCCTGGCCAAAACAAATCTTCAAAACTTTTTCTCTCGTTTGTCCTGAGGAGGATTAAGTTCTAGAGCTAATATTTAATTGTGTCATGCAGGTTGAGTTACATTTTATCATCCGAATCCAGGATTATTGTGTTTAAATGTGAGTATTGATTTTCAGCAACAGCATTCATTGAAGAAACTATTTTTTCTAACTTCTGTGTCTAGTAGCTTTGTCAGAGATTACTTGAAAGTATGTGCCTGGGTTTATTTCTGTGTTTTTGGTTCTTTTCTGTTGATGGATGTGTTTGTGTTTACCCAGCAACACACTGTTTCTTGCTTTCTCTCTGTAATAAATAGAAGTCAGGAAGTTTATGCCACCAGCTTTGTTTTCATTCAAGATTGCTTTTGCTGTTCGAGTTTTTTAAATATATTTTATTTATTGATTTTTTTTTACAGAGAGGAAGGGAGAGAGAAAGAGAGTTAGAAACATCGATGAGAGAGAGTCATCGATCAGCTGCCTCTTGCACACCCCCTACTGGGGATATGCCCGCAACCAAGGTACATGCCCTTGACCGGAATCGAACCTGAGACCCTTCAGTCCCCAAGCCGGAGGAGGAGGAGGAGGAGGAGGAGGAGGAGGAGGAGGAGGAGGAGGAAGAAGAAGAAGAAGAAGAAGAAGAAGAAGAAGAAGAAGAAGAAGAAGAAGAAGAAGAAGAAGAAGAAGAAAAAACATCAATTGGTTGCCTCCCACAAGAAGAAGAAGAAGAAGAAGAAGAAGAAGAAGAAGAAGAAGAAGAAGAAAAAACATCAATTGGTTGCCTCCCACAAGAAGAAGAAGAAGAAGAAGAAGAAGAAGAAGAAAAAACATCAATTGGTTGCCTCCCACATGTGCCCCTCCACTAAGAGGGGGTATTTCTTTGTTGATTTTGTAAATATATTTTATTGATTTTAGAGAGCAAGAGGAGAATCCACGGATACAGCTGTCTCTGACCCTCTATGGGGTCAGAAACATGAATAATGAGAGTCACCCCCCACTGGATTTTGGGCCAGAAACCTGTGCATGCCCTCTGACCAGGAATGGAATTGGATCATGGATCGATACTCAATCACTGAACCATACTGGGAAGCCTATATTTATTGATTTTAGAGATAGGAAAGGAGACAGAGAAAGAGGGAAACATTGATCTGCTATTCTCCCCATCTAAGCATTTATTGGCTGTCCCCTACATGTGCCTTGTTGGGGGATCAAACCCACAACTGTGGTGCATCAGGACAACACGCTCAACAAGTGAGCTACCTGGGCAGGGCTCTGAAATTTTTTATTTCAGAAGCTCATATGGGATCTTGACAAATTTCTCTATGGAAGGTCATGTGGCCTCCTAACTTCAACATCTCTTCTGATGCTTTGTGGTTCATAGTGTCAGGTGTAATGTCTTAGCTTTCATTTTTTTTTCCATTTCTTTGAGGCTTGTTTTTGTTTATTTATTTGTTCTTGTTTTTTGATTTAGTCTAGTTCAAGATTTGCCCATTTTTGTATTTCTTAGCAAAGTACCTGGTAGTATCTTTTATGTTGTCTTGTTTCCTGTTTATTGATGCTTTTCCAAATATTTCTTTCTTTCTTTTTTTTGCAATCTTCGGAGTTATTTTCTTGTTTTGTTTCTAGATTCCTGATATGGCAGGTTAGGTTTTGTGAGATTATTTTTCATAATATAGGCTTTTATCCCTATAAAATTTTCTGTTAAAATTACATTCTCTTGCCCTAACAGGTTGGGCTCAGTGGATAGAGCGTCGGTCTGTGAACTCAAGGGTCCTAGGTTCGATTCCGGTCAAGGGCATTTACCTTGGTTGTGGGCACATACCTAGCGGGGAGTGTGCAGGAGGCAGCTGATGGATGTTTCTCTCTCATCGATGTTTCTCACTTTCTACCTCTCTCCCTTCCTCTGTGTAAAAAATCAATAAAATATATTTTTTTTAAATTACATTTTCTGAATTTTGTTCATGATTTTTGGTAGGTTGTCTTTTTATTTATTTTGTCTCTAGACTTTTTTCAGTTCTGTTTTGTTTGGCTACCTTGAAATTTTTATTTATTCATTTATTATTGGTTTCTCATAGAGAAATATCACTTGAGGGAGAAACATCAATCGTCTGCCTTCTACACACAAATTAACTGGAAATGGAACCTACTGATATGTGCCTTGAGTGGAAATTGAATCCTCGACCCTTTGGTACACAGGATGATGCTCAAATCAACTGAGCCATACTGGCCAAGGCATGTCTAAAAGACAAAAATTTCCATTATTTTTTAAAGAACAAGCCACTAGGGTCAATGATAGCAGAAGCACAATGGCTGCTGGAGGTAACTCTGACCTTGTTTTTGCAGTAACTCAAATGGGATTTAAGGGGAAGAATCATTTGTGCATCACAGAAGAAAAACGCTTTATGATTGACACAGTGGACCCATAGACGGTCTTGCCTTGGTGAAAGGTTATTAGGGAGAGGAATTCATGGCTGGCTTTTTTTGCATTCATAGCTAGAAACCCAGTGTTTTCTTACAGTGGCCCAGTCCTCACCCAGTTATGCCTGGTTGTGCTTATTGTTTTTACTTTGGCAACTACACAGGTTGAATAGTGATAATTTCTACTTGGAACCCCAGTCCACTGATAACCTTAACCTCTCTGGAGTTTGCACCTCTGCCTCTTTCACAGGTCTCTCTTTACTGCACTCCAACATTGGTCGATGCCTGCAGCGTCTTGCAGTGCACACATGTTATTATATTATATTGACGTTGAACATCATATTCTCTAATACAATTAATTTTTTTGGCTTTGAACAGCTTAATTTGTTTTGTTTTTGTTTTTTAATATATTTTATTGATTTTTTTTACAGAGAGGAAGGGAAAGTGTTATAAACACCAATGAGAGAGAAACATCCACCAGCTGCCTCCTGCACACCTCCTATTGAGAATGTGCCCACAACCAAGGTACATGCCTTGACTGGAATCGAACTTTGGATCTTTTAATATGCAGGCCAACGCTCTATCCATTGAGCCAAACCGATTAGGGCTTGAACAGCTTTAAATTACTCTACACAGACTCACATAGTCAGCATATAAGATCCTCAAGGAAGTCGTTTGAGCCGAAACAATGGGTAGAGCCTTTCTCTCTTCTCTGTATTCTATCCTGGGCTTCTGTCCCTCCATTGGTGAGAATTTCCTCATCTACTGACTTTTGGGGCCATGTTATGTATAACAGCAATTTCCTCAGAGTCTAACTCACTCATCTTGAAAATCTTTGCATGGAATCATGTTTAGTCAAGACAGATAAACATTTGTGATAAAGATACTCTGTTTTCATGTGGTCAACATGTACGTCACCAGCATTTCCTTTTGTTCAGGTTGCTGCTGTGGAGCAAAGAATGTGGAGGAAGCAACAGAACAGAAGGTTTCTGTAAGAGTGTCACAGGCCAGGAATCCCACAGTAGCCTTGTCTTCCCAGAAGAGCCACCCCTGTGGGAGATGTGGAATCGTCTTGGGAAACATTTTTCATATGATAGAGCTGCAGGGAGCACAACACGGACAGATACTGTTGAGATGCGGGTCATGTGCAAAACGGTTTTACTTCTGTGTAAAATTTCACCAGCAGCCCGTGAGAGAGAACACTTCCATTAGAGGTGTAGACAGGATCTCACTTGCAAACAGCTGCAATTTCAATGTGCCCCCAAATAATTTCTCCTACAGGGAGGTTCAGCAGGGTGTTCTTACTGGGTCAGGTCATCTCTACCTAAAGGCTACTCAGACCAGGGACAGTCCAAATGCTATTCCAGTGTGTGTGATGACGTTTCAAAGGGGAAAAAATGATTTCACCATGAAAGAATGTAAGAAAGACATTAGTTACACCCACACATTTATTCAGGAAACGGGTGTCCATGCAGGAAGTTGGTGTTTTGCGTCCTCTGAATGTGGAAAATATTTTACCAAATTTTCTTGCTTTCATGATCAACAGCGAAGCCACACTGGAGAAAGGCCTGATCAGTGCAATGAATATGAGAAAGCTTTTAGCAGTAGTAATAGCCAAGGTGATCATGAATCTTTGCCCACTGGAGAAAGGCCTTATGAATGCAGTGAATGTGGGAAATCTTTTAAAACTATCTCTCACCTTCATAAACATCAGAGAGTTCATACAGGAGAAAAGCCTTATCAATGCAGTGAATGTGGGAAATTTTTTACCACTAACAACCATCTTCGTATTCATGAGAGAGTTCACACTGGAGAAAAGCCTTACAAATGCAGTGAATGTGGGAAATCTTTTACCACTAACACCAACCTTCGTATTCATCAGAGAGTTCACTCTGGAGAAAAGCCTTACAAATGCAGCGAATGTGTGAAATCTTTTACCTGGAGCACTGCCCTTCGTCGTCATCAAAGAATTCACACTGGAGAAAAGCCTTATGAATGCAGTGTATGCGGGAAAACTTTTACACAATCCAGTGGTCTTCAATATCATCGGGGAGTTCACACTGGGGAAAAGCCTTATATATGCAGTGAATGTGGTAAATCTTTTCGCACTACGATGCACCTTCGTACTCATCAGATAGTTCATACAGGAGAAAAGGCTTATAAATGTAGTGATTGTGGAAAATCTTTTACAAGGAGCAGTAGTCTTCAATGTCATCAGAGAGCTCACACTAGAAAAAGCCAGTATGACTGTAATCAGTGTGAGGTTTCTCTCAGCCAAATTTGTAAATTTGCTCTGCACAAAAGAGTCCAAAATGTGAAAAATTTCTTAGATGTGTAGGAAATGTATTTTCTTAGTTAGTACTTAACTATAGTATAAGAAAATATGTGAAGTCTCGGTCTGACTTATTTCTGATACATTTAATTACCTACATGTTATAACATCTCCTCAACTGTTTTTGTTGTTGTGTTTGTTAGTATTTATGTTGGAATCATATGTATCTATATTGCACTTTCTAACATAGAGAGATGTCTTCCCAGGTGTATATCACTGTATATTTCTGTTAATGAAGGCTTTCACGGGAACCATCTATAATGTCTCTGCCGATGGCATCAATCCCCATCCTCATGTGCCCAGGGAAGCTAACTCTGTTGTCTAATTTGTTGAAGAAAATTGGGAATACCTCAGTCCTTAGTTCTTCCTTGTTTCCCTGTCATGAGTTGTCACATAGGACTGATGACTGTTGACCCCAGTAAACATAATGTTGCACAGGGACTGCCATTGTCAGGGACATGCTTTCCCTAGATGCCTGTGATGAGTCTACTTTGTACCTCAGTCACCAATGGGAGAATTGCCAGTCTCGGGTCTCTTTCTTTGCAAAATAATGAAAGTTTTTTCCTATGACTTCTTTAATGTTGGGTGTTCTATTGAGTCTATGGCTTAGTTTATAAGGAAATCCAGGCTCTCCAAGCATGATCTGGTGAAAAACTTATGGGCTCTCCAAAATTTTTGTCGTTTGGGACAGATTATGGTGTAGAAATTAGCAAAGAAGTTTTTGCCAAATTTACATTGTTTTCCATAATTTCCCAGGAAACACTGTGGACTCTAGTCCTTATGTGAAGATGGATGCTTTGAGACACAGAGATCACTCCAAAGAGAGGGCGGAGGGTCGCTGTGACAACCTCAAGTATATCTGAGAGCAGCGTGAATTTTTTTTCTTCTTTTCAGGGGATGCTAAGACATTTGAAGGGAACCTCCTACCCAGGTGTTGCAGAGGGCCGTGTGCCCTAATGCCTTCAATTCTATGGGTGATGGTCACTGGTTGGAAGACCATTACAGTGAGGAGAATCCCTTTCACTACAGAAACACTGATCTAATCGTTGTTGGACCAGACTGCAGCTCATTAGATGGAATGGTCTTCATCTAAACCTGCATGCAGAAATTTTTTTTATGTAAAAACTACAGGAACGGTATTACCCAGATCTGAGGGACTCCAGGCATGTTTATCTTCTGTGGAGAGGTCGTTGTCATTGATTGTAATCAAGAGGTTTTGTGGGTTCCTGTAGCTTCTCAGATGTTCTCACCTGAGCCATTGTTGTTCTGGCAGCAAAACAAAGATGAAGACAAGGGCTGAAACCGGTTTGGCTCAGTGGATAGAGTGTCGGTCTGTGGACTGAAAGGTCCCAGGTTCGATTCCAGTCAAGGGCATGCACATTGGTTGTGGGCACATCCCCAGTAGGGGGGTGTGCAAGAGGCAGCTGGTTGATGTTTCTCTCTCATCGATGTTTCTAGCTCTCTATCCCTCTCCCTTCCTCTCTGTAAAAAAACAATAAAATATATTAAAAAACAAAAAATTCAGTTTCAGAGAAATGAAGTCAGCTCCCCACATTTACACCACAGACAAGTGTCAGCTTCAAGGAGCTGGATTTTAACTATTGTTTTCTCCAGCGTCAGACACAGTCTCTACAGCTGATGAGCAGCCCTCCCTGGAGCAGGTACAGGATGAGGACCAGGGTGGCTCAGCTGCAGCTCCTGTTTCCATGGTTACACTCCCATTCCCTTTACATCTCAGAGCTCTGACCCTTGGCCTCCCCGTGTTCATTTCTCAGCTGCAGTGGTTTCTCCAGGGGAACCTTCTTTCAGAGTGAGCTGCTATTTGTCTGCCTCCCCTTTGATCCCAGCACAGTTTGACCCACCGGAGAACTCAGTAATTAGGGTTTTGTCTCTGTAGAGCTGACACTTTGGATGGCATCAGAAGCAGATGATCTTAAGTATGAATGTCTGTTTTGTGACATAAACTGTATAATGGATTCAGTGGAGGTAGGTTAGAGTCTTGAGCAATCTCCCCCAGCTACAAATAGCCTGAAGGAGAAACATGCTTTTTTTTTTTTTGAGAAACATGCTTTTTAAGAACATATATATATATATATATATATATATATATATATATATATATATATATTATTATATATTATTTTACAGAGAAGGGAAAGGGATAGAGAGAAAGAAACATTTATGAGAGAGAAAGTTCAATCAGCTGCCTCCTGCGCATCCCTTACTGCAGATGTGCCTCCACCTTGACTGGAATCATACCTGGGACCCTTCAGTCCCCAGGTCTACGCTCTATCCACTGAGCCAAACCAGTCAGGGCAAGAGACATACTTAATGTCCTGAGTGAAGAAACAATGCCTTTCATTCAGGAAGAGCGGGTGCTGAAGGAAGATACGCAAAACCTGCCAGGCAAGTGCCTTAGAAACAAACTTAACCCAGACATCACCTCCCATGAGGGCGCTGAAGGCCCTGAGTATTCTTGGTGTGTTCTTGGGCTATTTGCCCTCAAAAATAATCCTGGAGTCAGCTCTGAGGAAACAAAGAATTCCAGACTTGGAGCCTAAAAACTACATTACCCAGAAAGCCACGCATGGACTGCCACCAGACTGAGCCAATGGAAGCTCAGGAAAGGCCTTTCCTTTGTCCACTTCAGGGGGCGGAACTAGTCCTCCTGGCGGGTTCTGTCTGCTCTCAGGTCTGTCTCTGGCGGTCAGCAGCTCCCTTAGAGGAGGCAGGAGAGTGGTGTCTCGCCTCACAGCCCATGTGGGGCGCCTGCGGGGCGCTCACGGCTCACACTTGGGCTTGAAGCTCCCAGTCGCTCTGTGGACCGCGCCAGGCCTCGGCCCCGCCATTCCCTGGGCGCCGCTGCCCCTCCGCTCCCGCCCACTCGGCCTACAGAGCGCGATGGCGGCGCCCGCGCTGAGGAGCTTCGCTGAGGTGAGTTCCTGTCCCCCAGACCCCCCACCTCCTCACCCCGCACCCCACAGCACGGTGCGGGCCTGTCCCTCCCTCAGCTCCGTCCGCGGGGAAGACCGTGAGGAAGGCGGAGGGGAGGGAGGAGCGCGGTGGCTTCTGAGGACACAGCCAGTGCGGGGCGGAGAGGACATGGGAGACGGCCTCTGAGGTTCACCTGAGGGTGTGGCTGTGAGGATTGGCTGGCAGATCAGAGGCTGCAGGGAGGCCTTCACAGCCTCATGGGGGCTTTCCGGGCTGTGGGGTCCCTCAGGGGCCTGGGGTGGTCCTGGACCCGCTGGAAGACAGGCTTCTCCACATGCCATGTGCCAAGTTCATGGGGGGAGTCCAGCGAGACCCAGTGGCATTGGAGCAGGAAGGGGGCAGAGCTGAGGGAGTGAACCCGGGACTGAAGATGGGAAGGGAATAAGTATTACCCAGAGTGTGCACTGGTCCCAAGACTTGGTGTGGGGACTTAAAGGGGAAGCATAAACCCAGGCTTGGATTTTTCTTGGAAACATGGTCTAGGAGACTGCAGTGGAATTGCTTGGCTGGAAGTCTAGGGCCCTGCAGGCATTGCTCAGACCTTAAATGGCATTGCTCTCTCCCCTTTCCCCAATCTTTGCCACCCAACCCAGCTGCACTGCTGAGGGCAATCCCAGTGAGTAATGGGACTGTGATGAGAGAGCAGCCCGCACTGGCATTAGGGTCTGGTGTCCACACATACAGGGTGCCCTGGAGGAGGTTTGGAGGGGGTGAGGGGTGGTGGTAAGATGTGTTAGGAGTAGAATTACTGGTTCCCAGAGAGAAACTCTGGTTTGAATTGTCTCCATTCTGACAGGTTGGCGTGACCTTGGAGGACATTACCTTGTACTTCTCCAGGGAGGAATGGGGTCTCCTTGATGAGAGTCAGAGACAGCTGTACCTGAATGTGATGCTGGAGAACTTTGAACTTGTATCCTCGCTGGGTAAGACCCTCACTGTCACTAGTGACCTGGACTTGGCTTTGGGATTTCCCAGGTCCCATCCCCCAGGGTGTGCTGTGTCCTCTCATGTAGACTGTGGTTCTGCTTGATTTTCCTAGTTTCCTGAGTAATTGCTGCCTGGGAAGGGTTGGTCTGTTTCCACTGCTCCCTTCTATTCTTGAAGTTCCAATTCTCCTCGCTGTACTAAATTCACAGGGAAGGCCTTGTGGTTGGTAGTGGTGCAGGAAGCCTTAGGGATTCCATCTTGATTACTGAGGAAAGCAATTTATATATTCCTATTGGTCATGAGTATATATTTTTTGAAGAATTGTCTCTACATCCTTATCCTGTTTAGTACCTGTATTTTTTGGTTAATGATTTTTTTTAGAATAATTTGTATATTTTATATATTAACTAGAGGCCAGGTGCATGAAATTCATGCACTGCGAATGGGGGTGGGCTTGTTTCTCAGGTAAGCCTGCACCCTCTCCAATCTGGGAGCCTTCTGGGGATTACCCACTGCAGGTTTAGGCCTTATCCCTGTGAATATTCTAACAACCCTGGAAACTCCAACAATTTGTGTGCATTTCTGTTTATATTGCAATATTCTCTTTATTGTACTGATTAGAGTCAAATTCACAATCTCTCCAATTGATTCCCTCATACAATTTGAGAGTATTGCCTTCCATTCTATTTCATTTTATTTTGTTTATTGCTGTTGTGCTGTGAAGAATCTTTTATTATTATTATTATTATTTGTTCTAATAAGGACTGTTTGTGTTTTTTCTATTTTGTCTGGTGGTTGGTGAACATTCAGAAAATCCTGTCCAAAATAAATCTCCAAAAACTTTTTCTCTAGATTATTTTGAGGAGTTTTAAGTTTTAGCACTGACATTTAATTCTGTAATGCAGTTTGAGTTAAATTTTATTAGCAGAGTCCAGTATTATTGTGTTTACATGTGAGCATTGATTTTTAGCAGCACCAATCATTGAAGAAACTATCTTTCCTTTTTTCTGTGTCTTACCGCTTTGTCAAAGATTATTTTAAGTATGTGCTCTGTTTAGCTCTGTTCCGTTCTATAAATGTA